ACCTTCGACATCCTCATTTGTGTCAGCAGGATTATTAACAGAATGGATTCTGCGGTGATTTCCCAAATGTTGATAAGAATTGAATTCTCTGTTGCAGGTAGGACATGGATGTATACTAGTTGTCAATTTAATCCTTTTACGAGCGGGAACAGAAGAGCTGGAAGCGGGATTGGAGATTATGTAGAAAATATCGAATGATGTTAAGCAAAGGAAAAAGGATTTATTGACAGATGATGCATTCAACCCTTATTTAGGTAAGTAATATTTTGGGGCAATAAAAATCTCTACGTCATGAAGAAAGAAATTTGAACTGTAACGATTATGCTAAAATAAATAAATAAAAACCTTTTATTCCAACACTTCTAACAACAACCCATGTCTGAAATAAACAACCATCATCTTTTACAAATGACTAAAACTTGAGATTCTTTAGTTGAATCTGTCAAGAATATTGAAAAGTGCAATCAAATTCAAAGACGATTTAAAGCGAAATGTTTTGGACCACTTTAGTCCTGTAAAAGATACAGTTCAACTAATGACAATTGGTGATCTTCGGTAGCAAGGTTTTTTTCTATACATATATAACTCTATAAGACAATACCTTTATTTCTAATACAACAATCAAGCTTATGGCTCAGTTGAGCAATCTCTTCAGAGAAAGAGATACGTGGAGAAACAGGATTACTTGGGTCCGAAAATGTATGGTACCAATATCGTGCCAAGCAAGGTCAATGGCAGGCGTACTGGCTTCAAGCAGAAAATAATTCACTCTGTTCCAGCTACTAAACACTAAAGATACCATTGGCGAGACAGATAGTTTTGCCCTCCTCCCCACTGGAACAATGGATTCAATGCGATCGCGCTCAATCAATTGACTAGAGATGTTAAAGGGATGATCTCGGTTGATCTTCGAGAAAGACAACTTTAGAAGGATATAGATACCAATTGTAGTTGAATTATTTTATCTTATAAAGCAGGAAGAACTTACACATAATGAAAAGATCGACATTTGTTTATGCAAAAAATTTCTGGTGTACCTGGTAGGACATTCAAAGCCTTATAACAGACAGATGCAAGAGAGGTAGGTATGAAACGATATATTTTCGCTCTTAATGTATTTAAATAAAGTTTTTTTCTAGACTACTCAAGCTGATGGTAGTGAGTTGGAGGGAGAAGAACAGAACCCCAGTGAAAATAATGAAGATTTCGAAGCTGGATCATCTTTGCCACTGTTAGTAAGACTTCATTTTTATCTTCTTTCTTTTTGTCAGAGTAATTACATTTCGATAAAAAAACAAACTCGTTGAAAATCTTGTAGCTAACTAAAGAGCCTGATGCTAATGCTAATGTAGTCATTCGACCCATGCATGAATGACTAGTCCTGAAATTTAAGATCTTTCAGTTGTATGTCTTTTACTTGTTGATGGCAAGTCTAAATTTGTAAACATTCTCTCTTGTGGAAACTCTTAAATCATTTGTTGCTTTACTTTGTTTATCTCTACAGACAATCTTCCAACCTTACTTTTGTTTGCCTTCTGTAAAAAGCATAATTGAAGCCAGTCTGTATCGGAAAGTTGTCTCGTCACCCCGTCGTTATTTGTATCATTTTTTAAATAAATAAATGTTGGATCATCATTACATGTAGCGGTTTTTAGAGAACAATTCAAACTACATCGAACAGAGTTACATAGCTGTTAAAGGTTAATTCTATATTAGATTATGATATCAATTATTTTACATACCATTTTATGGTTAGTTGTTAAAAAGAAAACAGAAGAAAAAAAATCAGGTTTATGTATAAGAACGGTACACGCAAACATAAAGTGCTCCTGCAGTGCGTTTGATAGGTACTTTCAATAACCCTTGGACTATTTATTTGTTTTCTATAATTTTTCTCTTTAAAAGATGGAAAAAATGGGGAAACTAGAAAGAAAATTCTAAGAAGGAGGGTGATTTTAGAACAAAATGTTGCAATTGTTTATTGAGTGGCAAGCATTTGGACTTAAAGCCCTTGGCCTTAAGCACTAGAAACAATTTATTTGTAATATAAGTATGCTAATAAAACCGTGAATACTTTTTCATAGAGACATTTAAAAAGTGCAAAAGTTTTGAAAGTTATTCGTCCCTTAAAACCAGCGAAGAAGTAAAGTTTATTGCCTTTGAAAAAAAAAGCATAAGTCAATTAAAAGCACGATACAAAATAAGCCTAACCGTGTAACACCAAACGTTATATGAACAAGATACACTTTTTGACCAACTGTTACGTTCAGCGTATTAACTTAAGAAATTTTCATTTAATCATACCAATTATATAGGTACCGTAGTATATGTTTATTAAACTACAAAACTCGATTTTGAAGTGGTTTTTTATTTCTTTAACAAGTATACGGCCCATAATATTAAGCATTAAATACGTACCTGAAAAAACAGTATTCTTTTTTTTTACAGCATAATATCTGAGACGGCATAGTTTGTTTGACAGCGTAAATGTTAGAATAGTTTTTTTTTTGTCACATATAATAAAATACATATTTCTTTATTTTTCTGTTCTCGTCATTGTCAAATGCATAAGGCATGTCAACATTACTATTCCCAACAACTGTTTATTTCAAAGAAAGTAACAACATATCACTTTAGGATAGCATAATATGCAAAAAAAAGGTTGCATGGGACGAATCCAGAATGTACCAGTATTATATTCAGCTGGCATTGTTTCTTCTGTCAATCTTTTTTGGACTTCTTCAAAATAGTTGTACAATACACTATCCTGAACTTCACCATACGGAAATGCTTGCTCGTCTGTTACGCTCTCGTCATCACTAGTATTATCGGTCTCAGTTGTCATACGGTTGACGGTGTCTTCTTCTTCTGACGCAGTAAAGGCATTTTGATCATCTACAACCGGCAATTGGTTTACACGGCTGTCAGAAAGATTTATTTTGGGAACATCGACATTTTCTTGAATTCTTGATTCCTCAATCACAGTCTACGTTCTTTGTTAGTTTCTTATAATCATGAAAACCATTTATCCAATTTACTTCATTGGCCTTGTGATAATTGAGAATAAAAAGGGAAATGTAAATTGGAAAATAAAGCAAGTAAAGAAATGAGACTCGATAATCCTTTATTATAAGTTGGAGAGTTTGTCATGATAAAAATAGAGGTCCTTTTTATATTCAATTATTACTTCAAGATTTTTCCTGCGCAGATCGAATTGACTATTTACCCGCAAACTGGGAAATGGTAGAATTAGATTTAGAAATCAGTTACATATGAAACATAGCTTATTGTTATATACAAGGAGCTAGTTGACCCATATCCGGCACTTCTAGAGCATTATAGTTTATTCATTCAATGACAGGGTCCTTGATTGGATTACTAAAATAAATTTATGAGAAACTAGAAGATTCGGCAGCTACTCGACCAATCCAGGAACGATTATGAAATCTGATCTCAGTTGGACATATGAGGGAGCTGGTACTGTGTCGTACCAATAGGAATGTATTCACTATATGGTACTTATAATACATAGGTTATATGTATTATAATTGAGTGACAAGACAAGAGTAATTGTATTCGTGGAATTAGGCGTCACATACGACAGGCCTGACTTGAGCTTTTGCCATTTTGGTTAATTTTTCGCATACTTTGAAATAAAGAGTTTGTTGGGGGTAACTCTTTTTGGGGCAGATGGTCTTCCAGCTCTATGGCATACAGAATTTTTTTTTCAGGTGTTCTTCCTGTCCTAGCCATATTTTTGTAAAGAAATAACTGCGAAAGAAGTTTTTTATAGATTTAAAAAAACCACGCCTTGTACATTTTTTTTTAAAAAAAACTAATCCCCGCTGATGTCTTCAGGTTTCGAAAGACATTTCAGTTAAGTTTAAGGTGTCTTGGGTGAAATTGTTAGTATTAAAACAAAAGAATGTATATCACAATTAACTTCAATAACAGATCAAATTACAGAAAAAGGTATCATCCTTTCGATAACTCGTTACTTTTTATCGAGGTGCCTATGTACTAAATTGTAGGTAAATCAAGCTCAACCATTTCGCAGTAACATCTTCCTAGTTAGGCATTGTGCCACCCGTTTACAAATAAATGTTTTTTCAAAGAATTTGGTACTAGATCTTTTAGGAATTAACATAGACTACGTTAACTATGTACCTCCAAGCGACTATTATATTAGTGACGATGAGTCTGAAGAACAGATGGAAGATGTGGCCTATACCGGTCCTCAATATTTGGATTAACCAAAGAGGATCTTCTTAAACAATTTCCAGACTTAGAAGATATTTCTATCCCTTCTTTGTGGAAGCATGTAACAATAGAGTGTACTTTTTCGTTGAAAAGGGCATTTTTATACAATAAAGAAAGGGAACCACGACGTATTATATTGTCAAATGTATGAAAAAAATAACGGACACACTTGATAGGCACGACAAAAAAGGATTTTTTATAGTAATGGATAACTGCAGGATTCACCATTCTGTATTTGTTACTGATGCTATCAATAAGAGAGAGTATAAACCTTTGTTCATGCTCCCTTACTCTCCTTTTTTGAACCCGATCGAAGAATACTGGTCAAAAATAAAGAGCAATATCAGCGAACAAAGCCATTAACGCACGCCCGTTAAAATTTCCTTTTTGGGATCTCCACGCCCGCGACCCGACTCTTGTAGCTGAGAATAATCTCAACGCCCGTAATATCTCCACGCCCGTAATATTTTCACGCCCGTACATAATATCTCTACGCCCGTAGTTTTCAAGCGCTAATAGCAGACCCATATAGACTGGGATCTTGTATCTGAGCCGCATAACATACACTAAAAAGCTCCAAATGTCAGAAATTAAGCGGCAGAGAAGTACTTGTCTTTTTTTTCTGCCCTAGGAATCGAAAAGTCTTAAATATTAAGTGGGTGACTGACTGACTGAGAATAGAAAAATCTTGGAAATTAAGTGGGTTCTTGACTGGAAATCGAAAAGTCTTACAAATTAAGTGGAAATCAACTTAGTAAAAAAAAAGATAGAAAGTAGTTTTTATTCTGTATTTGAAGTTGGAGAAGGAACTAAAGGTTCAACCAAGAGGCTAAGAAAAGAGATGCAATTTGATCTCACACTGGCGTATGTGTAATCATTCGCAGCAAAACAACGATGAAGAAGCTTTATAAACAGCTTAGCCATTATGATTCTACGGCATGTTCCGAGGTTGTTACTTTTTGTGAAAAGGAATTTTTTTAATTCATCCTTGTGCTTTTCGTTTGATTCCCCTACAGCTAATGTCTCAGGCATATCTTCCACATCAATACCGACAAGCATTGGCACGACACGTTTTGCATCGTAATCCTTCTTGACGTTGGAAGGAATAAACAAGTGTAAAAAATCTAATATAATTGTGATAGTGGCAATACGGCTATGGTACGTATCAAGTACGTCTGTATAACGGGAAATAAGCTTATATTGCACTTCTTTATACTCATAATAATTAGTGAAATGAAATTTGCGGGAATCCTTGATCATTTTTAATTTATCGCATGTCAATTTGGAAAACTCCTCGTCAAATTCCACAAAGAGTTAATCCAATATATGAGCACACGTAACAGTTACTGCTTCATTCAACATCTTTTGGTGGTATTATCTAATTACGAAGTTGAGTTGCTGTCATAGTGAATTACGGGGTGAGGATTGAATTTTTGGTAGGCAGTCAGTTTGCAACGCCCGTATATTTCATAGTCCGGTGGCAGAGTCGGGTTACGGGCGTGGTGATCCCAAAAAAGAAAAATTACGGGCGTGGAATAAGTTTTTGTTTTTTCAAACGTATTTTTTTCAAATAAATGTATTTTTTAGCATCACGCGATGGTCTACACGTCGATTGACATGCCATATCATCTAAACGTCATGGGATGATCGAATTCTGTTTTCCATAAATTCTGCTTCACTGTTATTACAAGCTACTACTGGAGCGCAGATAGACAACTACCAAGTTCTGATTTGCTTGGGAGGTTTTTGCCAATGTTTCTAATTTAAGTAAAGGCCCAAACATTATAAATGATGAAACAAGCAATTAAATCATTCTGACATAAGCTTGTTTATCAGCCTACAAATAAAGCTGGTTCCCACACTTTATTCTTCTCCTTTTTCTTTTCCCTTAACATACTTCTTTATCGTATAAAATTAACCGATCACGTAAAAAGGTTAGTTTAGTAGTGACTCTTGTCTCTTTGAAAAGAAGCTAAAATAAAAAAAAGATATATTGTGATATTGCGGCTGGGGCTAGTCTTTGCTATAGGAGGGGTGACCTCCTATAGCAGGGAACTTGAATTTTTGGAAACTCAGAGGCTGTGAATGGCTGTGATTGCACTGTAAATAGTTTTATTTATACTGGCCTTCTGGTCTTGGCCAGACTTGCTGTAAGTAGTATAAAAAAATACGTTTGAAAAAAATACGGAGGTCTAAACATTTCCCTTTAACAGCATTGACATATCTGCTCGATTTCATAGTTTCAGACAAGATGTAAATAGCCGCATACAGCAAGACATCGCTTTCACCGTTGAAGAGCATGTGCAGCATTTACTCGCTCTCTCCTCTATATTGTTATTGAAGCCATCGCGCACCCACAAAGATTTGCACAAGCACATTGATCTCAGCACATGTGACGCACTTTGCCAGCATATCATTCAAAGTCATAAAATGACTAATCAGTCGTTTCCATCTGAAATAAAACTGCAACTCGAAAAAATCATGATACAATTAGATGTGGTAAATTTGAGAGAGAAGCCAGAATAGAAAGATTAATAATTCTTATTTTATTTTATTTTTTGATCCATAATATTAGGACGGTGACCGAGGTGAAGCATGCACCCGCCTAGCAGCATCACGGCAAATTTCAGCCCTATTACAAGACGATGATGTCCTTAATCCTGTCAACAGAATTTTGCTGTCCGTCCAAAACATGTAAGTTTTTAGGCTCTGAAAATATCACGTCTAGTTCTAAATCATTAATAGGGTGGAGAGGCTGCCACGCAGAATCACTGAAGACGGGCCCAAGGAAACGGAACTTATTACCCAATATTTGGAAGCGATTCTCAGTTCTCTTTTTGAAGATTTAGATAACAATATAGCATTTCGATGGCAATTGAAACTTTTAGCTGGGATGAAAAAGGATATAAGAGAGAGGGGACAATTTGATATTCATAACTTTATTGAATAGGACTTCTGTCAGTGATGACGAAAAACAAGCCAATGTACAACCTGACGCATCAATTAATAGAATTTATGGAGCAACGTTGGGTGACCGAATTGGTTGCGGAGAAGTGAAAGCGCAGTACCTGGCCCTCAATCACCGGCTAGTTGGTATCGATCTGATGCGTGTTGCAACTTTGGCCAAAGATGCTTCTGATAAACACAAGTTGAAATCTACTCTTGCTTTCCTTGTAGTTGGTAAAACTATAGTTGCGTTCTATATATCTATAACATTCTCATTCTATATTACCACATAGGCAAAAATGCTACGTTCTACATAATTGATCGCGCCAAAACAGACCTCTATGCCATGTGTGAAATTGCTCATATCCAACTTCCATACAGTCTTGATCAAGTACCGATTTTTATTCCACTGATCTTTTTAATGATAAAACCCAAAGTTGCCAATGTATTGTTTCTCTTTCGTGCTCTTCTCGTTAATGATGCGTAAACATTCACCACCTAACAATAGCACCGGAGAGCGTAAGTAGATCTAAATACTAGCTATTAGTAAGGCAATATATGACTAACCTAAAACAATTAAAGCATCCTCCGTAACAAAGCGCTTGGACAAGAGAAAGGGTAGAGAAGGTAAATAAAATTATCATTTACCTTTAATTTTCTGTTTTTCGTAATGCGTCTATGATTAGGGCAACTGCATGAGCAGCTGCTTCGTTTTTCTTGAAAATATGTTGACATAAGCATTACTTTTCCTATCATGCCTATTATTAACAGTTTTCGTGATATAATTCTTAGTGCAATGAAGAACTATACGCATAGTTTTAATGAAAGTATTAAAAGCACTGTCAAGATTCTGGAGAAACATAAAATACATATAGTTTGTAAAAAAATGGACGAACATATCAACATGATGATGGTTATTTCACCCATTTACAATACTTGGTTGGAGTTCTTAATGTAAAATTGGAGAATAATTTTGTGTTGAATTCAGACAGACATCCAAATCTCACTGCTATTCCAAAAGACATGTTACTGCTTTATGCTTTTAGTCAAGTGTATGGGTATAAAATCTACTGCTTTTCAAGTAGGTCTAAACCAACAATAATTAATCTCAACAACAAGCACTGTCAAGACCGCTCTTTACCGTACTTTGGTGTATTAAAATCAATTAATTCTTATACTGGCATTTTCAATATAAAAAAGATCAACTATTTTATCGGAGCAGAGTTCTTTTAGTCTATTTTTACCTCGAATAAAGATATACTTTTATCTCATTACTTTCCAATTCGATCAATTTTGTCAAATACCACAATACAGTCGACGAAAAAAAGGTTGGCCCAATAAAAAAAAAATTGGCTGGTTCGAAATGAAATGGGTCACAAATTGTAATGTATGCTTTTTATTTTGTTTCTTATAATCCTTTTTCACAATTCAAACATCTCTGCTAGAACTTCAAAGAATGCTTTATCTAATTCTCGCAATCTTCTCTGCTGATGTGGAGTGATGCCTTGCGAATACGATCAGTGATTATTTTACATTCTGCCTGACAGAAGAAGGATCATTATATACAACAGTCTTCAGCTTGGACCAAAACTCTTCGATCTGATTTAAAAAAGGAAAATAAGGTGGCAGAAAGAGAAGTTTATAGCCACATGCCATATCATCTAAACTTTATGGGATCATCGACTTTTATTTTCCATAAACTCTGCTTCACTGTCATTACATGCTACTACTGGAACGCTGATATACAACCACCAAGTTTTGATTTGCTTGGGGGAGTTATTTTGCATATGTTTCTATTTTTAGTAAAGGCCTAGACTTAATGAAAGATGAAACAAGCAATTAAATCATCCTGACATAAGCTTGTTTATCAGCCTATAAATAAAGCTGGTTCACACACTTTATTCTCCCTCCTTTTCTTTTCCTTTAACATACTTCTATCGAATGAAAGTAATTGATAATGTAAAAAGGTAAGTTAGTAATGACACTTCTGTTTCTTTCAAAAAACGCTAAATCGAAAAAGATATATTGCGGCTGCGGCTAGTCTTTGCTATAGGAAGGCGACCTCCTAAGCAGAGTTCTTGAGTTTTTGAAACTCACGGACTGTAAATACCAGGGGTGCATTCTAAATAGGTAAATTCATACTGGCCTGCTGGTCTTCTGGCCAGAATTTCTGTAAGTGGTATAAAAAAATTTATGTTTGAAAAAAATACGGAGGTCTAGATATTTTCGTATTTTTTCCGCCAAAAAAAAAATTGTATTTGACATAAAATTATTGTTTATTATTTTCCATAGATCCACCAGGAAGCGACTTGATTTCTAAGCTTATATTACGAGATCCTGATGTTGTTGAAATGGTTACAACGACCTTCATAGGTAAGAAATGCTCAATTATTTTTACATACAAATGCTGACTTTTTATGTAGGTCCAACTGCTGCATCCCTGTATTCTCCAAGACCGACAGAATGGGCAGACGGTTCTAAGTCCGATGTCGTATATGTTTCCAATGTTTCGTCTACCAGTTTCCCGCCAATACTAATCGAAGTCCAGCATACAATTACACCAGACTTTATTGACCGCCTGATCAACTACTCTCTGTCTGTAAAAAAATGCTTTAAAGAAAAACTGATTGTGATTGTATTTGGCACGCATGCACTTAGCTGTGCGCAGACTGTAAATAGCTGGGCCTACACTGTAAATAGCTGTGCGCTACAAGGAATGAAATTAGTCTTGATTTTGAAACAACTTCGTTTGAATTCGCAAGAGGGATCCCAAGTAAATACTGGGCGGAAAAATGCTACATACTTGATAAAAATACCATCGCTGAAGCCACTAAAGTAACTCCCTTGCCAGCAATGATGGCATTGGCTTATTTTTTCTCTTCCCAAAAGCTATCTCTTTTATCAAGTCAATTTCAAGATGATCCTACCGTTCGGAAGTTGTATTCCATTGCCAAAAACCAGACGTCAACAAGGATTGTACAAGAAAAGTCCGTGGCTGAAGCTTTACTTGAAATCTGTGAACAAACCAACAAGCAGTTCAAGGAAATTTCGAATACTTTGGATCCCATGCCTGATACCCTGTTGAAGAAACGATTACGTGCTTATACTAGTGATGGCCTGTTGTACACCGAGACCTGCAAACGTATGTACATAAGAGAATCAGATTCGCTTGTTGAGCCAATGCCACCACCACCCGTATTATCCGAGCTGGCAAGATCAAGTTTAGTAAATGAAAGTAGTTCTAGCGTCGACATACTTCGCGCCGAAGCTGATCTCCCGAAAACTGATATGGAATACGTTCAACAATTCAAGGAAGGCGTAGAAAGAATGGATTGGAAAAGGAGAAGGTTTCTTTAGTTCTTATAATAGTTTTTCAAGTCTAAAAACTTCTTATTATAAAAGAAGTAATAAATAAAGAATTCTGCTGTCATTATCACCTTACTATACGGTACCACCTTTTTTTTTTTTTTTTTTTTTTTTTTTTTTTTTTTTTTTTTTTTGCTGAGCTCAGGCAGTAACAATTAAGTAGTTGTGATGCTCTGGTATACCTTACGGTTAACGAAAAAAGATTGGCCCAATAACTAAAAAAATAAGTGGTCAGTCTGAAATGAAAAAGGGTCACCAATACAAAGATGTAATGTGGATTGGCCAAATTCTCTCTTCTTTTCTCTTCTTCATTTTTTTTTATATTGCTTAACACGAATGGAGAATACTGTTTTGACAGTGAGACAGTAGCTGTGATGATGCAATTATATATGGACTGGGAAGAGACTGCAGTAGTAAACGCAGCACAAAAAGAAGCTAACAGGTAGGCCAGACCTCACTCCAAGGAGTCATCCCTTGATGTAGTGGAGAAGGAAAGGGGATTATACATTACCAAGAAAGAAGCAAAGGTAGTTAATTTAATTAATTTGTTGCAAGAGCTTGAGGATATGTCTATCAATGAAGCGAGTAGAAAGGCAGGGCTCTTCAAGTCAACAGCTACTCGTAAACTCAAGCAGTGAAATCAAATGACAAGCGAAATAGCTGAAAAAGGATTCCTTGATTCTATCGCAATCAATAAAGGAAAAGGACGACCCACAATACTCAAATACGAACATATTGTATTTGTCTCTGAGCTGCTGGCTCATGAGCCAACATTGACAGTCGAAGCTGTTGAGGATGCTTATAGGCACGGCTTAAGAAATAAGTGATAATTGTAGTTATTACATATATATATATATATATTAATTTATTATTATTAGTTATTAAAACAAGATCATTATTTAATGCTGGAATAGGCAGACCATATTATTTTCTCATAGGGCCAAATTTTTTAGTGCGACATCATTTTGGCAAAAGCTGTATCTAGTGATATTGCCTTATTTGGGTTACTGTTTTTGCCATGAGGTGTTTCAACTGTAAGGTATTCCAGAGCATCACAACTGCTTAATTGTTACTGCCTGAGCTCATCAAAAAAAAAAAAAAAAAAAAAAAAAAAAAGGTGGTACCGTATAGTAAGGTAAGATATCGACAGCAGAATTCTTTATTTATTACTCTTTTTATAATAAGCCGTTTTAAGACTTAAAAAACTATTATAAGAACTAAAAAAACCTTCTCCTTTTCCTTCCTCGAAACACTTTTTCCAATCCATTCTTTCTTCGCCTTCCTTGAATTGTTGAACGTATTCCATATCAGTTTTCGGGAGATCAGCTTCGGCGCGAAGTATGTCGACGCTAGAACTACTTTCATTTACTAAACTTGATCTTGCCAGCTCGGATAATACGGGTGGTGGTGGCATTGGCTCAACAAGTGAATCTGATTCTCTTATGTACATACGTTTGCAGGTTTCTTACTTCTCTTGGCAAGTTTTGAATTGCCATGTAAATAAAACCGCAACAATACACACTGTTACTACACAGCTGAAAGCAATCACAGTTAATCGTGAGCATCAAATTGAAATCGGATTGATGAACGAAAGGAACTTTATCAGCAGGATCCATTTTAAATGTCTTGAACACACGATCATCATACACATCCGACATCACACCAGGAATCACTGTTCTTGATTTCCATTGTTTAATGTTGTCAACAAAATCATCGCGCAAAAAAATGTTCTCAATATTGATACAATGGAGCTGTAATAAAAGGATTGGATAAGCTTCATAACACCTCTTGCATTCGAACTAAACAAAACAGTGTTGCAACGAGGAGATCCAGGAAAAGGCTCCTTCGAACTGCATTTCTTTCCAACCGAATGACTTTTTTCTTCTACCGTATGAAAAGCATGTACACCGTGGCATGCAGTACAGCTTACATACTCCTTCATTCCATTGTAAACTCTGACACCGAGTTCACACCAAGCAACGAATGTCTCTGCACGGATAGGAAAACGATACTGCTGGTGAGTTAACTGCAGTACGATGTTAAACATGACCATAAGAAACTCACATCCCTCGTCAGTTAAATGATTTCCGTGAAGCAAGAGAACTGTCAAAAACAAAACAAAGGACAGAGACTCAGTGGAAAGATGGGTCTTGTTCGAGAATGCAACAAAGGGATCTATTGAAAAAGACGCCAATGCCGTCATTGCTGGCAAGGGAGTTACTTTAGTGGCTTCAGCGATGGTATTTTTATCAAGTATGTAGCATTTTTCCGCCCAGTATTTACTTGGGATCCCTCTTGCGAATTCAAACGAAGTTGTTTCAAAATCAAGACTAATTTCATTCCTTGTAGCGCACAGCTATTTACAGTGTAGGCCCAGCTATTTACAGTCTGCGCACAGCTAAGTGCATGCGTGCCAAATACAATCACAATCAGTTTTTCTTTAAAGCATTTTTTTACAGACAGAGAGTAGTTGATCAGGCGGTCAATAAACTATGGTGTAATTGTATGCTGGACTTCGATTAGTATTGGCGGGAAACTGGTAGACGAAACATTGGAAACATATACGACATCGGACTTAGAACCGTCTGCCCATTCTGTCGGTCTTGGGGAATACATTGAAGCAGCAGTTGGACCTACATGAAAAGTCAGCATTTGTATGTTTAAGAATTATTGAGCATTTCTTACCTATGAAGGTGGTTGTAACCATTTCAACCACTTTAGGATCTTGTAATACAAGCTTGGAAATCAAGTCGCTTCCTAGTGGATCTATGGAAAATAATAAACAATAATTTTATGTCAAATACAATTTTTTTTTTGGCGGAAAAAATACGGAAATATCTAGACCTCCGTATTTTTTTCAAACGTAAATTTTTTTATACCACTTACAGAAATTCTGGTCAGAAGACCAGCAGGCCAGTATGAATTTTCTTATTTAGAATGCACCCCTGGTATTTACAGTCCGTGAGTTTCAAAAACTCAAGAACTCTGCTTATAGGAGGTCGTCCTCCTATAGCAAAGACTAGCCGCAGCCGCAATATATCTTTTTCGATTTAGCGTTTTTTTGAAAGAAACAGAAGTGTCATTACTAACTTACCTTTTTACATTATCAATTACTTTCATTCGATAGAAGTATGTTAAAGGAAAAAAAAAAGGAGGAAGAATAAAGTGCGTGAACCAGCTTTATTTATAGGCTGATAAACAAGCTTATGTCAGGATGATTTCATTTGTCTATTTTACCATCCATAATGTTTGAGCCTTTACTTAAAATGGAAACACTTTTTTTGTCAACTGTATCAGGTAATATTCTTCCTTCTAGAGAGCGTACCTTTTTTGATTTTCAATTCATTGATTTTCACTCACTCAAAATTGAAACTGGCGAAGAGAAAATTGCGATTGTAGATGACAGTGATGAAACGATTTTAAAACAAAGTGATATATTTACGTTTAAAGGCTTTTGGGAATTGCTTTCTAGTTCAGTAGGTAGAAAAAAGTCACACAAGTATAAACACCCGTAAGTAAATATGCTTAATTATTATATTGAGAACAGTAATTACTAACTTATTTTACTCGTCATATAGGGTGATTGACTACGTATCAAGAAAAATATCAAGCGGAAACTATTGTGACTTTATAACCACGACAACTTTAGTTTCTGCGTGTAAACAGTTCTTTACCAATTGTTCAAACATGTGAACCTACCAAAGATTTGCTTCTGATTTGAGAGTCACACTTACTCTTATTTTACGCTTGCAACTCTGTCCGAAGAAATCCCATCGTCTGAACGATCCACATGCATGAAAGAAGCAAAAACAAAATTCACGAAAATCCCTCAAAACAGTTAAAAAGCGACACCAAAAAAGGGTCATGATAGATTTTTTTTTTTGACGTGATTGCAAAATATAGCACAAAAAAGCTGAACAAAATACATGTCGTGGACAAACTTATCGACGGTGTTTTCAATTCTTGTGAGAGGCTCCGTTCAGATTTGGAGTCACCTGTAAACAAAGATGATAATTCCAACGAATTTGAAGGTAATAATTAATGGAATACAGCAATACGTATTGGTTTTAAAAAGCTTCGTTTTTATAATTTTTACTTAAAGAAGACGCTGAAAATTTTAATGAAAATGACGAAGATCTAGTAATAATTGATAATGTCACTGAGTCAGATACCAACGATAACGATGTCAAAGACCTATCAGCCTAAGAGATTAAAGCTTTGTGTGCAGTATGCACAATGTTGATTACGTCCCCTTCCATCGAAGGAAATGTAGACGCAACCTATATCAAAAAGCAACTTTATTATGATAAGCAAGAATCTATACCCGCCCTTGCATTAGACACTTCTGCTAGAATAGTCAACGAGTAACGACTAATAAGTTGTAAAAAAGATGAAAAAAACGCTTTCAGATTTTTTCAGATGCGCAAAATCAGACTAGTCAAGTTTATTGGTCGGACTGGTACAAGATTTAAGGAAAATCGAATGTGACAAAAGCTGTACGCATGAATGAATTCCTGTCTGGATTTAATATGTGAATACAAATATCAAGACTTTTTTTTTGGCCTTTCACGCGAAGGACTAAAAGCTTAAGACTAAATGATGCTGCCAATAATATATAGACAGTTAACATAATAAAAAAAATCCAAATAAGTTCTGTGAAGACGCTGATTACACTGCATTTAATTTGGAACATGCTTGTGCAGATAACTAAAAAATAGTTTTAAACGTGTGTACGAAAACTTCGGCGCCTTTATATGTATTAAAGCTTGAATTGAACTTTTTTAAGTCCTATGAAGTTTACAATGCTAGTAAATACTTGATATACCATATTACTTGAGTATAGTTTTTTAAACAAATGCATTTGCCCTATTACTAAGAATCGTGATTTGACCGCATTCGGAATTTAACGTTAGAAATTGCTTTGTTCAAAGAAAACAGGACATATATTTCATTAAATTTGATCTATTCTAGTTGAATGACATGCTCAGCCTCTTTGTTTAAATTATATTTCATCATTCTTAAAACACCAAACTTTTTTTTATTGCTTTAAATCTGATGCGAAACACGAAAGAAGGCGATAATATAATACATGCGCAGATATTCATAAGACTATGAAAAAAAAAATTATACACGGGGGATGTTTCTATGGTTTATGGGTTAGGATTATTTTGGTTATTTCCTTGTTGCTGTTGCTGAAAGTTCATCATATTATTTCTTTGCTGAGCTGCGGTGGCAGCCGCAGCTTGTTGCTGTTGAAATTGCAAATTCATTTGAAACTGCTGTAAGCCTTGTTGCGTTTGCTGACCCAATATGCCCACACCGTTACCGGCCGATGCCGCTGCTAATCCTGTAGCTCCAGGAGTACCAGATCCTGCTGTCTGAGCCGCAGCAGAAGCAGCAGCAGCTGCGTTTAATCGGTCTCTATTTAGTCCAGCCAACATGGCAGCTCGATTAAGATCTTGTAAACTTGCGTTGGTATTTCGCATAATGCCACCATTCTGTCGTGCCGCTTGGAAAGCCGCAATCTGTTGAGCTGTAAACGGCGTCTGTCCTCGACCTCTGCCCATGCCCCGGTTCATCATTAATTGGATCATTTGGGCTTGCTGATTTATTAACTGGGGATTGGTAGCTGTACCTTGTTGTTGTTGTTGCTGCTGTTGCTGTTGTTGTTGCTGCTGCTGTTGCTGCTGTTGCTGCTGTTGCTGTTGTTGCTGCTGCTGCTGCTGCTGTTGTTGTTGTTGCTGTTGTTGTTGTTGCTGTACCTGTTGTTGCATCTGTTGTTGTTGAACCTGCTGTTGAGCTTGCAACATTTGCTGCTGTTGGGTTGTCAATTGATTAGCTGTTGTTTGTGGCGTACGAGCTGCTTGGGCTGCACGAGCTTGGGCCTGTGCTTGCTGTAAGGCTTGTTGCTGTTGTTGTTGATGTATCTGTACCTGTTGCTGTTGATGTAACTGATGCTGCTGTATAATACCTTGTTGGAGTAACTGTAACTGACGTACTTGTGACGTAAGATCCTCGTGACTAATGTTTCTTTGAGCAGCGAGAGCAGCTAACTGATTACGTCGAGCGATTAATAAACCCATTTGCTGTTGATGCTGTGGACTAAGTTGAGCAAGTAATTGTGATGCAGCAGTATCTATTAAAAAAAAAGGGGGGGTAAGGTTAAGATCGATTTAAAGTTATCCGAGTCAAAACAATCTTACTTGTTTGTGTTTGTGGTAAATTCTGTTGTTGCATTCCGGCTGCCATCTGTTAACGAAGGAGGAAAATTTAATGATGATACAAAACAAATATGATATGCTTACCCTTTGTTGAGGTGATTGTTGATTTAATTGTGCTTGTTGTGCAGCCTGAGCCTGTAAAGCCTGTTGCTGGGCCTGTTGTTGTGCTGCAGCTTGTTGTCTTTGAAGATTACCGGAATTTGCCAACTGGCTAACCAACTGTTGTGCAGTGGCAAGGGGTATAACACCAGTGGCGACTAATTGCTGTATACGCTGCAATGAGGCCTGTGCAGACATTTGTTGACCATTTCCTGCGTTGAGAGCTTGTGCAAGTGCTGCTTGTTGAATAGCTGTCATATTTGTAGATATACCACCTAACTGGGGTTGACTAGCTGTCATATTATTATTACCGGTAGCATTTACAGGCAACATATTGGATACTTGAGGTGTAGGCACTGATGTTTGTGTAGCACGTTGAGGTAGCGCCATTGACTGCATAGCCACTTGTTGTTGCTGTTGTTGTTGTTGTAAGGCTGCCATATGTTGCGCAGAAATCTGGGCTTGCGCTTGCGTAGGTGTTTGATGCTGTGATTTCATGCCGTTTCCAGGTAATGCAAGCGTTTGACGCGGTAAAGCAGCGGCCTGTTGTTGTGGCGTAGAGTGTGGAATTGCGGGAGTACTCATATGTGATTGAGATGGAGTTGATGCTCTCGATTGTGCAGCTTGTTGTTGTAATTGTTGCATATGAGCTTGAGATTGGCTTTGAGCAAGCGCTTGAGCCTGGTGTGCCTGGGCTTGTTGTTGCGCTTGCACCTGCGCTTGTGCTTGTGCTTGTGCCTGCGCCTGTGCTTGAAGCGCTTGAGCCTGTGCTTGAGCTGCAACTTGTGCCTGAGCCTGAGCTTGCGCTTGGACCTGCGCTTGTGCCTGTAATTGTGCTTGACTTAATCCTACACTTTGCTGTTGTTGCTGTTGTTGCTGTTGTGCTTGTGCCTGAGCCTGTGCTTGCGCTTGTGCCTGAGCTTGTGCCTGCGCTTGGGCCTGCGCTTGGGCTTGTGCCTGAGCTTGAGCTTGAGCAAGCATTGCCCTTTGATGAGGAGGAAGCATAGCAGCTTTTGCTTGCATAGCACGATTCTGTTGGGCATGTAATTGTTGTAATTGGAAATTGGTTGCTTGCTGTTGGGCTTGTTGTGCAGTCTGTTGCTGTTGCATATTAGTAGGTATACGTACTGTAGAGGGTGATGGCGGTACAATGTTTGCATTCGAATTATCACAGACTATGGTGTTAAACTGGCCGTAAGTTGATTTAAGATGAACAATATATGTTTCCATAAGATATTCAGGGCCGAGATTAAAATCTATATTACCACCATTTACACTTGTATCGTAAACAGTCCCCCAACGAAATACGCCATCATATTCACCATTACACACATATATATTAACGATGGTATAAACTTTTCGGTCTCCTTCTGATCTTTCGAATCGAATTGTTCTGCAGCATTTTCTTCCGTCGGATAAGATGGGCGGTTCCACCAGTGCTTTCCTCCCTTTGCCTTTCTTTGAATCAATAGCCGGTAATGGTTCTGATCCGGTCTTTTGTTTCTTCAATCTCCAATCCTGCACAAACGATATTTTTCCAAAACTGGGTTCGAATGGGAAGGCTCGTCTCGCTCTCTAGTATTAAAAAAAAAAGGGGGAACCCATTAATGTCCATTGTGAGTCAATTGAGTCATTCTACTTACGGTATCCATCAATGTCATTAATTTATCGTTCTCTGCTTTCTTTGCCAATTTCTGTTCGCGTTCGACTGAATTCCACTTGTTTTTCCTTTTCAATTTTCTAGATCCATTCGTAAACTCAATTGCATTGCTGACACGGGTTACTTGGAACGACGGATCTAAACAGAGGGGTTCCTCGGTTGCAATCTATCGATATTTTTGTTTTCTTCTTTTTTACTATTTACGCTTATTTTGTTTTTGATTTAAAATGATGCTTACAAGAATCTGAGCTTCCACTTCGAGCGCTATGTCCTCTGTCCAAGGAAATCCCCATTCTTCGCTTAATAACGTGATATCTGTCCAAATACTTTCTGCTGTTGGCTTCATCACAACTCTTTTCATTTTAGCCTCTGTCTCTAATGTGCGTTTGTTATTTTCTGAGTCGACGGAACGGTGATCGTGAATCTCGACAATTAAGCATCCTAAATAGGTAATGAATACAACGACGTATGGGTATGCCTTATTGGGTATTACCATTGTAGTATCTACAGGAGGCATCGTTGAATACGTCCATCAAATCCCCAGGCAGCCGCTTGTCCTTAATGCAGGTTAAAAAATCCTAATATGCGTCTCTCGTCAATATGTTGTATTTCAAGCTGCCGAATATTGAAATGTTGTTGCTACAAACCTTGAATTGACTTTTATAAGAAAAGAAACCATCCTATGTGGGAATCAGGGTAAGTTCAATGATAAAAATCGCAAGAAAGTGGTTTTTTTTGAGTATTTCATGAATGCTAACCTCGTGCTCGAATTTGAAATAAGTTGGATACAAATGAAGACAAAGTGAAGGTGGATCTTTCTGGTGTCGCCTCAGTAAATCTGCATAGATAACTAATTAATGCTTTTATTTGGTTGACTAGTTCTCGCGATTTCTAATTACCTTTTTCATCTCGTGATGACGGAGACTTTGATTTAGAGGTATAAAAAACGTTAATTTCAAAAAAGACACTTTAGAAATCTTGGGATGTAATTACTTTGTATGGTGCTTGTGATGTTAATACTGATTGATGCCATCGCTGCGCCGTTAAGCCTGCCTTTTTTGCAAGCGAAGAGTTCGATAAATTAGAACCTTGCTTTGAATGGAGTTCTGCCAATTGCGCTATCGAACTTTGATCTGCCTGAAGCTTCGCCATGACTTTAGCTGAAGCCATAATGTGTAAATTAATGTTTGGTTAAAAATAAAACTGTATTTTTTTGTAAATTGACAACCTGTTTTTATGTACGAAAAAAAAAATAGGATAGAAGTAAAGAAAAGAAAATTAAATTCAATTATGGTAAACTATATACAGCCAGTCCTTGGATAACCAATAGAGATCCCAGAAATTCTGTTCCTTACATTTGGTTTATTCAATCCTTGTCTTTTTTACATGTAAAAAGTCTTTTAAAATGTTAACATGTGTATCGTTTAATTATTTGGAGCTGTAATCATCATGCAATGATAGCCAATCCTTGGGCGAAATACGACAATACAGGAAGATCATCCATGCACAATCCTATAGAATCCCCGGCCGCATGGTTAATGGTAATTGCAATACTGAGAGAATATACAGATATCTGAGCAAAATCCTTTAAATCTTTTTGTCTTGAGGTTTTCAATCTATTTTCTCTGTTCTTTAAGATGGTTTTATTATGTAGTCATATGATACATTTGTCACTACTGATAAGTATATGTGTCCTGCCAACATTGATTCCCAATCTTTCTTTACAGTCATTAAATTATACATGTTGGGGATGATTGAGTCAAACGGACACAAGTAAAAACCGGTTTTTTTACATCATTTTCGATTGACAGCAGATCTGTTGATGTCAATTGTTCTTAGTGTCGTCTCTCTGACCACTGCATTAGCCTATCAATATAAAAGGTTTTGTTTAAAAGCATTTAAGATATAAGATAAGCTTTAATTTTTTTTTGGAAAAAAAAAAAGGGTCATTGTATGTCGACCGACCATTATTCACACATGTCTCCCTTCTATGGGTCCTGACATAACATTAGTAGTCTGCTGCTTCAGTTCGCGGGTGTCTTCCGCTTAGAATGTGTTCAAAATACAAATGCTAAAAGATACCCTTTCAATTCATCAAAATGATTTTTTCCAATTGAGCTAAAACCATCTACATAATTTAAACAAATTTTTACATTGGATAGATAAACGCTAGAAACATGAAAATATTCATTGTTGTCAAAAGTTAAACATACAAATACACGTACATTTGGCACTCAAGAGACGTTATTATGCTGCCCTGAAATAGCCGCGTGGAACTTTGTATTAAATCAATTTTATATCAGTTTAGTAAAACAACATCGTGATTAGAGCAAAAAAAAAAAACTAAATCGTACGGATGACGGAGCTTACTATCCTTGTGTATAGGAATTTGACTTGATATATCACCCCGCTCTCCCGCTCTCTCCCATAATAATGATGATATATGTGATATAGTTATTAATCGATATAGGATGGGGCTTTCTTATCCAGCCAAGGGTACATAGACTAAAGGAGTTGAATCCTCACGGCTAGAGACACACCTACATATTCGCTCCAGTTTCATCCATTTATTTCAAAGCATAGACTGTGCTTTTTAAAAAGATTGCTTCAAGCTTTCAACTGTTCCAGGTAACTATACTTTACCACACTTTACCAAAATATTATTATAGTATGTATCCCAACGCACCAAGAAGTGATTGATACATGTATAGATGATCGCCCCAGACTATTTAAAAAAAACTAGATATGGGTGCACGAATTTTCCCCCGGTTTGTTTATCGTTTCAGCCAAGTAGTATGTTCATACAGATGTAAAAAGAGAAGAATTATATATGTCATCAGATCTTACAAAGTAAAAGTGTAACCTTTGATACTTGAATACAGGTAAGCTTAACTCCAATGATATTATTACTAGGATTGGAACGTAGCTAGATATACTACTTTTTTTCCTGCAACACTATCTAGTAGATTCAGACGAAAAGAGAAAAAAAAATATATGATACAAAAACACTCAATAACTTATTGTTTATGCTGATGTAATAAAAATCGATTATTCGTTTACTTTTATTTAGCGTCGATTAAGACTCATAAAGAGGTGTATCCTGATATTTTATTTTTCAGTATAATCTTGTGCTCTTTTTTTTTTTTTTTTTTTTTGGAGTAGGAAAATTTCTAAAAACGAAAAATAAGGCACAAAGTTAAAAGTAGGCTAATGGGTTGAAACGAGTGTGTGATAAACTAGTTCGTTTATTTCCAGAAGTAAGAGTACCCCCTCAAAAAAAAAAAGAGAGACCTGCTGCCAAGATAAATACAAGAACCTTTAAAGATTTTCTTATACCGTTAAGCTACATCACTATTCTGTAGTGCATGTCAAAATCAATTCAACGAAACAAAATCGAAGAGGGGAAAGCGCCCTTAAATTGAGTCTGAAACCCAAGGAGATTTGTCAAATGAAACTCTAAAATGACTGCATTTTTTTTGGGGGGGGGGACTTTAATTTGTTTTGGAATGTTTAATTTAGGAATTCAACAAGTAAATTGAAATTTCAATGATGAAATGCTGCTTTCATTTACGAGATTATTTTGCCTTGTGCAGCATATGTTTAGAGTAGCATGTATCTCTAACTTGTGACGATGAGACCTAAAAGATCACAAAAACGTATCAAATTGGACCAAGATGAATGTTCTTTATTCGATGCGATTTCAAAAAAAAAAAAAAAAAAAAAAAGAGAACTATAATTACTATGTTGAATGATGCACGCTAGTAAGAATTTCAAGAAAGGTAGCTCATGGAAAGTGTTACAATCTTTTTCCATTAGATTAGATTTTTTAGATTGCCCAAATAAATAAAAAGGAACCAGACCCTCTTGGGGACATACCTAGAACGGGGAGGAAAACGTAGCTCTATAGTTTTTTTTTTTTTACCCGATCCTTTTTTTGTCGATCAAACCCTTTATGATTTTCCTTTGAGAGACGGAAATTGAAAAAGCGCCAATATATTAATCTATCGGGGATTTGGGGTAATCATCATGTCATTGATGATTATATTGGTTAATTTGTTTCCATCATTTTTTTATTGATTAAAAAGAGGAGCATTATGTAATGGGCGTTTCAGACATTATTCACCTTTTGATGTTGCTAATGAGACTTATTAAAAGGGAGAGAGAGAGAGAGATTTTTATTATTAAAAATAGAGAGTAGCACTAATGGCTCTAATCCTTATAAGCGTTAGGTAAAAGAGTCATGTCACACAAGTAATTAGAATCTTCAAATTATGCATTGATTCTAGATGGCCATATATTTATAGTTTTTTTTGTCGGGCCAGCCGTAACAAAAACCTGACTGAAGGGGGGTACAAGATACGAATAAAATGAAACTGCATTGTAAGGGACAAAATATCATCGCAGAAGAAGGTTGTTTATGTACAGTAGAAAAAAAAAAAAAGGAAAGAAAAAAAAAGATTGTGTTTTTATTTTAAACTATGGGATACAGAAGAAAAAAAAAAAGAGAGAATAATTAAAATCCTTGGAAAGGACCTTGATTGTTGGGACTGGCATATTGACCTTGAGGGCCACCTGGAAGTCCACCTTGTTGAGGGGAAGAAGGTTGTCTCATGTTGGGATGAGGCTGAGAAGAACCATAATTTTGTTGAGGACCCCATGGACCAGAAGCAGTGGGGGTAGGTTGATTTGGTATATTGTTTCTAGGCGCAGGATTATTGTTGGTAGGGGCCATGGATTGAGGTCTGTAAGTAGGGTAATATCCAGATCCTGCCTTGGCTGGGGCTTCCTTGGAAGGATCAAAGTAATGAGATGGCGTGGCTGTAGTGGATTGATATGACATTTGTGAAATAGAATCATCGTCATTATCTGCTCCCAATAATCCACGTTTTGACTCGTCTTCTTCAGATGGAACCATCGAATGCATTAAATGTGTAGGTCCCATTTCACGCATCTGTCTTTCCTTACGTTCACGTCGTTTGTTGGCTCTCACACGTTTACGTTCATAATCTTCCCATCGTTTCAAAGGTACCTTGGAAGGATCAAACACACCATCCTTCTTTGAATGATCTTCCTTTGTCTCACCTTCTACTTTACGTGTTTCTCCCCATGAGAAATCATCAAAATGCCAGAATGCATATACGGGCAATACAAAATTCCAGATAGGCAACGCACACAAGTAGACAAACATCCACATGACATATACCCATTTTCGTGTAGTGATCAAAATCAAGAAGGCTGGTGAGAATAGAACGATAATCAACAAAATCAATGGAATCGCCACGTTGAAACTGGTGATTTTGGTCTGCGCCATATTCGCAATCAATACTACTGTCAAGACAATCGCCACTGGCAAAGTCAATGTACCCACTAAATCCATCATGACCACAAACTGCATGGAGAAACAGAAAGTACCACACAAGTTACGTACGAGGACTAATTCAAACAAGTTATGAATGGTCGAGTTAATCCAACGACGACGTTGAGAGAGCAAGACGGCAAATTCATCGGGTACGACAGTTTTACAAATGGCTTGAGGCGTAAACACCATTTTACGGAAAGGGAAATTACGCAACATGAGGGTGGTTAAGAAACGATCTTCACCAAGGAGCAATAAATTCTTTTGATGCAAGGTATCAATGGTATTAGAAGAATATTCTTGGACGATTTCAGGTTTGGTAATGATAGGAACCCAATCACCGTCACCTTTACGAGCCTTTAAACGATACATACAGAAACAACCGGGTAAACATGTCACACCACCAAACACAGCTTCAAATCCTTTAGCCAAATGATGGGAAATAAAGTATTCATAGACTTGGATGGCTGTCACCCAAGAATCACGCTTATTGGCGATTTTTGTCTCACCACATAAGCCCATAATCATGTTATCATTGACCATACAATTCACCAATAACCGCATAGAAGTAGGATAGACTTTAGTATCGGCATCCACCATGAGGACCAATTCGAAATAATCGGGCGTCACACCCATCAACCATTGAATTTTTCTAAACAAGTCGTAATCAAGTGGTGTCATGCGATCATTATAAGTCACTCGGCTGAAAAAGTTCATCAAAATAAGCTGGGAATCACGTTTACCACGATTACCAGGCTTAGGTTTGCCTTGTTCGTCAGGATTACCACTCTTTACTACAAGGATCATTGGTACCTTGTGTCCCTTACAAACTATAATCATAACATGTTATTTAATAACCTAAGCCCAACCGCAAAAAAAAAATTTGTATATCGAATAAAAAAAAAAAAAGGAAGGATACTTTACCATAATGACCAGCATAGACTTTTGCTTCGTTGTGTTGTTTGGAACCGACGGCGACAGCAATATAAGGCATGGATTCGGGATTCTTTGCAGAAGGGTTGGATTCGTCAAAGGTGATCAAGGAAAGACACATATCTGGTGTTGACATGGTTTCACCATGACCGGTGATAATACCATCGGCAATCAAGAAGAGTAATTTACGGTCGTCAGGGTAATCTGTGACGGATAAAGATTCAACCGTAGCGGCGATACCTTCAGTGTTTTCAGAGTAACAAGTAATGAGGAGCACGGTGTAAAGATCGTTACCGACTTGGATGCGTTGGGATGCAGGTGAGTTGGGGCCACCAGCGCCAGCGGGAGAGAGGGTACTTGCGGAATCCATGCGTAACATACCAGCGCCCTTGATATCCGACATTTCCATTGCGTTACCTGTATTAGCGGCAGCTGAACGAGGAGCAGGAGGAGGGGTACGAGATAACTTTCTAGAGATGAACCAAGAAAAGATCAAGGCCATGAAGAAACGAGCGAGAACGATAGCCAAGACGATACCTAACGAGGCAGCCAACACAATGGAAGAAACAAAACAACCGGTTGTCTTTTTATCAATATGACCAGCACGATATTTTTGAACAAGACAGTCTACAGCGGCTTTAAATTCAGGTCGACGAAAGAACATTTTGGTACCGTCTCTTCCACCTTCTGCAAACGAGTTACTCAAGAGTCCACGAATCAGTACATCGAGAGAATCACCGGCAATGGGAATAGGATTGGCTTTAATGTAAGGTTCCATGTTGAGCACATTACCATCGACGACAATATAATGCGTCAAGTTGAACTGAGCAAATTGACTCCAGTCAAAACCGACTTGACGAGTGGAATTCACTAAGCCCAAAACAGTGCCCAAGTTAGCGGCAGATAAATCACCATCGAGACATCCAGCAAATGTATTGACAGGTGTACAGGGAAGACTGGTGACGGCTTTGAAACCAGCAGTAATGGAATTACCAGGAGCAACACAGGAAGGAATATTGACACCATGTGTGAAATGATTTGTGATATCTGTACCAGGAATAGCAGCCAAAGCAGGAAAGTTGAGATTGGCTGTAGATTTGGCATTGGTGGTATTAAATTGCCAGCCTAAAATACCCACTAAATTGGCTATATATATCAAAGGGGAGGTTGGGGGTTAGATATATGTATATAAGGAGAATAATAAAAAAAAAAAAAAGTATAATGAAAATATAATAGCAGATAAAGAAAAAAAAAGGGAAATAAGGATAGACTTACGTGCATCAGCGGTATCATTATAAGAAGCATAATTTTGTTGATTATTGGATTGATCTGTTGGACAGAGAACAGAATTTAAGCCGATAGTGATGAAAGCGACGAAGCCACCCATACAAGCGATTAAGAAACAAAGGGTCATTTTCTCTCTCCAGGCTTGTTGCATACTAGCGTCGCCCATTTTAAATGCTGTTAACATGGGAGGCAGTGCCCAAAAGGTGACTATACGAGAAAATATGACCCAAGGATCGAATGCGCTACCAGAAGAAGTTTGTTTGCCGGTTAAGAGTGGTGGTGGTTCTTGGTATCGATCGGGACGGATGAGGGTACGACCTCGTTGTACATTATGACTAGCGTTGGCTATTGAATTTCCACCAGGCACAATACGACGAGTGGGTGCTCTTCCTAGTGTAGTGGGACGACGACCAATGGATGTCGACCCTCCTGTTGCATTGTTGTAGTGATAATTGTTGTCAGAAGGTGGTTGGTATCCATATTCTGGTTGACCGCCTTGATCATATCGATTCTGTGCCATTTATATATATATATATAGTTTTTTTTTTTTTTTCTTCTTTCTAAAAAAAGAGAATAAAGAGAGAGAAAGAGGGGTGGCGAAAAAGAAGAAAAGAAAGAAAGAATATATAAATATATATATCTCAAAAAAAGGGGAAACCCAAAATCTATAATGAAAAAAGAAGGAAAAGGGGACAAAAAAGAAAGTGAGAAGGGGCAAGTTTAAATAAGAGAATTGACCACGGGGGACGATGAAAAAAAAAATCCAAAGCCAGTTAAAAAAGTTGGTAGCAGAAATGACAGCTTCTCTGGAAAAAGCGCTGGGCAAAAAAAAAAAAAAAGTATTTTTACTGCCCATAATAAATAATGAAAATGAAGCTAGTTCAAAATAGAAAAGTTGGCCGATCTTTTTTTATTCTGCTTGTTCCTTTATATAAGTCCTTCTTTTGTTAATTCTATTTCAGTGGGGAGAAAGACAGAGTAGATGATGAGCATCTCTTGGGCTAATGAGGCTATTGTTCTCTTTGTATGTTTTTTTGCAAAAATTAAAAAAAAAAAAAAAAAAAACTTGTTATCACTAATAAATAGTTTTGGGAAACACAACACGCCTCATGTACGACCTCACCCCCTTTTCTTCGATCTAGAATAGCACTCCGCTACAATAAAAACTTCTTTTCTATTTTTATCAAAACTTAATAAACTATTAGGTTCTTTTTTTTTTTTTTTTTTTTTATAAATGTATTCTTGTTATAACAACCAAGTACGCATTTACCTTTTTTTTCTTATCCCGCTCCCCCCCACGCGCGCAGCTTGACCATAGCATATCTTTTTTTTAGAAACAGGGAAAAATTCAACGTGGCTAATTGTTTATTTCCAAATATAGGGGGGGGCAAAGGTACCTTACCTTGGCTCCAATTTACAGGGTGTAAATTAGAATCGAGCCTGGAATCAATTTTTTTTTTTTTTTTTACTCGCTTTATCTCTTTGGGCTTAGAAGCGCATTCAACCCATACTAGCCACCCTTTACGTTACAGGCTGAAGCTGATACACTCCATTGGCTTAGTTTTACACTTTCAGCTGATCAATAATAACAAGGCAAAAAAAAAAAAAAAAAAAAAAAAAAAGAGAGATCGCTGGTCGTACTGAACATTGACAGTATCACCCATATTCCGGATCCTCTCTCTCTTTCTCTCTCTCTCTCTCTTTTTTTTTTTTTTTTTTTTTTTTTTGCCACTAAAAGTAATCAAATACTTTATTGGTAACACCAGTTAAATGCTAAATCGTTTCTTGGCGCATTTTCTTTTTTCTTTATATCATGATCGACCCAAACGGATAATCACTTTGTAGCTCCTCAATGAATCAGTTACCAGGGACGAAAAAAAAAAAAGAAACTGAAACACTGCCAATGAATGAGCATAAAAAAAGGGTATCATAGCAACGAGAAATTTTTGTTGCTAGGTGCACGCTAAAAAAAAATGAGTGACGATGGGGTTACGGGCTAAACCCTAAAAGAACAAAAAGAAATTAATCTCGTCAAGTACGACCTTGGTGTGATTGTGATAAAAAAAGTCCCTAACTGCACACCCTTTTTTTTTTTATGTGTTTATTTTGGAGATATGTAATGTATTCTGTTACACGTCGCAGATACATCTGAGGTTGTATTACGTGTACTACATGTATTCCATTTTTTTTTTAATATTTGACAAAAAAAAAGCAGGGATTTTACGGTATTACATTACATAGCGTCATGTTTTAATGACAGTGTAAATGTGTGTATAATATAGGATGGGATGGTGTAACAGGGTTCTTTTTTTCTTGTGTTTAAAATATGTTTGTCTATAAAATAAAAAAATACACACACAAGAAGTCCGCTCTATGCCCCTCCCCCCCCCCCTCTTTTTATGTTGCACCCGTCGTCAGGAGAGGAGGATAGGCAATATCAATGTAAAAAGTACGTCGATGTGTAATAATAGCGGAAAAAAACAGGTATGAACAGGATCGACACAATCATAAGAGATGGCCAAGAAGAAAAAGTGGATGATAAAGACATACACATGATATTTATAAATCCAAGTTGAAACCACTGGTATGGGATTGTTTTTAATTCTGTAAGGTTTGTCATTATGTCCTACATGAAAGCGTATTCGTTCGACTTATTTTTTTGTGGTATGACAAACCTAATACCAATCTGAAATCGTCATATGACCCTTTTTTTCTTTTTCTTCTTTTTTATCATTCATTGTCCTTTGGTAAGTGACATTTTGTGGATGGTTGACAGTTTGTTACAGTAAGTCATTTGTGTGGTATGTGTGTGTTTAGTACAAAATAAACAAAATCTATTAATAAATAGCAGTTAAAGAGTGCATTGAGATGATATGAAAGAAAAGAGCGGATACTGAAAAGAACGGATTTGGGGAATAAAAAGAGAGCGAAAGAGAGAGTAGCGAATTCGGCAGATTGACGCCATGTGATTGGATCAGAAATCCGCAACTCCGTGAAAGGAAGTACACGGACGTTTTTTTTAAACTACATCTTTTTTATAAAATCATGTGGGTTGGGGGGAGATATTATAATCATCAACTGACTTTTTAGAGTTAGTAAGATAACAAGAAAGAAACAGGGAGAGAGATATAAAAGAAGGAGAGAAAGGAAAAGGGGAGGGGGGCAGAAGAGTGTTTCGGCAATAGTTGTGAAATATAGCTTTGCATCTCTTTTTTGTCATATAAAAAAAGTGAGATGCAATTGTTTATATTAAGTGTGTGTGTGTGTGTGCTGTGCTGTGCTGTGCTTTTACATTTTTGAAAGGTCGCCTTGATTTTATTGGTAAGGATAATAATAGAGTGTGTGCATAAACTATTCCAAAATAAACCCTCCTCCCTCTTTTTTTTTTTTCTTTTTCCCAGCCCCCCCATTACGAAATTTTCTATAAAAGCTTAATACTAATTAATTCTTTTTTATTTTTTCTTCTCTTTATTTGATTTTCCCTTTCCTTTTTCTTTATACTTGTCTTTCTCTTTAACTGTGCTGGCTCACATTAAAACCCATTACATAAAAAACAATATCATGATGAACCTCAATTTACATAAAGCTTACCCCACCAATGTGACTAGAAGAAGAACACACCTTAAACCCAGTCAGGTTGCTGTACTTCAAGAGTCATTTGTAACAAATACTTTACCCGATGCCAGTATGCGAGCTCAATTGGCACAGGATTTAGGTGTGACAGAAAGAACCGTTCAGATCTGGTTTCAGAACAGAAGAGCCAAGGCTCGTAAATTGGAAGCTGCAGGCGGTTTACCTTCCTTAGTACCTAATGTCAGAACTGGATGGATTGATATGCCTCAAATTAATCAACCTCCTCAAGCTACCTTTCGTTCTTATATCACGCCCGAATGTTACCAAAATGAACCTTCTATCAAACGTAGACCAAGATCCTGTTCTAAACCAGAAAAGACCACCTCGTTTATCGTTCCTACACCACCTCAACGCGCCATGTCGGAAGGCATGGGCCGAATCAATGAAACAAAGGGTAAATTTAATAACAAACAAAAACACCTGTTAAAAACGTGTCATTAACAACTATTTTTTTTTTTTTTTTTTTAGCAGAAAAATTAGTGTCTTTCCCTGTAAATACCATCCGCATTGGCTCTTGGGCTAGATTTGCCAGTCAAATTAACAACGAATGGGACCTTGTCTGCTTTAGTGATCCCTCTACACGTCAGTTGATCTGGCAAGTTCAAGATGATGGACATCAATTCCGTATCGAAGTCGATTACAGTTATATTAAGCAAATCCGCTTAGGCCAACTTCAGTCTGACATTGGACAGCTGGAGATTGATGTAGAGCCTAAATCGATGATCTCCTTTTCTATGCGACGCCAAGGAATTGATCAAGACTGGATCCGATGTGGCGATTTCACGGAAAGTCAACAAGCGACAGAAGGAGGATCGCATATGCTCCAAGGTTCCCATGGCAATCTGAGACAATCGCTCCTGGAATTGATCTCGCAAGCTCCTGATTTAGCTGGTAAATTGGTGATTATCCCTGATAATAATAACAATGATTTCCTTTGTCGAGATCTTACGATTTCGCCCTCGGCCACACCAGAACCCATGCATCATTACTTGTCAAATAACTTGTTTATTGAAAAGCCATGGAATAACAATTACTACACTCCTCCTTCCTTTGACCCTCATTCCTCTTGGACATATCTCAACATGTTGCAGCAGCAAGCAAATAATAATGGAGTCATGAACTCTTTTATCTAGTTTTTCTTTCTTTTAGTACAAACCCCCCAAAAAAATATATATATAAATAAATAAATAAAAAAAAAAAAAAGTTTGTTTCTCCCCCCCACCCCCTTTTTACCCAGTAACACCACTCTCTCTTTCTTTCTTTTTTTTTTAATAATGGCAAATAGATACAATGACGCCCATCGATTGTTTGTACAAGGCATGTTTACAAAACGCATTGTGACAGAAGCAGAGGCAAACCAGTTTTATAATCATGTGCATACCATTACCACTCGTAAGTCTTTTGAGGGGGGCGGATCTTGACCTCAATTTTCGTTGTACTCATGTAATTGCTTTCTTATAGGAACACCCGACAATGAATATCCCATGTTTGTAGCCGCCATTAATAAAGAATTAAACGAACTCGATTATTCACTTCGCATGACACAGGATGAACGTGATGGCGAGCCTTATTTAGTCCTTGTCAATGTCAAACAAGATGCCATGACAGAAGGTGCCACCATGTTTAAACCGCTTGAAATTAGTTACTGCCGAGAACTGGTAAAAAAAAACGATCTTTTCTTTTTTCTTGTTTAAGAATTCATACACTAATTCAACATGTAGTTTGATGCTATTGTAAATGCGGATAATGAAGACTTTGCAGTGACTACGATGGGAGCGATTAATTTAGGCAGCAAAATCAAACCCCTTAAATTAAACCAACGTGAAACGCAAGAAGTGCTGGATCAATTGGTGTTGGATGGTTGGATCGGGTTGGAGCGTAAGGGTGTGTATTATTTAGCTACACGTGGATTGACAGAATTACAAGGCTTTTTACGTGAACAGTATGGTGATATCATTCGAGACTGTGTGATCTGTCTTGATATTGTGACGATGGGTGAATCGTGTGCTGTCAGTAATTGTCCTATTCGAATGCATAAACATTGTGCCAACACACAATTCCGTAACTCTACCAATCCTGTGTGTCCGCAGTGTTCAGCACGCTGGTCTCGTAATAATACATTTGGCTTAGGTTTACCTGACGACGACGACGAAGAATAAAGAGAAGAAGAAGCAAAAAAAAAAAAAAAAAAATAAGGGTGCTTTTATTCATATATAAAAATTTAATTGTGAGCAAATTTGCGTACATAGTTTTCTACACATTCACGAACATCTATATTGGGAATGATACCATCCAATCCATGTGGAATGGTTTTTTGACATTCGAAGCAGGCAAAATCATGATCCATCAGATGGACACGAATACATTCGTCACAAAAACTAGTACCACAACAAGGTGTGATAGTTGCCTCTCTCAAGAGACCCTTACATACGGCACATTGTAAATAATCGGGTACGGGAATCGAATCATACCAATCCATCAAATCACCAGCTGATCCTACACCCAATCCAATGGTCGTAGCGGCTTTGGCAACATGTTTGTCCCAAGAGGAAGAGTCCGCTTGTGCAACCACAATGTCGCCCTTGGGTGTCACCATCAATCCACCTGTACCTGCTTTCACTGCGTCTTTGGGTTCTTCAATTACCTTGAGGAAACTACGAGGGATACCCGTGGTACGCTTGATACGAGGGTGTTTGTCATAGTCTTTGTCGCCATTGGTAGGACACTGGTTGATATAATGGCCTAATCATGAGATATAATAGATTGAGTTTATGAGTACATATTAGGAATTGTGATGTTTTACCTTTTTGACCACAACGGTAACAAACATAAGTGGCAGGAGGAACACGTTGAGGCATTTGGCCACCATCTTTGTTATCAGCGACTTGGGAATGTGTTAAACCACCAGGAGATCCTTGAAAGCCACCTCTTCCACGTCTAGCATCGCTTCCCCCACGAGCATTATACGGGATATATTGCTGTCTGGCGAGTTGGAAGGGAATAAAATACGAAAAAAAGAGAAAAGGGAAAAGAAAGAAAGAAAGAGACAATTACGATAAATATAGGTTATAAAGAAACAATTCTTTTTTTAATCATTGAATAACATAAAAAAAAATTCTAAACCCACACAAACCTCACCCCCACACGCATACACACTTATCAACAGCAACAACAACAAAATAAAGAAAGAAAAAAAGAAAAGGGTACTTACTCTGCTAGTCGTTCTTGCATGGCACCCCATTGATCTGTGGTTTGTTGAAACATTGCTTGAATACGTGCTTCCTCTGAATCATCTTTGGGACCATCGTCTGTTTCGCTCTTAATGGGCTCTTGTACTGTAGTGGGTTTGGCGGGTGTAGGTCGAGCTGCGTTCAAGACCATGTTTCTGCCAGGGTTGAATTGAGCGCCTGTAGGAGGTGGAGGTGCACCTGCCTTTTGGAACCCTTGTCCTTTGCCGTCGGTCGGTAACACGCCCAACACATAGCGTTGTGCTGTGCCTTTACCTGGCCTTGAAGCAGGTAAACGTCGAACGATAATCGACGTGTTTCTAGGAATCACAAAGACATCGTCCTTGTACTCTTTATTTGTCACATCCGTTAGTATGAACAAAAAAACTTTTACGGTCAAGGGATTTACCTTCTTCGGTTTGAGCATTGTAAATGGCAATATCGAATTCGGTACCTTTACCAAACTTTTTGGCACGAATGATTTCACGCTTTAAATCAAAAACAGTGGCTCCAGGTCCATCAAACGTAAATACATCGTAATCAGATTCTTTCGCGGATCGAAGTTTATAATAAATGGAAGACATTGGTTAAAAAAAGATTGAAAAACGAAAAAAAAAAAAGATGTTGCTGCGACTTTCAATATAAAAAAAAATAAAATAAAAATGTGTGACTTTATAAACGTAATCACACACACACACAATAAAAATGGGTTTGCTGGGCATTTATACCCTATCATCCAAAGGACAACAGATATTTGCCAAATGCTCAATATGGACTGTCCTTTAACAAGGTGATGACAAACATCCTGTCCACACTACATGTCAAATTCGAAACAAAGTCACTTAAAACTCAGGGACATAAGAATCGCCTTTGAACACAGACGTACAAAAAAAAAAAAAAAAAAATCTTTTTTATTTACTTTTTTCAAGCATGTCAAACTACGATACTGTCATTCTCGATATTGAGGGTACTATTACTCCCATTACTTTTGTCAAGGAAACTTTGGTACCGTTACGCTTTCCATAGGGTTATCCATAGAGAATTTTATTTTGTATTAACTTGTTTACATTAGTTCCCTTATGTCACTTCTGGATTAACTCAATTCTTAAACCGTACCTGGGACATGCCTGAATTAAAGCAACAAGTAGAATTACTTCGCGTCCAGGTAAGAGAATAATGAATGTAGTGACGCGTGAAAAGAAGAAGGAAAGGGAGGGAAAGAACTCAAAATCGCCAGGAAATAGGCTCAAAAAGATGTGCAAGATAAGCTCGAGCATGCTGTTTTGATCCCTACAGAGTCTGAAGCGTAAGTTATTATAAAGAGAATCAAGAGGAGATGGTATTAAAACAAGATAGAATAGTTCTGTGCAAGAGGTCAAGGATGCTGTGATTGAAACAATTCATTGGCAAATGAAGGCAGACCGTAAGATCGGTGCCTTGAAATCCTTCCAAGGGTTTATGTGGAAGGAAGGATATGAATCCGGAGTTCTTCGTGGCGTGTAAAGTATAAATCAAGGAATGATATTGACAAGGACAACATTTTAATTTTAAAATCTTGTGGGGGGAAAATTGATGTAGTGTGTATGATGATGTGGTACCTGCTTTAGAAAAATGGAAGGCGGAAGGAAAGACCATTTACATTTACTCCTCCGGTAGTGTCCCTGCTCAAAAGTTATTAGTCGGTTATAGCTCCAAGGGTGATTTGATGCCTGTAAGTTTCTTTTAGAATAGTTTTTTTGGTGAAGGATATCCAATTAATTTTCGAGTAGTTCTTCTCTGGTTATTTCGATACAAGTGTTGGATTAAAGACAGAAACTGAATCATATCGTAACATTGCCAAGCAAATTAACAAGGAGAACAAGACGGATAGTATTTTATTTGTTACTGACAATATCCATGGTAAAAACAATCGTTGTTTGGAAATTAAACCTGTTCGATGTCTAATCCCTTTTTAATTTTGTCATAGAAATTGTTGCTGCTACTCAAGCAGGATATCAAGTTGTAATTTCTGATCGCCCTGGTAATGCACCTTTGGGACCTGAAAGCAAACAATTTAAAATTGTCACTTCGTTTGATCAAATCTAAATATTTGTGATAAAAAAAAAAGGGAGTAGGTGTCCCCCTCTATTCTTTTTTTGGGGGTAGGCAAGCCGAATAGTTTTTCTTTTGATTGTCAAGAATAAAACGTGTAAAGTGAGAAAGGAGAAAGATCAAGTTCAAATGATAATTGTTTGTGCTTATTTTTAACCAGAAAAGGAAAAAGAGAGGTCTCCTGCATTTCTGGGGACTCTTAAAAATAGACGGTATAACTCGTCATTGTTGATTATATAGAGCCATCTGTGCATAGATTAACTAGATACGAAAAAAAAAAGAAAGGGATCTGTGTGTGTGTGTGCGCGTGTGTGTGTGTGTAGGTGGGGGGAGGAGGCTGAGTGGTTTCAAAAAAAAAAACATTTCTTAAAAAACACGAGGATGTAAAAAGAAAGCAATCATGGGACACACATGGAATAGGAGAGTGTAATGGTCTATTCCATGCGCTGAATCGAAATGGAACAAGGATTTTCATTGTCATCATCACGCGATTTCCTTTTCATTCGATTTCGCAGTGTCATTTATTTCATACATAATTGAACTTTTAGGCATTGACCCAAACATTTGTCCTTTTTTAGGTGACTTGGGCGCAGTCTGTTTGCAAAAAGACTGCGCTTTCTAGTAACCATAGTTTGATCGCATGTAACCATGTCCTGAAAAAAGACCGTGATGGAAACACCAAGAGTCTTCAAAAATAAAACTGCTCCAACTTCTAACGGAAAACTTGATTGCAAACACTTGGATCTGTCCAGTTGTGAAAAGCCCATGTTTCACGCTATATGAATACTTTTTATTTTATCAGCTTTTGACTCTAGTATTTACTAAAATCTATTCTTTCAAATGTCACTCAACACTGACAGTGAGCAAAGTGTACTTCACCAAAAAAAATCACTTTTGACATTCAATAATCTGCTTTCCATAGTCAATGATACTAAGTAGCAACAATCGAATTAACGCTAAAGAAGCAGTTAACTTTAATAAGTAGCTTAAAGCTCGAATTCGCTTACTTAAACTCACATTTTCACAACAAATACAAAAAAATGCATAAAAGTAATGCTTATTTTTTAAAAAAAAAATCTTTATTCATTCTTTTGTTGTCGCTCGGTTTTCGTATGGTGTTTCCTGTTGTATTTTGACCCAACTTCTGTGCCATTGTCAAGTAAGGAAACATACTTTCTTTTCTTTAATGACCTATTCCTTGAAAAATCGTTCGTAAGAAATTCTTTCGGGAAAATTGGCCATTGTTGGTGGGAAAAATGTGCCAGTCACCCAGGTACAGTTTTACAATCGCGATAAACCTTTGAGATTTCACCGTACTATGGATAAATCATTGTAAGTATTGCTTTCCAAGAAGAGATTCCTAGTAAGAGGACAGATTGTAGTCCATAAATCTGTGAGCTCTTCACAATAGAAACTTTAGCCTGTTGAAATGTTGTATGGGACTTGACAATATCATCAATGTTACGTTTGCTTTCCACGGCAAGCTTGAATTTGTCATTGATCAACTTCCCAAAGTTGGTAGATGTCTTGACTGATTCGATGTGACAGGTATCAAAGACAATCAAAGACAATTAGATACCGTCGTAACCGTAACCTACCAGAAATCGAGCCTTATTTTGTTATGATTGGTTCAGTGTCTTGGCGAAAGTAAAGTTAGTGGTTAAAACTTGACAAACTATTTTACCGTTGATTTTGCAGCCAATATTGTGAGTTTTGTTGCTGTTTTTGGCACGCTTGGTTGCTGTTGCTGTGTCTGTAGATGTTTCCCACATTTCATAAACAGGTTCTTGTTATCACCGATCATCAGCTCAAGAACTTCGCAACAAAGCTTCATCATAAAATCCAGCCCACTGATTTTGTCGGTGGAATTATCAAAAATGGCTCTTCTATCGCGATATACGTTGATTCTAAAAGTAAATACATTTAAATTAGCATATACTACCTTGCCATACGGACTATGCAAAGGATTCTTTGTTTTTGAGGGAAAGAGAAATTACATATGGACTACTTGTCGTTTGGGTGGGGCACCCCTTATGCTTTCCAAAGCCATATAACACCCTTCTTCGTCATCATTCTTCATCGGATTTATTATCTGTTTTGGAGTGCGAGAATATACATATTTATCTTCCTTATACAAGAGAGAGATATTTAGAATACTGACCCTATAAAAAAACCATCATTAGATTGTTTATGTTATAAACTTGCCACTTGTTTCAATCATTTTAAAAAAAAAGTTATGGCGTCTATGCTTCAAAAATTTAAATGATATGCCGTTGAATATAGATCTGCGAAATGGATGAGAATCCTTACCTCTAGCCTTGTGAAAATATTACTTTATTGTACATGTCATTAACAGATTTAAGTATTCATATATATAATTTAGCATGTGTTCCTTAAATATATTTGTTCGTAACCCTACAAAAGTCAGAGTCCTTTATTAACACTGGCTATTCAACAATTGTACCGGTTATTGGCGTATTAACATCTAAAGAATAGGGGTCTCCTGAGCATCCATAAGACACTCAGGGTCTCTTAAGCAACACCTTGTATTAATTTTGATCAATAAAAGAAGGTTACGGCTTGAAAGGAAGTAGAGAGAAAACGTATAGCTGAACATCATAATCGTCACATGGGTTTACGCTCAATAACTATAATCCAAAGATAATATCCATGCTGAACAGCTATACATGACTCAAAATATGGTAAAACAATTTCAACCAGATGTATCGGACTTGAATCTATAGTGGTTGCGGCTAGAACGGTGCAATAATTCTAGAACCCACCTCCAAATATAGTTAACTTTCTCACATAATAACTTAATATTTAATTATTACAAGAGTTGTAAATAGTGAAAACAGAGACATCAGTTGGAAATACAGTAACTACATACTTTTTGTGAAGAAATTTGGTTAACAAACACTGCTTACATCTTCAGGCGTTTGGCTGTTCAGTATAAAAAAATGTTAAGGGGTGGTAGCAACGTAACACCATTATCTTGTATACATTGGCTTTATTATACAATATGCGTGCGATCGAATAAAGAAAAAATTGCTGGGATCATCGAGCGTGAGTGGCACCGAAATATTCAAAATTGTTTTCCATCATGTAAAGGTTATGCAGCTATAAATAGACACAGAACTAGTTTATACTGTTTGCTGCGCCAAATACTATAAGAAATTAAGCATATATGACCCAATTGACATTGTTATCTTAATAAAAGCAAGTATATTATATTAGAAATTTGTGTGTTTTATACTTGTAGAATTTATAGAACAGCGATTACTTTCTCTGGTAATTAAGAAGCGATACTCATAGTGAATAAAACAGCTGAGTTTGTTATCCATCGTTGTTTGTTTTGATCGACGTGACACTGGCTAAGGACTTTGCGATTTGAATCTTACCAAAAAGAAAAGGAAATCCACTTCGTTTTTAGGCTTTCTTTTTCCTATTCCCTATCCCTCCCATACCATATCCCAAAAATGACATCCCAAAATACGAATAGTTCAAATATACCTCCGGAAATACTAAACAAAATATGTTGTTATTTGGATCGACGCACGATTTATGAATGTACGACCGTTTGTAAAAGTTGGAAGGCGACAACTTGTAGAATTTTGTATAAAGGTGTGGTCATAGATGGTTTTGGAGTTTATTGTACAAAATTGATATTGAAAATACCTCCTCAGGAACGTCATAGTTTTTTCAGATACGTTTTCTCAATTACACGCTTGACGTTAGCTAGGGGTTATAAAAAATCAGTTCATGCCTTCAATAGTAAGCGATCCAAAGCTACTCAATTAAATAGCTCAGATATAAGATTCAGCAAAAAGGAAATTATTGCACTATTGGAAGCATTGCCCAACCTGGAGTACCTAGATATGAATGCTGGTACCAAACTGCAAAAATACCTCAAGTGTATCCTTAAAACAGACTCCGAAACATGTTTGACCCGAATCCAGAATATACCTCCTCCAAATAAAGCTAAAGTAGCCGGACTGCACTTGGCTGTTTGTCACAAGTATAATGCAACTATAACTCGTCTGGATATAATTCAAACTAAAGAGATAACGAGGTTTTTCCATTCATGTGATAATCTACTCCTATATCTAGGTTACTTTGCAAGATTAACCCACCTGCGAATACTTACTACATTGTTGGTTTGTAAAATTTCCACAGCAGACATCGAATTTGCTTGCCCTTCTTTAAAGGAATTGGAATTCTCTTTTGGTGTATATTGGAATGACAGACCAAGTAGGGACCGCTGTCTAATGCAAACAATCAGCCACAGTTTTAACAGCAACTTAGAAATCTTGTCTCTCAGCTGTCCAATAATGGGTCCGAGCTATTTGAAATATATTACAGAATACACTCCTCTAGTAAAAGCATTAAATTTTGTCCTATATAGGACTGATATTATTTTTTGGATAGATTACGTAGGCATGGATACCTTTACAAAGTTTTTTGGTCGATTAAGTGCAGCAAAAAATGCTAGTTTTGGTTATTACGAGTACATGTGGAGCGATGATGTCTTACGACCAACAAATTTAAGCATATTTTTCAAACTTGTTAATGCTTTTCGAGGACACAAAAAGCCGTTCTGTTCCGCAACTTCTATCTCCAGGGGATATATAAAAAAATCATCCATGAATTACAGTTTAGAAAAAGGATTAAAACTTACCGTTGATCTACCAAATGATCCGTCCAGGCTGCCTGATATTCGTATATCCAGTATAGGATTGGAAATAATCAATGCGTTAAAGGTGCTTACGAGGCTTAATTCCGGAGATTCACATCTGCTTTGTATGTTAAATATTGTTTTAAAAGCATGTCCTTTGCTTGTTACTACTCGATTCGTTGACGGATATTGCAAAAGGAGAATACTATATATGGGCCCTTATTTTCACACAAATAAGTCCGTAAAAGCCCGGCTTTTTTCATCACGAATCACTACAGAAAAAAGCCTTAGGGTGATGACAGCACAAAACTTTATTCCATCCAACGAAACTTTAAAAACTCTTGACCATCATCTTCCGAATATAAAGTACGTGGCATTTATACATATTCCGCTCCGGCATAAAAAGAGAGTGGTGAATTTGCTGCATTTCAGGAATTTAAGGACCTTTTTCTTGGATCTGGGACCTCACCGTAAAATTGAAGTAAAGTATGCGTATATCTGTTTGCATTTTAATGATGGCGAAATTCTGTATTTTTGTTATAAAGAGGAGCACCCGTTTAAATTGACACTAACCAGCGAGGCATATATAAATCAATGGCATTGGCAATCCTCAAAACCAAGTCTCAACATTACTATCAAATGTCGCAAGAAGATTAAGCTAGTCTTTGGCCGGTACAATATTGGCTCGAATGGCGTTTATAGCTCGGTATTACTTGCAGAGTTTAGGCTGGGGAAACTCATGAATCATATTAGTTTAAATTCACGAATGTTTTGTCATGACATATACCTCAAATAAATTGGTTTGTCTTACTGATTTTTTTTCACCCTGTCTTTTTATACAAATTTTGTGAATATGAAAGCACATATGATAGAAAAGCAAAAAGGGTCTGTTTTTTTTGCAACAATTAGTTTAAAAATAGACACATTTATTTGGGATAATGACATTTTTTTATCCCATTAGCCATGATAAACAAAACAAAAAACAACTGAAACTTCCTCCCCGGTTTTTTACATCTGACAATCGAAAGTAAATTTTGAAGCTACTGAAAAAATCTTATTGTATGCAAAATTAGCTTTCTTGTAAATGAAATGGGTTTGCTTTGATTTTCGCAAACATGAGTGATTTTTCGTCTTTGGGTGATCTATTTTGGAGTGCGAGAATATACATATTTATCTTCTTTACACAAGAGAGCGATATTTAGACTGCTAACTTATTAAAAAACCATCATTAGATTGTTTACGTTATAGAAATCTCGCTTCTTGTTTTAATCACACGTAAAAACTCAATAAAATAAAAACTATTGCTTCTGTGCTTTAAAAATTTGAAATAGAGTTTTATGTCAAGATCCTTTGCTCTTCAAATTCTAAATGCAATGCCGTCGAGTATGGACCTGCAAAAGGAATGTAAATCTTTCCCTTCAACCTTGTGAAAAGCTTACTTCTATTGTACGTATCATTACAAGATTTGAGTTCTCATATATTAAAATGTAAAGGCTAAGCAACTATACATGCATAAGTAGAACTGGAGTTGCACTTTACTATTGTTTGTTACACTAATGCTATGAAATATCTAACATATAGTCCAAGTAACGTTGCTACTTTATATTATGCTTGAAATTTATGTGTTATCATACATGTATAATTTATAAGATAAAGATTGACTTCCCTGACACATAAAGCAACACCGATACTTAATGGAATGAAACAGCTGAGTTTATTATACATTGTTGTTTGTTTTGATCAATGTGATACTAAGGACTTCGCGTTTTAAATCAAAGAAAAAAAAAAGAACTTTGTTTCTCTTTACTTTCTTTTTTCCTCTCTCCTAAAAATAGCATCCGAAAATATGCGCATTTTAGATATACCTTCAGAAATTGTATACGAAATTTGTTCTTACCTAGATCGACGCACGATTTCAGAATGTAGGACCCTTTGTAAAAGTTGGAAAACGCCTACTTGTAGACTTATGTATAAAGGTGTGGTCATTGATGCTTTTGGAGTTTATTACACAAAGTTGATATTAAAAAGACCTCCTCAGGAACGGTATGGTTATTTCCAATACGGTGTCACGATTACACGCTTGACGTTAGCTGCGGATTATAAAGAAATGGTTCAAGTCTTTAACAGTAAGCGATCCAAAGCTACTCAATTACGTAGCTCAGATATAGAATTCAGCAAAAAGGAAATCATTACACTACTTGAAGCATTACCCAACCTGGAGTATTTAAATATGAATGCTAGTATGAATCTTCAAAAATACCTCAACTGTATCCTAAAAACAGACTCCAAAAAATGTTTAACTCGAATCCAACATATACCGCCCTCAAAGAATACTCAAATGAATCGTGACTCAGCCGATCGGTACTTTTCTGTTTGTTACAAATATCGTGCGACTATAAAATCTCTGTCTTTACTTTATCATTATAATATGCCGAAGTTCGCGCCTTTACGTGATCACTTACTTGTATTTATAGGACGCTTTACAAGATTAACTCGCTTAGTAGTACATGATTGTTCGTCCGTTTATACAATTTCAACAGTTGATATTGAAGTTGCTTGCCCTACTTTACAAGAATTGAGATTTTTTGTTGGTACACACTGGGAGCCAGCAAATGTACAGAGCAGTCTAGAAGTAACAAACAGCCACGGTAACAGCAACTTGCACACAATGTGTCTCGGATGTCCAGTCATGGGAACGAGCTATTTGAAATACATCATAGAACACACTCCTTTAGTTACAACGTTTAGTTTTACCATGTATTGGCCTGATATCTGTTCATGGATAGCATATATTGGTATGGATACCGCTACAAAGTTTTTTTGTCGATTAAGCGTAGCGAAAAATGCTACCTTTAGCTATTACCAGAGCGATTCTGTTGATTGGTTACGCCCAGCAAAAATAACCACGTTTTTCGAAGTTGTAAATGCTTTTCGAGGACACAAAGAACCATTCTGTTCCGCGACTTTTAATTGTAATCTAAAACCTAGAGGGGAATCATTCATGACTTATGATTCAAAAAAAGGATTGGAACTTATCTTTGATGCACCCCAAAGTACGTCCTCAGATCCGCTCAGATTGCCTGATACTCGTATATCTTGTATAGGATTAGAAATAATCAATGTGTTGAAGGTGTTTTTAAGGTTTGATTCCGATGAAGAAAATCTGCTCCGTATGTTAACTGTCGCTCTGCAAAGGTGTCCTCTACTTGTCACCACTCGGTTCGTTGACGAAAAGTCTAAAGGGAGAATGCTATATATGGGCCCTTATTTTCACACGAATAGATTCGAAGATGCCCAGCTTTTTACATCACGAATCAATGTCAAAAAAAACCTTAGGATGATGACAGCACAAAACTTCATTCCATCAACCAAAACTTTAAGACTTCTTGCTAATCACCTTCCAAATATAAAGAACGTGGCATTTATACATATTCCGCTCCAATACGAAAAGAGGGTGGTGAATTTGCTGCAGTTCAAAAATTTAGAGACGTTTTTCTTGGATCTGGGACCTCACCGTCGGATTGAAGCAGAGTATGCTTATATCTGTCTGCAATGCAATGATGGTGACAATCTTTATTATTGTTATAAAGAGGAGTACCCGTTTCAATTGACAGTGACCAGCAAGGAGTTTATAAAACAATGTCATTGGCGACAACCAAAACGAATTTTTAACATGGTTATTAAATGTTGCAAGAAGGTCAAGCTGGTTTTTGGTAGGTACAATTATGGTTTAAATGGCGTTTATAGCTCGGTATTGTTTGCAGAGCTTAAGAATGGGAAACTTCTAGATCATATTAGTTTAGATTCACGAATGTTCTGTCATGACATATACCTGAAATAAATCGCTTTTATACACTAATTTTTTCTAGATACTATGTCTTTTCAAAGGACCTTTATGTATTTGAAAGCACTTAGAAAAAAAAGAGGGGCTGGTTTGTTTGCAATAAGTAGTATTACTAATAGACATATTTGTTTGGGGTAATAATGTTTTTTATGCCATTAGTCAGTGGCCATAAAAATCGGTTTTGTTTAATATAAATGATTGAGTAAGCAAGGGGTAATTATATCCAAGCGCATAGATCACATAGATAATCAAATAATACGGGTAGTAAATGCTGTAAATAGGGTTTTTTGAAAGTGGAATAAAATGATAAAAAGAAAAAAAACAGCGAGTCAAAACTAAGATCTATTCTATTCCAAAAAGTTGAAAGAAAAAAACCAAGGAACATCCGCCATGCCTGCTACGATTATTTATCTTAATTGTTGTTTACGCATCTTATGATTATTATGTAATATGATTGTTTATAAGATAGTTTGTTCTGGTGGTTAATTGGAGGTGGTTCTAGCTGCAATCACCACAGTAAATCGTTTATTTAATTGTGAAACCATGAATGAATTTGATCACTTAATGTAAATATTTACATGATTTGTTTGGGTGGTAAATATTTATGGGAGGCAATGATGACAAAGTGTAGGTTATACGAGATTAGAAAAAAAAAGGGGGGGGGGGGGACTCCCTCCCACTGTTTATTTATTTACAAGATGTATATTATTAATCGTCTTCATTTAGTCGAATTCGACCACCACTCCAACGTGGTACGGCTTGTCCTATGCCTCTAGCTTTTTGCACACATTTATATAAATAGATACAAGTTTTGTACAGCCATTTTACGAAATGGCTTAAAGCACATCTGGTATTCACCTCAAGATATATTTCTAAACTTATTGAAGTGAGTGCTATTACCGTATAAAACATGGCATTACAGCCATACTTTTCGTAAATGACACCGCCTACAAGACTCCCTAATCCAGCACCCACACCTGCGTACATGGCAGCTAATAAACCTTGCGATGTTGCTTGTAGCGACGGAGGAGATAATTCATCAGCTTGCACCACACCGGCACCCCACAAAGCAGAGAATGCAATTCCGTTTAAAAGATGTAATCCTAAAGCGATGCTGGCTCCGGTTGGGCTTCTGGGTAAAATAGTATAAGCAAAAACTCGAATGATAGTCAGCACATGACCAAGAATGACCAAGCTTTTAATACCGAACAACCTGATAAGCTGAGTATCTATTTAAATAAGCGATCCCTTTAATTTTTTAGAGTACTATCAAAACTTACGTCTCTGGAATAAAAAAAGAATACAAGCTCAGTAGAAGAACCGATCAATCCTGTTAGTCCGACTTGTGATGAGCTTGCTCCCAAATCTTGTTTGAGGTAGATAAATAGAAAACTGATAACCATATTCAACGAAGCACCCATCAACATCATTGTCAGATAAAACAAGGAAACCTCTGGTTTTTTCAATAATTCTATGATTGTAGCTGGTTCATCCAGAGTCAACCTAACAGATCTACGTCGATGTGATGGAGGATTAGATAGATTAACAGCCTCGATGATACTCGATTCTGTTGCAAACTGGATCAATCTTTGGATCTCGTTTTGACGTATCTGTGGACTATCTAAATCAATACCAACTTCCTCGTAAGGATCAACTTGAAACTGTTTCATTTTTCCTTCGTAGCGTTGTGTAGATGTTCTCGGTATCTTTGCTGTTGTTGTTGTTGCTGTTGCTGATGATGATGATGACGATGCTGGGAATGAAACATTTTGCGATTGTGGTATAAATATGTCTTCGATTCTTTCCGACTTAAATTGGGTATTTCCAGCAACAAGAATGAAGCAGATGGCAGAACATGCATAAATGTAAAAGATTGCATTCATATCATCTGTCCAATCTGTGATAAAACCAACCAATGACGATGCAACACCAAATGATATTGAACCAAACATACGCTGTCTACCATACTGATCTTTATTTCGACCTAAGATTTTTAATACTCCACCATCCACCAAGGGTCCCACGGGAACACCAAAGAAAGCAAAACAAATGGAGGTAATGGTGACTAGTGTGATTGTCAATTTACTTCTTTCGGACTCTTCTTCTATAGACTGAACTACTACCGAAATTCCCATGACACTCACGATAGCAACAGTAGCCAAGGTATGCACAATACACATAATGTAGCGATGTGTCTTGGTTTTATCTGCAATCGTAGCCCATAATGGACATGCAACAGCAGAAATAAAGGGAGCTATGACATACTTCATTAGTAATGGGTATTGGTATCCTTCCCTAACGTATTTTACCAATGGCAACCAGCAACCCAATTTGATCACCTTTCAGTCCTAATTGTGAAGAGTAGAATAGAGCAAGATAAACTGGAGCTGAACCTTGACATGCGAATAAGAATGTGTATAAAAGTTTAGGCGCAAGATAAGGCATGACCCCTTTTTTATTGTTGAAAAGAGAACACCTTTATGGAATGTGGATGAAAATTCGAATGTTACAAAAGCGTTAAAGCAAATTTAAACAGTTCTCTTATTTTCATTGATGATGAATGTGACCATTTTGTTACAATCTCCGTTCGATACCAAAAGCGGATGACTTTTTTTATTTTTTATTTTTTTTCTTCTTTAGACAAGATGGTCAAACGTAAAGGAAGACTCAATTGAATCGAGATTATTGTACATTTCTAATCAACCTTTTTAAAGTAGCAAACATAGCCATATACCCTTTGCCCTTTATAACCAGAGAAAAGTTACAGAAATTCTCTACTAAACTGAAGTAACTGATTTTTTTGACAACCTTTCTTCTTATAGAAAGACTAATACCTCGAAATAGACAATTGGAAGAAGAGACAGACACGACTATTATATATGACTATGAAGACCAAGTACGTTTTTTTGAGAGTAGAGTGTCTTAGATATTGAGAAAGTCCTAACTGTATCATTAGGTTTTTAATATCGAGGGAGAGTCTCAAGAAGGTTGCGACATAGTGTGAGTTGCTATAAATTTCATGTTCGTATAGCAAATTAACAAGTAATCTATCAGAGAAGAGAACATATTGTTTTCTCTGATTCCCTTATTAGTAAGTTGGGTCTAATATACGTTTTTTTCTTCTGGAGACGCTAAACTGTATGCTGGATTTTTCATTATAGAGCAACGATATTGACAAGGCTTGCATGACTGGAACTTATGAAGAACTATCTTTTATAGAAGGAAAAGTACCTGTAGCCAGTTTTAGTATAGTGAATGTAGAGGGCAGATCTTTAAAAGATCAAGAGGATGATATGGAACATGATGAAGAGGCTATAATTGAAAAGGAGCCAGAGGATGTGCAATTTATTATCAAAGAATTCCACATTTCACCGAGAATAACGAATATCCAAGCTTTTATTATTGGTCCTCCTCAGTTTAACATGCAGCTGGCCGAATATTTGGAAATTATACCACGTATGACCAATACGGATTGTGTGCTACTGGGTAGATGTATTAGAATCACAGGCGAAGAAAGCTGTGTCGATAATGCGATTGACAAGTTTAGAGTAATCCAAAATTCCCATGTAAGTTTTACCACAAGCGTTGATCAATTTATCTGCTTACGTAAAGTAGATTGCACATTTAGAGGTCGATTATGCAATGTGCATTCATTACCCAAAACACTCTGGACATTATGGCCTTTGTTTTTGTGACCTAAACAGATATAAACAGAAAGAATTTGTGATTGATCAGCTGGATCCGCATCAGGTCTTAGAGGACATTTATGTAATGTTACCTGTATTTATTGACCCTCTTACTAACGAATACGCCAGGCCCAAAGATTTGATTCAAATCAAGGCACCAGCCCAAAAAAAATACCAGCAAATGGCTGAGGAGGAATACAGGGAAAGAGATAAACTTAAAAGAAAAGAAATAAACGACGCATTTGCGATGTTGAATGTCAAACCTGTCATTGAAACAAAGCCTAATCAATCACATAAATACTATGTTCAGTATAGCGAACCCCACTACAACACCCCCTCTCCTACATTGACAGGAAAAATACCTATGAATACCAACAGTACGGAATTAATCGGTTCATTAGAAAATTATCACACAGCAAGTGCTTCATCGTCAGCACCCATCAGACGACCAAATTACATGAAAAACAATATGCGAGATTCCACCAAGGAGGTTTTGAAAAGTGAATCGACAGATGAGGAGCCACTTTCTGTCTACGAATATGAAGTTCAAAAACTTCCCGAGAATACGGAAGAAAATTTTCCTAGTTTGTCCCCCAGTCCAGTTTCTCGCAGTCCAACCCCCATAAATGGACGACGACCCAAAGGGTTGTTTAAACCAACACTAGGGAATGAGGAACCCAAAAAAAATCGAGTGATACGTATTGTACCACAAAAATCGTATAGATCGCGAAGTCCGACACCATCATTGAGTCTTGTTGAGAGGTAACTTTCGCGTTAATTATATACTTGAACAATATTCATCTTTATTTTTAAAAAACAAAATATTAGGGTGAAGGAGTATAATTATCATAACATAAAAAATGTGCTGGAGAAAGGGTTAGATTCCATCAGAGGATTTAAAGGGGAAATAAGATTATCAGCCAAGTTCGTATAAATGCATTCTTCTTTTTTTTTTTTTTTTTTGGTTGTATTTTTGTAGTTAATAGAAAATGTAGAATAGGAAAGGTTTTTTGGACAGATGTACCTGCGGAAATAAAAGGACAAATTTGGAGATACGAGGATATCAATGATATTCTGATCAAGGAACATAATTTGAAACCGCAATTCACCCGAGCGTAATTGACATCGACCTTTGTAAAATTGATATATAAACTAAATCAGCCACTAATTTTTTTTTTGTCATATCTAGTACAGCAAGGGATCAATTTATTCTGGAATGTATGACATCTGAAAATATATTGCCCTCGCCAGCTTACAACAAAACCTCAACCTATGAGTTCCACTGCTTGGCACGTAACCAACCCATAGTACCGTTTAGACCAGTGGTAATTCACATGAACGAAGGGGTTATAAATGTCAAGAAGGTCGTGTTACGAGAAAAAGTTGTATCCAAGGTTGACTGGGTATCGCTCGATAGAAAATACGACTTCGAGTTGTCACTTTCCACCAAGGTTTTAGCTAGAACCGATGTGAAGCCATACTCCACGTTTATAAAACGTGTTTCTATCTGGTAAAAAAAAAAAAAAAAAAAAAAAAAAAAAAAAAAAAATAGAACAATGGCATTAGTTTTTATCGTTGCTAACAAATTTCTTCAATAGCCCGATCACTTGTTTAATGACTTTTGAAAACGTACCTAAGTTTTTGAGTGTGGAATTTTTGCTATTAAAAGTGACAGCGAGATTTAGAATTGATCATCCTTTTATCATTGAAATCACTCGTGTTGAAAAAGTACCTATCAAGCCTGTAGCCGGTACGGTAAAAATTGATGCTTATCCTGGTGAGGGCGAGTTTTGGTATGACTTTGAGATTAGAAATACAGAAACCGATGTTAGTTTTGAAAAAAACAAAGACCTGGAGATAGGAGATGAGGCTCCATGGACTGCTAAAGATATTTTAGATCTAGCAGATGGCGACCATGCAAAAGCTGATAATATCACCAAACATGTTCAAAATATTTTAAATGTCATTGAAAAAATTGAACGCGAGATACGTGGAACATAAAACCATCACCCCCTTTTCCCTCTTCATCCCCTAGCTTGCAGTTACTGACCGTTTCCAAACAATTGATAAAAAAAATTAGATGTATTTTTTACTTACCAAATATTAAAAATAAATATATGCTTTTAGAATTTTCACGTTTAAAAATTGAGGGATGCTGTTGTATATCTTATTATGGATGGTCTAAAATTTAGACAGATAAAAAAAAATACAACCGGGGCAGCGGATACAAATCCTAGTCCAAATATAATAAGGCAAGAATCGCATACCATCGATATCAATATTATTTATAGTCAAATCGTACAGAAGTACTATGATACTGTAGTATTTAATATCGATACAGTACGTGTGGCAAGGTCTGTTTTGACCTCAGAAAGTAGATCTACTGTTTTAATTTCAGCAACTTACAAATAACAGCAGATCAAGCCATACAGAGGATGATTTAAAGTAAAACTATGGCTTCGTTACCTCCCCCATCTCCCTCCAGAAAGCAACATCAACCAATGCCATTGAGAGCACTGCTTCTAGTACCTATTATTGTTGTATTCTTGTAAATATCTCGGTGCCCGATAGACAGACCGAGATTTCGATACATAAACAGTCGATATCACTCAAAATTAACCCACCATTACCCAACAAAAGACAATTGAGATTTAAAACAGCTGATATTGCTCAGCATGAACATATGATTACCCAACGGGAGATAGTCCAGACAAATGTATCCCCTGAAACCAATCCCCAACAAGCGTCTTGCATTTGTGGAGAACCCACACACAATATTATAAGTGAATCAAGAAGCAGGAGAGCGAGGAGTTGGCTTCTATCCAACAATTTGTGTTGACAGTGAGACACCGAACAAAAAAGATCATGCTGCATCGATCTGTCGAGAACAAAACATCTTGTCCAACCAAAAAGAACAATGCTGTTTCTCGCATTTAAAAAAATACTTTAAAGGCATGCGATCAATTTATTGATAACAAAATTCAGACAATTGGTAAAATGATTTTCTTGGAAGAGGATCTGGAAAAAGAATTGATTTCTTTTCTTTTATATTGTTGTCATTACCACCATCCTTATACATGCATACAACCCTCTCAAAATTACCTTAGCTTCATAGTCCTTCACATATATCTTTTCACACCGTCTTAAATTAATAAAAATATTTATGTGTGGTGATTATAGATGTTATATTATTATATCAGCCATTATCCAGTCGTATGCATTTCTCACATGAAACAATAGACATTAGACCTTACGTATAGAAACCATAAGCTTCTTAAGAAATATGTGGGTGCGTATGAGATTTTTGCCCGATTTACTTTTTGTTAAGAAGTTATAACAGAAGATTACATAGCGTATTCCTGATAAATGTGATAGAACCGTCTTTCACTGGATAGCGTCATGGTTAGTTTGTAGTTTTAATGAATCCTGACGGCGTCAATAATCGCTAAACACCAGAATAAATTATCACGTTTTCAATCTCCATTTAACTAGCTTTTTAAAAAAAAAGTTGCTGGGTCACTTTTTTTCTCGTGCATAGCCATGTCTACTAGAACCAATTCCTTGGGGCAGTATGGTTAAATAATATATTTACCTATTAAAATGACGGATTTGTTTTCCCATTGATAAAAAACAAAACAAATAACGATAAATACAGGAATTTTGTGTCTCTAGTACGACCGATATTGTACCATGTTTGTTGTATATTAACATACCAATGTTCATTTATTCACTGTTTAGAATATTATACTAATTACACTATTTAAAAATCACATATTAAACGTCATTGATTCCTCGTAAAATAACAATAAAATAATAAAAAAAAAGGCACAAAAAGTTTTTTTTTATATACGAAGACATAGTCTCTGGTTTATTAATAGGACGAAAGAAAAATAAATGACTTTAATTTATTGGACATCTTTGACTTCTCTGGTAAGCTTAGAAGTCCAAGGACAATAGAAACATCCGGGCAAGAAAGCACCACAAGCTTCATCAAGATGTTCTTCGAGGTATGGCAGAGTAGCGTCACAAACTTCAATAGCCATGTTAAAAAAGGTGATGGCTTCAGGATCCAAGTGGAAACTGTATTTTGGATTGTACGAAGCAGTTTGTTTTCTAATTCTTCCCATAACGTAAGGTTCGTCATCGGTGGCACCACTAAGAAGGTCACGTGCATGCTTGATACGTTTGTCATCCGTCAATTTAAAGACAAATTCATCAGTAGTTCCGTGGGTCTTGAAAGCAAAATAAGCGGTCTCAGCAGCGACGGCGGCAACCAAGAAAAAGAGGACCAGAATTTGCTTGTACATAATTTGAATTTATAAAAAAATGTTTTTTTGATGATGAAAAAAATAAGAGATAAAAGTTTAGTATTTATACTTTTTTGACATGTTCAAATAACTCAAAATCCACCCACATTGATTATTATGATATCAATATGTGTTTTATTCTAAAGGATTTTTATGCATATCGAATACTATTGATACAGGTAAACATTTATTTTTCGCTCATTGGTATGATACGAATATAACTGTAATTGGTAAAGCTTAAATGGACCGACAGAATTAGATTGTGTATTCTGCATTATGACACGAAAAATTACCACCTTTTTTTTTTGGGGATGTAGGAGAATACGTATGCAGGAGATCATTTCTTTATATTTTTAAATATGGCTTCAGCATACAGCTGAAAGAAGGGACTGTTATTTAATATTTTGCATCATACAATTATCAATTATCTATAGAATTGTTATCCCCCCCCCCTCTTGATTTTTTTGGCCTATCAGAGTGCATATTTGATTCCACTTTAATTTTGACATTTTTACAAGACTGCCGCGGCGAGCATCTTACTTTCATTGCAATTCCGCTACATATATCTGATCTTACAGTTTTAATGCTAGTTATCTAACGAAAGCATCTCTAACACTTCTGACGATATTTCTCAGAGGCTCTTTGCTTTTCGAACTCAAAGAGCTTTTGAAAGCGTGAACGATTTAGACTATGGTCTTGACAAAAAATCTCGGAGATAGAGTTTCAGAATTTTCATTTGCTCCTTCCCTTTCTTAAATTGAGTTGTTTAGAATGTAATGAACCCCTCGAAAAGTATGTGTTGAACAATTGCAAAGAGAATGGCTACCTTGGTTCTTTGGTGGAAAGAACAGGATGTTTGCGCCGCAAAATTCATTCAACGCTTAAACATTAGTAAAATACTTTCATGGATCTGCTGATTCTTTTACTAGTCATTCTATCACGTACAAAATTGAAAAGATTACATGAAAATAATCAGAGATATGACAATTGATGATAACTCATTTGAAGATATGTTGATATCACCTTCGTCCAAAATTCAAACGATTATTTTAGACCCACCAGCTCAGTTTATAGTGCGAGACAAAAGATTTGTGGACAATATTTAGATGGTCATTCTCTTTTGCAAGGTCTTTTGGATCGATTCTCTACCATCAACTCCAGATTCATGTAATCATTTAAACTATATTCAGCTTTCAAATCAACAATGTACGCTCATCGCTAGGATCGCTCTAAAAGTTCTATTTATCGCTTCGTTATATCATCAGCTGCACTACTATCTACTCTTCCTGATTCTCACAACCGTCCTGATTTTCAGCTACCAGCATCTATAGTGACCAAACTTCTTTTACCTATTAATAACGCTTGTTTCTCAATTAGTGAACAATGTCTTTTAAAACTTAAAATAAAGTTCAAGCTTAAATATATTTAAACTATTGATAGTTTGACTCGACGCCCCCAATCAAGATCCAGACAAACAATAGTTATACAAATTCTCAGATCCCGCTTTCATTAAAGTTGCACTCTCAATTAAGATAACTAAATCATTTATTTTGTTTCGCCCTTCCGCTAATGACACCCAATCGTTAATTGTTTGAGTCGATTAACACAGGACCGGTAGAATAAGTAGCTTTATTAATTAAAAAAAAAGAGCCGTTGGGTCACGGATTTTTTGTACATAGTCGTGTTTATTACACCCAATTTTTTGCGGTATTATTAAATTATATTTGAAAAAGGGTAAACTGTATACATCTTAAAATGACTGGGTTGGTCTCCCGTAAATATATAAATACCGTACTATAAAGACAAACGTTTTGTGACTCCAGTACAATAATGGAATTGGCCGAAATACGGTACCACGTAGGTATGTTGTACAATAACACCAACGTCAATTTACTCACGTAGAAATACTATTCTACTTAAACGTATTAAATATTACACAATGAAGGCCATTTATTGTTGAAAAAAAAAGGGCACGAAAGAGAAGCTTTTATTTATTTAATATCAGTTATTTCTTTAGTAAGCTTAGAAGTCCAGGGACAGAAGAAACATCCAGGTAAGAAAGCGCCACAGGCTTCATCGAGATTTTCTTCAAGATATGTCAGAGAAGAGTCGCAAACTTCAATAGCGTGATTAAAAAATTGGATGGTTGTAGGATCAATGTAGAAGCTGTATTTTGGGTTATAAGAAGCAGTTTGTTTTCTAATTCTTCCCATAATATGAGGTTCCTCATCGGTGGCACCACTAAGAAGATCGCGTGCATGCTTGATAAGCTTGTCATCCGTCAATTGAAAGACCAGGTCATTGTAACTTCCGTGGGTCTTGAAAGCAAAGTAAGCAGTTTCAGCAGCGACGGCGGCAACCAAGAAAAAGAGAACCAGAATTTGCTTGTACATGTTTTGTATTTGTTTTCAAAAAAATGTTTTTTTGATGATGAAAAAATAAAAGATTATAATTCAGTATTTATAGTTTTCTGACATGTTTAATACCTCAGCATCCGCCCGCATCGATCATATTTGCGTATTATTTTTTTTTCTAAAGGATCATCATGCATGTTGAGAACTATATACAGGTAAACATTTATAAATTTAATCAGTAAAGCTTATCTATGAGCGAGAGAGATAATTTGTATATTCTGCATTATGACACGAAAAAAGTACCAATTTGCATATTTTGTTTTAGTTGTGGGAAAATACCTATGCAGGAGATTATTTCTATAATCATGTAACTATGGTTTCAACATACAGCTGAAAGAGGGGACTGCTATTTAATTAGTTACATCACGAAGACTTTCTATGATTTGAAACCGCGAGTATGTATGCACATGTATGAAATCATGCCTGTTTTTTTGTAATGCTTTAAAAATTTGTGTTAACAGTTTCCTCTTTTGTGTATGAGAGTATATGAGACACAAATGCATATGGCTAAAACTAAAATAACACCGGATTTACGTTACACATTATATGCAAATAGCTAAAAATATTGTAAAGCCGAAAGAACTGCAAGCTATGGTAGCAACTAGAGTATACTGATACTCAGGTAGTTCAATACACCATAGGTATATCAAAATATTATAAATACTGGACTTACATCCGCTTATTCTTCTTTATCTAAAACATTTTTCTTTAAATACAAGATGTACAAACAAATTCTGGTCCTCTTTTTCTTGGTTGCCGCTGTCGCTGCTGAAACCGCTTACTTTGCTTTTAAAACTTATGGCAGTACTGACGACTTTGTCATTCAATTGACGGACGACAAACTTATTAAGCACGCACGCGATCTTGTGAGTGGTGCCACTACGGATGAACCTCATCTTCATGGAAGAATTAGAAAACAAACTGCTTCTTATAACCCAAAATACAGTTTTCAACTTGACCCTGCAACCATCGGCTTTTTTAACATGGCTATTGAAGTTTGTGACGCTTATTTGCCATACGTTGAAGAGCATCTTGATGAGGCCTGTGGTGCTTTCTTACCTGGATGTGTTTACTGTCCCTGGACCTCTCAAATTACCAGAGAAATCAAATAAATAAAAATTTATTTAAAACAGTTACATCACTTGTCTTTTCTTTTCATATACTTGTAAATGTACATATTTATTTTGTGTTAATAAAACTTGCCAAGGTAGACTAAAAAAAAAAGCTTTTTTTGTTCGAAAGACTGAATAAGTCAGTAATAAGTGCGATCATCAATCAGGAGCATAGTGTGACCCGTCTAGAACCATGATATTACGATAAAAAGTAAATTGGAGACAATCAATATAATTGACGGTGAAAAAGTATTTTCTCAGCGGGAAGGAAGGACGTTGGGTAGTCTCCCGTGATATCATAAAAAGTATTTCTATTCAATAATAAATTTTTCAACCGAATGGGGCTTCAACAACGATGAAGAAGCAAAACCATATAACAACAAAGAGAGGGGTAACACCACGGAAAGAAACTTTTTTTATTGCTTCCGCATCATGGATCCTCGTGTTACAACAACTCTCGAATGATGAAAAAAAAAAAAGGTTTCGTTGTTAAAACACAAACAAAACTTTAAACTGTTATTGAAAATGATCAAACAATAGTAACTGCCTTAGTCAGAATACTCATTTAAGCAATTCGATTTGGCCAGAGTAACGAAGTCACTGAAGCAGGATCGGTTTTATTCATAACAAGTTCCTGTATTTTACTGTCCCCAAAACACATGGATACGTAAAGTACCTAAAACATCAATATTATGTCTTTATCTGTTTTATGACAAATCGTATCTGTCTTGCCACTACCACTGATGTAACCCTTCTTCTAAACATCATGTAATAGCAAATTAGAACATGAGATCTAAAAGAGATTTTCTTTTCCTTATTGCAAACTTGAATTCGCCCTGTAATTGAGACTTACAAGTCGTTGTTTTAGTCATTTGGACAGTAGAAGTATTAACAGGAATTACTCGGTTTTAAGCGGATTACATAATCGATTGAGTGGCCCATGATTTGCTACACTTTGGTTAAATTGAAATGACAAAGATACTTTTGTAAATAGATAAACTTTTCAGTGTAGTTAGATAGCAAGTATTTATAACGACTATACATTTGTAGCGTTCGAATTTGTGCAATCATGATGGAAGATTAACGTCATAACGGTTCAACTTTATACTTCATTACACAAAAAAAGTTAGTTCCAGTTGCATATTATAACATGAAAAGGTCTATTGTTATTTTCATAGTATTTTCTGTGTGTTTGTATTAGGAGAGACAATTGTGTATCTAAGCCAGTTTCTGATACGGGAGGACCCCTATTATCGGAGTACCTTTTTTTTTTTTGTGCTGATCAGTATGAAACTGGTATCTCTCTCCCATCATTTTTTAAGCCATTGTCCAATCAAATAACCTGTATTTATGTTGCAGTAAATTTCCAAACATTTTTGGGACAAAAAAAAAATCCCCTTTCTCCTTACAGCATTCTCAAAATTTGGGAAGAAAAGAAGCTAGATAATGCAAGAACCGGTATTCATTGAGAGAGATAATAGCAACAGTGGTAGTTCAACAGAGGATGACAATTCCATTAAGCCTTCTTCCTACGAATCGAGTTATTCTTCTAATTCCACCAACAGCGATCAAGTAAAGTGTTACAACAAGTTGAAACGACAAGGTTCGAGAAGTTCAATCATTGTGCGAGATGAGAGTGCAGTACAATCTAAACCAGGTAAGGGATATTTTATTTAAAAAAGAGGAGAAAGACGCGGCCTTGAACTAATGGATGAACCCATAAAGAACCCAGTACTTGGCTTCAACACAAGAAACATTTTTTCATTCTTAGCAGTGCTGGTAAACCTGTGTGGACAAGGTAAAGATAAGAAAAATGCAGACAATAGATTTATTTAAAATTAAAAGGTGAATTAGATATGGAGATGAATCTCGGTTATCTTCATTAATGGGTGTTATTCAAGCCATTATATCATTTTTTCAAGATAGTGATGATACTATAAAGTAAGGTCATACGGAACAGATATATATATTTAAATTTAGTAATTGTATTATTATAGGACCATTAATGCAGGTCATCATAAATTTGTTTTCCTTTTAAAGGAACCCCTTTACTTTGTTTCTGTTTCCAGAACAGGTGAATCTGAAAGTCAAGTGAGTTAACACAACAACCAAAAAAAAAAAAAGACAGCCGACTTAATATTAACCATCTGTATGTATGTGTAGCTTCGGGATCAGTTGATATACCTTCACAATCAAATCCTAAGTGTACTGACCAGTGTTCAATTAACGAGAATATTTGAACAACGGGTCAATTTTGATCTTCGTCGACTATTAGGAGGTACAGAAGTTTTCTTGGATAGCTTATCAACGTTATTCAATAATGACCATAGTTTCATGCTGAGTGGTTTACAATGTCTAAGGTTGAATCGGACGGTCCGAGATCAAGCAGGTGGAATTTTGACAGATGGAAAAGTAAAGAATTTATTATATGCCATGGTGGTAGCAGATGGAAAGTTAGTGACGTTATTGAGACCAAGGAAACACAGTTTACATCCGTCTGATTTGCATCTGCTTTTCAATATGCTGACTGGTTCTACAACATTCCACACAGCTGAATCATGGACTCCACTTTGCTTACCAAAGTTCAATTCCAGAGGCTTCCTACATGCCTATATATGTTATATTGAACAAGGCATCTCGATTGTGGTGATAAGTACAGACAAGGGAAATTTTTTCGAGATCAGTGAATGGAAGACGGCTATTTTGGAGGCAATGGAAAAGAATAAAGTGTTGGAGAGTATTAAGGAAGCATCAGAAAAGTTATACATGGTGGAAGAAATACAGATACCTTCGTTACTTCATTTCATGTATAAATCCAAAGTACACGTCCAATTCACAACACCTGGATTTAGTGGTCCTTATGTAAATGATTGCGATAGAAGGAGATTGTTTAGACTGTATCAACATGTTCATGACCGAATGCATAGTAGATCAAGACCATTAAAGTTATATTACGTAAACAGTGATAAGGAGATTTTATTAGGATGGGTAAGATGCGACAATTTTTTTTTATGGTGTATTAAGAAACTAACAGGATCAACACAGATTACTTCTTCATTTGAATTGTATGTTGTTTTCCCTTCAAATACACCAAAACCATTAATTATATCAAGTTCCAATCAATTGTTGAGATGGATTAAAAAGAATGAAGAAAATCTGTTCATTTTGAATTCACCCGTCTTTTAACATGTATTTTTAGAATCTTTCGTCACCTTCTTCCTTTTCCCTTAAATTCATGATTTCCAGTTGACCTTTTCCCTTTGATTCTTTCTGTAACAAGTCACTAATTGTACGGTATTTACCAGGATCAACTAAAGCAATCTTTTTTTTTTTTTTTTTTTTTGTTATTGTTGGATATTAAAAAAAATAAAATTACACTTTCTATACAAATGTTTATATCACTTACCAATTCATATTCTGCAGCACCGGAATCTTCATCTTCAATGGAGGTTACCAAAGGTATAATCTTTTCCCTGAGTTTCTTTGTTTCGTTGGATTGAGGTAATGTCAGTCTCAAACGCATCTGAGCACGTTGGATGGGTAATAATTGTTTCTCCTGCAACTGCTTAATGACGTCTAATGCTTGTGACTTGGTGCTACGTTTGGGATTCACACTCAAATGGAGATCCTGCATGGCCTTTTCAATCATGGTGACGGTGTAAGGACGTTTGGTTTGAGGGTTGACACAATTATCTGTCACAATGTTGGCAATATCCTTCCATGTCGTCTCTAATTGATCGGTTCTTTCCTTTTCTGCTACTTGAAGTTCGCCCTTCTTCAAGATTTCTTGAATAACCGTGTCTAAATCCTCGGTTTTGAAGCACTTGTTCAAGTCCTCTTTACTGGCGGCTTGACCTTTAGACACATTGAAAAAGACATTGTGAATTTGTAAAACCTCATCTAAATCTGTTTCACTTTGTATTAAAAAAAAAAAAACGAGTTGGAATCAAACAGTTTTGCAGTGGTGTTGAATACATGGTAGCTACTTACACATTGGAACGCCATTCCATGACTTTGTTCTTGTAACAGGCAATTTCAAAACGCTTGCCACCTTTACGGAGACGAACGATGGAAACGTTTGTGAGTCTAAGCGAGAAAAAGAAGGGTTAATGAAAAGCTGTAAGACTAGGCGGGAAATAGACTTACTTGATCTGTGTGTTGGGCTTCTTAATGACCATTTTTATATATGAGAAAAGAAAGATATAAACATAAATAAAAAAATAAAAAAACTTTTTTTTATATAACCCGACCGCAGCATGAATGGACTTTGGATTTACGAAACAGTTGGGTTTATGACATAGTTGTGTGTGCTATTTTATGCAACAGATTGTACTTTATTTAGGTAATGGGAAGCGGCAACTAGAAAACTATGAGGGTACGCAGGGCATTACAAGCGAACCATGTTGAACCACTATTGTTTATGGCTAATGCTAATTCCGAGGCAGTAAACGAGATCATACTGGTAGCATTCAAGCCACAGGTTTCTCTCATCCAAACAAATCAGGTACACACTAAGATACATCTAAAAAAAAAGAGTATTATTTCCGCATGACTCTCATTTTGATTTTATTTAGACAATAATAAAGAGAGAGGAAAATGGGGATGAGTATTTACAAAAATTATTTTTTTTTTTCTAAAAAGGGATGTTGTGTGTTTATTGAGGTCCACCGAGAGTGGTACCGGGACCAGCAGCAGCAGCAGCTAAAAGTTCATCAGAGGGAACACATGTGTTCATCACTCTTTGTCTACCGGGAGAAGGAAGGACGACATCTACAAGACTTATTTAGTTCCTATATTCAACCACTCACACAGCACACCAAGCTCTTTTAGTCTTACCAGTCATTTCTTCCTCATATTCAATCAAACCTTTACTAGCTAAAAGCTTCTTTTCCTACATTATTTTTTTAAAAAAAAAAAAAGGAGAGATCGAGATCAGATCTAAGGTTGCAATGATCCAATGTTGAGACTTACATGTCTGATAGCTCTCTCATAGGCCTTTTGCTTCTTCTTGGTAACAACTCTCTTGGTAGTAACTGATGGTTTAGTAGGGTTGTTGGCCTTCTTGATGCTTCTGGCGATACGCTTGTATCCTTCTTTGGAATGTCCCTTGACTGATTAAAGAGAATAGTTAGTCTATGAGTTACTTTTGTATCTGCCATGCTTGAATTTACTCTTGTTAATGTTGTGTACTCCTCCCATTTTTTAATTAGTGATGTTATAGAAAAAAACTGGCTGAAGAAAAAAAAAAAAAAAAAAAACTTGAAATAGGCAAATCAAAAAGACGGTCACTATGCATTTGGGTTTTTGTGAGTGTGTGTGTGAGAAGCACAAAAAAAAAAAGCTTTTTTTTTTTTTTTATTTTTTGCATGATAAGCCACACAATTGAAGAATTTTAATGCATTTTTTATTTTTTGTGTAAAGGATGTTATAGATTTTTTTTTTTAAGTGATTTTTTTTTTTATGATGATCTGACGTAAAACAAAATATAGGCTGTTTGACCAGCGTGTAATTTTTCGGATGTGCGGGTATTCTCCTCAGTAACCAAGACATCCTGCTCAGAGACGGAAGTAATAGTCGTATCGTCAATATGAAGCCATTCGCCAGATCTTCTTTTAATATCACATGTATAATGTCCGCCGCCAGCAGACGTTCCATGATGATAAACGCTACCAAATAATTGATATGTCACGGGCTCCCTTCCAGGCACCATCCACTCGGGATGAATCACTAATTTGGATCCATAGTTTACACGCTTTGATAATTTCTGTACACCTCCAATATTGTCAAAAACAAATCGCTTCATGTGTAATATTAAAACAGGCGGTAATCCTTCCAAATACACTTGCTTTGTAGCATTCACTTTCAATCCGTCGGGCGATGTATAATCATGCATCGTTTCTGGCACGGTCATATTAGCAATAGCGTCTTCAATCGTATGAACATTGTCGGGTTGAATATCCAATGGCAACGATTGAAAAGGTTCCTGATTGATTGAATCCTTGGCTTTAGGGCAACGCAATACTGATCTTAATTTACCACAGAATATTTTGGAAATAGGTGATTCGTCGAACCCAGTCTACGTGGCCCCCCCAGCTTTATGATTAGTTTCTACCCTTAAATAAATAAAAATAAAAAAAAAAGATGACTTACAGAACGTAAATGGCTTGTAGTGTTCTTGGGTCCTACTTCTTGCCATCCTTCTCCTCCATTAGCTGATGCGGCGAGTTCGGCTTCCTTTTTATCCACTTGCTCCTTCAACACGGCCGTCATCTCCTCGTGTAAACCATCCAACAAGTAACACAAAAACTCTTCGGAGTCTTCTTGTCGACCACGAAGCGTATCAAATTTCTTTTGGCCACGTAATGCGTTATAAACGTACTCGGGAACAAAAGGCTCTCCGTAGGGTTCTAAACTATCGAGACGCTCTGTCTGAAATTCATTGATAAATTCGACACTATTTTCGTTGAAGAAGAAAATTTCCCTTGATCAGTATTCCTTATTTCACCTCTTTAACTACACACTACTTACATCGAATCCAACAAGGGAGTTTTGCTCTTCATTTGATGTGCTGCTTGGCTACTGATGGTCTTGATGAGATTGTAAAAAGGTGCACAATGTGACAATGGTTGTAAAATCTAGGATATGCCATTAATAAAACTTGCCTCTCTCCTTTTTACATGTGTATATATAAAAACTTACGACATTCATGAAACATGTATTCACATTATTGATCAAACCACGAGGTTGAAGCAAAGGAGCATTATAACTAGGTTCGTATTTGCTAATGATGTCTAAATAAATGAAGAATATAAGGTTTGTGATACAACGCACACTATGAACTATAAAAAATTTGCTTACCTGCGACACCAGTAAATTTAGGCGCGGTGGATGGAGTAGGAGAGTTTGGCTTGCTAGGCTTAGTCTGCTTGCCATTGACTGTAGGAGCGGCTGTTGGAGAAGAGGTAGGTGCCTTGTTCTTCACAGGTTCGTTTTTCTTTAATAAGGACGCCCAAGAGACTTGAGGCGGAGGGGCAGGAGACTCTGCGACTGGGGCAGCAGTGGCAGTGGCAGTGGCAGCAGTAGGAGCAGGAGCAGGAGCCGCAGCATTAGCAACACCATTAGCAGTAGCAGAGGTAGTAGAATTAACAGGAGCAGGAGCAGAGGTGACAGTGGCAGTGGTAGCCGCGGCAGTAGCAGTGGTAGCAGGAGAGTGTGCCTTATTGTTCACGGCCTTGGCCTCTTTCTTGCTTGCCTTTTGTTTTTGTTGGGCTTTGTGTTCAGGCTTATTGTGATGTTTATCTGACTTGGGATGCTCAGGCTTTTGTTGCTCAGGTTTCTGCTGTTGTTGTTGTTGTTGTTGTTGTTGTTGTTGCTGTTGCTGTTGTTGCTGTTGATTTTGTTGTTGTTCAGGTTTCTGGTGTTGTTGTTGTTGTTGTTGTTCAGGCTTTTGGTGTTCGAGCTTTTTGACGACGGGTGGTTCAGGTTTGGGCTCGAAAACCGGTTGAGCAGTAAGGATAGGCGTTTCCTCTTCCTCGGGCTCAACAAAGACAGTCTCAAACTGTCTCTTTGGCTGGGTGATGATTGGCGTATCGTTCACAACAATTCTCTTACGAGGAGGGATACCTGTTGCAAATGGTGTCTAACGTGACGTGTCAGATTAATACAAGATGAATGCCACAGGTTGATGACTTACCTTTTTAGGTGGAGTTAATGAGACACCAGCAATCTGAAGAACAGTATTGATTTCATCTCGACTGATTTCTCCAAAGCAAAGTGTTGGCATTGAAATCTAATCGAGATTTTAAACTTTTTAGTTCCATGCTTTTGATTAGAAATAGAAATTAATGACTTACTTTTCCAGATGGCATTTTTTTTTTTAAATTGAAAAATGAAAGAACTGTTGGTTAAGATTTTCGTTATACTTTGTGTTGATGGGAGTGAATTTTTTTTTTTTGGGGGGGTTGTTGGGATTATCTCTTTTTGGTAAAAGGATGAATTGAAATTAGAAATAAGTTGAGTTGACAATTATCGTGTTTTTTTTAAAGAATAATATACAGTCTAGACTTTAGTTGAGTTGATCTATTAGTGTTTGAGGGTGGAGGAGGGGGGGAAAGTTGTATGATACAAAAAGGAATCAAAATAGTTATTGCTGGTGTTTATAATACGTACGAGGTATTTGGTATACGCATAATTTAATCAGATTGTGTTGAATTATGTATAATGTTGAGTTTTGACTTCAACAATTATTAGGGAATTCTTTTTTTTTTTTTTGAGAGGAAAAAGATTACTGGACAAAGTTTCTCACCAATGTCGAAGAAGAAAACGAAATATAAACAAAAAAGATTTTTGTCCTCTTTTTGGAACTGCTTTTTTCTTTTTTAGCGAACAAAAAAAAAAAAAAAAAAAAAAAAAAAAAAAGAGAGAAAATGTAATTGAAAAATCCCCCCAAGTCAAAAAGGAAGAGAGCTGAACTGGAGAGAAACGTCTGCGCAACCGCCTCCCAAAGTTTTTCCGAGTCACGTGAACCTAAAGAACCGGTCACGTTGAAAACCTGTTTTACTAGCAATGATGGTTCGGTAAGCCTTGTCACCGTACACAATTGATGATACTGAGCTATATACAGTAGCTGATAAACCCAAGCTGTTTACAGTATAAAAAATGCAACGAACTGTCTCCTTATATAAGTACTTTTGTTTTCCCATGATAAAATAAGTAACGATTAACAATAGCTGGTTTACGTCTTGATTTTTTAGTTAATATATGAATTACGCTTTTCTTAGGGACAGCCAAAGTGTACGTAGTCAAGGGTACCTCAAGAGATCACGTGCTGAATTACAAGGTCTGTGAAGCATTTTTTTGCATAAACCAAAATAATGGCCAAGATTAATCGTGTACTGAAGGCATCTTGAAGCTACAGAAACCATTATGGAAACCATTTTTGGAAACGTTGAGTATTGGGTGAGAGATGCAACTGTTCCCTTCACCCACCCTAGGTTGGGAGGGCCGTGCGTTGGGGGTTGTGGCTGTGATTGTTGTTCCTGAGTGTTTGTGCGACATCGCCCAAGAGTTGCTTCTTGTACTGAACAATAATATTGGTACATCAACAAGATAACCCGTTGTTCCCTTCCCACCACCTCTCGTCTAAGCTTGTTAATAAAGGCCGATTTTACCACTCTCTTTATTAGAGTAACTTACAGACAGTTTCTCATGCCCATTATTAGCTTCATATTGGGACTCCAATAAATGAATATTATATATATAAAAGTTTAATTATAAAGTTTAGGGGTTTTAACCTAAATATTGCATCACTCTTGATATTAAATACATGTTATTATACTTTATTACTACGCATTGATTACTCATCAATATACAGAAAACAATAGCCATACATTTATTCCAGATAATACAATCCAATAATATGACCGCTCGTTAATGACAATATTCTCGAAGGTATCTATCATGAAATGCTCGATCTTTAATTGACAACACGCCAATTGTATATTTGACAGAATTCACTCTAAGGATTGATATTCAGCCAGCCCTGAATATGAATATTATAAAGAACCCAACTTATTGTATAAATAAAGACTTTAAAGTTTATTTTTGCAGTTTGATAATTTTACTTTGTTGAAATTTCTTATTTTTTATTCTTAATTCGTTATTTTATGTCTCGAATTTCTCAGGTTGAGGCATCAACAAAGCAGATGCTAAAGGTGGGGGGTAGGCTTTCATCACCGCAAACTTCCTTGATTGACATACAATATGTTCCTAGATCATTTGTAAGTGAGGCTTTTGTGAGGCAACTTTGAGTGATGAATCGTACGATAGCATGCTGGGAGAGATAGGTCAACCTTTCCCCCCAAAAAAAAACGTTTTCTATTTGCCTATACTAAAGGAAGTGGTAGGTTTTGGAGGGAATAAAGAGTTTTACGCAAAAGTACTCCCAATTGCTTTGGATTATCGAATAATAAAGGTAGATATTTGAGAATCAAGAAGAGAGACGGCAATCGATAGACACCAGTAGACTCTATTTGGGAACCCAGGAGCCGACCGAAATTGCTTGAAAACTAAAGTGGTCAAAGGTAAGAGAGGTGATGATAGAGAGAGAGAGAGAGATAGCACTATGAGAGAAATAATCAAATCAGCTAGCCATGAACACCAAAGTAAGCTCAAGTTGTTGAATTAAAAAAAGGATCCGATATATATCATATTTAGTTAAACACCGCCTTTTGATTTAGATATAAAAAAAAAAAACGAAGTTTCGGTATGCGATTCTTGGGAATAATAAGCGGGGATGCATGATTGAGAAAAAGTACTACATCAGATTCCACTTTTTTTTTTTAAAAAAAAAAAAAAACGATCGATTTAACCCTTTTTTGTTAGGGGGAAAACTATACGTAGAACGGGCCATAAATTTTTTATAAGAGGAGGAGGAGGAGGGTATTGCTTTTGACTTTCTATCAAGTACCGAACTAGAATAAATAAAATCTCAGCCAGCAGATTTAATTTGCATTTAAGTTGGTGTCATTTGGAGTGTTATAAACTTTCGATAGAATGAATCTGCTGGAGCTGTGCAGGTTATTTAAATGCCACTGAATGCAGTCATTCAGGTATAAAGCTTTTTTTGATAAGGCGAGTAGTCATAGATAGTTTCATATAAAGAAGGATGAAGATTTACCAACCCTCCTCCGCCACCATAAGCCATTCAGAATTCGGTAGTTGTCTATCTGCTTCACTCATCATTACAACGAGCTACTACTACTACTAAAACGCATAGTTTATGGTAAAAACAGAAATTCGATCATCCTATAAAGTCTAGACGATAAAAATGGCATGTCAATCGAAGTAACGAGGCTTTATGTGTAGACCATCATGTGATGCAAAAATTACGTTTGAGTGAAGATGAGTTCTCCCAAAGTCCCCCCCCCCCTTTTTTTCTGCATGTATGAAAAGAGACGCGTATGAATTAAGCTCAGTAGATAGATAGGTAAGACTGTGTTTAACCAAGTCAGATATTTTAAAATGACTAGATAAATGCTGTAAAAAAAAAATAGAATACAAATGATGTCTAATAGTTGATAAGCAATACATTTTTTAAAGGTACATATATAAGAAATGAAACACCTACCCCTTTCATCATGAGAAATGAGATAGATACGCATTCTTTTTATATATGAAAAAGCCTCATCCCTCAAAAGAGACATAGCGTGTGCATTGAATGGTTTTAAGAAGGATGAAATGTGTTTACCCATTCGAGGGGGAAACAATAGTTGAGTAACTATGGGCGACAGTTTCAGTTAGACAGTGTCTATGTAACATACTATAGGACGATGGGGGAGGGGAGGGGAAAGTGATACATATTTTTAGTGCTGACGTTGAATGAATGCATTCCCGTTTTTTTTTATGAAGAGTGAGGGAGGTGAACACGATGTCTTACTTTCACACATAGACTGCTGAAACCATTCTTGCATTTCTTTTTGTAATACAAAAAAAAAAGATTCCATGTTGCACACTATAGCTTTTTGCTGAGGGAAAAAAAAGCTTTTTGGGTGCATGATTGGGGGGGGGGGTTTCTTTATCCAGGGAGAGAGAGAAAGATGGGTGTATGTGTGTGTGTGTGTTCTGAGATTGGCGTGTGAAAACGGCAAATGATGTGTGCCCTGAACAAAAAAAAAAAAAAAATGTGATTTAAAATGAATAGGATGTGATCGATGTGTGGATGTGTGTTATTTTATCAAGTTTCGTAAGTTAAGAAAGCCTTGTGGAAAAAAAAAAAAAAGTTTATATTAAATGATTAAGGATATTGTACGACAGGTTAAAAAAGAACATTTGTAAGGCTTAAAATAGACCATGTGAGTGCCATTGATCCAATCAGCAAGGAAGACTACATAATTTTTGTTATAAAAATAGAAATATATCTAAATTTTTTTTTTTTTTTTTTTTTTTATATGGTTTATTTCATGTAATTTCCGGGAACAAGGCCTCGCTTTTTCTTTTCTAGTAATTCAGCATACCACCAACCATCCGGTTGTTTGCTGAGGATGGCAAAATTATCATTTGCTCCAAATGTTAATTCGGATGGAATCTGTTTGTATATATATAAAAAAAAAGGGTTAGCCTTTAAAAAAAAAAAGGTTGTCAATCGATTCCATTCTTTATTTACCTGAGCTGTATAACTCCATAATGCGCGTGCTATTAATAATAAGAATATAGTTTAATCATCTTTTTTTTTTTTACGCCATCCCATTTTATTTGTTTACCATATTGTAAAACGGGAGCACCGTCTTCTAAGCGATTTGGACGAGAGCGGGGTTGTTGTGGGGAAGGTTGCTTTTGTAGCTGTGGAGCAGGTTGCTTTTGTTGTTGTTGTTGTTGAACAGGCTGCCTTTGTTGTTGTTGTTGTTGGACAGGCTGCCTTTGTTGTTGTTGCTGGACAGGCTGCCTTTGTTGTTGTTGAATAGGCTGTTGCTGTTGCTTCTGAAGAGACGGTTGCTGTGTGGGTTGCTGTGGAACAGAGGAGGTGCGAGGCTGAGGATCTGCAGCCATGACTACTTTCTGTAGTTGATCAAAGGCCGAATGAGCGTTCTTATGTTTGGAGGGGTCTAGGTGAGCATAGCCTGCACTTGGGAGATACTTGGAAGAGGCAAAACCTTGCAGTTCAGCGGGAGTTAAAGGAGATTCAGGACGAACCGCGGGCAGCGAGTCTCTTGACTTATTTGAGGTGACGGTCCATTTCTCTTCTTTACCAGAGTGAATAGAAGGTGTGGGTGAAGTGATGGGAGAGATGAGAGAAGGATTGAATGAAGGATTACGCACAGGCTTAAATTTTTCTTGGTCAAGGTATTCGTCCGTAAACTTATAATTGGCAGACTGAACAGGTTCTCCTAATTCCGCAATCACTGTCTTTTCCTTCTTCTTTTTGTCCTTCTTATCCTTTTTATCCTTCTTGTCCTTCTTGTCCTTCTTGTCTTTCTTGTCCTTTTTGTCCTTCTTTTCTTTCTTTGGTGAGTCTGACATTGATATGCTGTTTAAAATAATAATAATAATAAAAAAAAAAAAAGGAGTAAAGAAGAAGAAAAAAAAAGAAAGATAAAAAAAACCCGTTACTACATTTGATTATAACCAGTCACCCTGTCTGGATGGGATTGCCACAATCATGGCTGATACCGATAGAAGGAATTATACGTGGCACCATCCTGATATTTGAGGAGGGGGGGGGGATTGTGAACTGTTACATATTGAGGTCAATAAGGAGATTGGTGATATTTTATTAAAAAAAAGACAGAAAAAAAAAAGAAAAAGAAACGCTATTTGTTCAAGTGTTTGTGTGTGTGTGTTTACGTGCGTGTGTATGTATAGAGAAGAGAGAGAGAGAGAGAGGGAGAAAGGGAGGAAGATTAATTCATTTGAACATCTTCATTGTTGGCAGAACCCATGTAGCTATCCATCTCAGCATCCAAGTCTTGTTGACTGGGCTTGGGACGGTTTTCTCTTTTACCACCAGTAGAACGACGTGTGTTATTGTCACGACGATCACGGCTATCGCGAGTGCTGTTATTGCCACCACGAAGATTACCACCACGTCTTCCGTTATTTGAAGGTAAAGAAGCAGCCACAGCAGAGACAATAGAGGCGTTGGTGATACGCATAGGACGACCTAAGAAAGAGAAAAAAAGAGGTGAGTATGGGATTTAGGATAGAATCAATTTAATTTTTTTTTTTTTTTTTACCATCTAACTCAACATTGTTGTATGTGTTGCGTGCCTTTTCAGCATCATTTCCATTAACGAAAACAACATCAGCGATACCAGCAGATTTACCGTTAGGACCAATATGAAGGAAAGCTCTCTTTAATTGACCAATTTGACCGAAAAGATCCTGCAGGACAAAAGGGAAGAGTGAATACACAGATGTGATATAAATAGATAATAACTTACGTAGAGATCCTTTTCGGTGACATTAAAATGCAAGTTAGCGACAACAAGACTATTGTTATTACGAGTGTTTGTGTTTCTTGTTTCGACAGCAGATCTGGCGTTTCTTGATGTGTTGTTGTTACGGGCAGGTCTGGCATTGTAGGGCTTTGATTTTATAGAGGGTTGACGATTAGGATAATTTTTTTTTAAAAATAAGAATAATAAAAAGTAAAAAAAAAAAAAAAAAAAAAAAAAAAATATTTCGTAAAAAAAAAAAAAGAAGCTGTTATAAAAAAAGACGCGAACATTTGTTTTCCAATCTATTCATCACAAAGAGAGCCTCCACGAACAAAAGTGTCTTCCTTCTTCAGCAAGGTCTTTTTTAACAAGTGTGTGTGTGTATGTGTGTGAAAGAATAATAGAACCCAAAATATTGTCCATCTCTCCATCTACCTCCAACGTTTGCAATAAAATACCCCCCTTCTTTTCCTCTTGATGGGACGAGATGAAGGAGAAAAACAAAAGAGGAGGTAAAAAAATAACAAAAAGAAAGAGAGATGAAGCCATCTTTAAACATCTCTTTTTGGTAGAAATAAAATAGAAAGGAAGGAGAGGTTGATTTTAATAACATACCGAAGAACGAACACCACCTCCAGAGCGGTTCTTGTTAACACCACCACCAGTAGAACGGCTGTTGCCACGACGAGTGTTGTTATTTGAACGTTTGTTGCTTGTACGGTTTTGAGAAATGACATCGTCAAGTGCCATATCGAGTGCTCCAAGGTTGCTCATCTTGATTATTTTCTTTTTAAAAAGTGGGTTGTGGTAAAAAGAAAGGTATTATTTTTATTTTTCTCCCTCACTCTGCAGGGCAATAAAACAAAAAAAAATTTTTTTTTAGAGTCCCATACGTCATGTCCAATCAGATACGGGTATTCCATAATCAGCCTAGTGTAACATCATGCAACGAGCCTTCCTATAGTCAAATAGCTCGCAATGATTGGTTCTGGGAAAGTGGATTTTTTTTTTATTTGATTGTGGGATAAGAGAGAATGAAAGCGGCTTATTCATTGTGATCCCCCCCCACACACAGTCAATCAGGTCTTGGTCATCATACACACCCTAAATTAGAGTCTCCAATGTTTACAAGAAATGTTTATTCAATATAAAACTTCCATTGTCAAGTAAACATTTAATGAGCTCATTCTGACGTTGTACCAACACCTGTTTATATATATATATATAATACATCTACAGCCTTTCGTTTGTTTCATAAAGTACAGGAAAAAGATGAAAGTAGCTTTCCTATTTAACCATACCAATAGGACCCCCCCCCTCGTGCTGATCCCTCGTGAGGAGCAACTCAAGGAAGACGTTACCTTGACAAACAAAATTAAAAAGACCAATTATCTTTATACAGCATGTTATCTTTAAGTACATCGGTTGAGAGGATTTCCCCCCTCCCCACCTATACGAAATAAATCTCACGAGGTGTGCCATTATCGGTCAATCTTTGTTGTCCGCATAAGAGATGATCAAAGTTATAAAGCAATGTCATAGCATACATAAGGGTTTTAATAAGTTAAAGTGAGTGAAGAAAAAACGTGTGGTTGTTAGTCCAGTAGTGAGGGGGCGGCACATCGAGTTTATTCAGTAACGGTTGAATACATGTGCCGTATTTACCAGTGACTCCATGTTTATACGATAACTTTTTTTTTTTTTTCGTAAATCTACCTCTCTCTATAAAAGTGGCAACAAAAAAAATTTAGACAGATTCAGTGAATAATGTTTAAAGATAGGTGTGGGTTATATTCATTTTTTGAGAGAAAAAAAAAAGTAACCCTTCCCTCTGCCTAAAAATCAAAAGCAAAGCAGCCCTCTACTTTTAAAAACCGCTCAAAAATTCGGGTATAAGTCACCTCAAGTATCTGAACTGGACTTCGACCGACTTTTGTGGACTCACCGTAAATTAATGTGTTAGAGTAGATTAATTTCGCTGCTAAAAGTAGTCTTATTGATTAATTTTTTATTGCAGTTCAGATATGTGTGGTGGATATGTGTGGTGGTAAATCGACCTTAAGAGCATCTCCTTATATACCCGAATAAAAAAAGAATGACGTCAGAGTTTTCCTTTGGCTTTTACATGCGGAATGACCTTACTTGGTAGAGATACAAAAGACCGAACAGTGTTGAAACCGCGGCTATAGAAACATTTCTAAGTTTCCTTGTAATTTGCATCGTCTTGAGCTAGCTGTAATACAAATTTCGCGTTAGTATGAACATAAACAGATGTGATAGAAAAAAAAGTTATATCACTTACCAATTAATCAGATAACACCCACTGGACACTGGGGGAACAGCTCCAATAGGCTATACATCATGAAGTAATGCTTTAAAATGATAAAATAAACTGTAAGACTGACTTTTTGCATAGAAAATATATAAAAATTATCATACCTGTGGCAGTGTAAGACACTGTTTGTAACGGAAACCAAATTCTAGACTGCCTTCTTCCTCCGATAGATAAATCTTGTATTGGTACCAACCCCGGCATCAGTAAAAACCTTTTGCCTCCATTAAAAAAAACCTTTCATGAGGAAAAAATTGGGCAGTACAAAAGGAAAAGATAACCAAAGGTCAGCACGATCAGCTCAAAAGTAAACAACCACATTTTGATATGTATTTTGTCTACAAAATTAAATAAAATAGATTAAGTATCATTTATACTTGCTTATTTTTACGATACTTCCGTCTTCTTTTCCCCTTTCTTTTAGTGAACAAAGAAATAAAGAAAGAGAAAAAAAAAATCTCAAGAGGCTTTTTTATAAGTGAAAAATAATAATATATCAAATCAAATGTTGTTAGAGACGTCATTTTGTATAATAAGGGGTTTCGACGACAAGTTGAGATAAATAGTTTTTCTACCTTGTGATGGTGGGAACCAGGTTTATGATTTTGATTTGATGTGTATGTTTTACATGGCTCTAAAGGAGGTGTTTGTAAATATATCACTATCAGGATCAATTTCAGGTTTTAGGTTTTAAGTTATATTTAGTTTTTGTTTGTAGAAGAAAAAAAAAAAACTCCCTGTCTTAAGCTTCCAGGTTCTTACTAATGGTATCATATAATTGTAGGATAACGTAAACATGAGACTGTGAATTTTGACTGAAAATCGAAATATCTTACAGATTAAGTGGGTGATTTTCGGCTTGAAATAAAGAAGCTGTCTGAGAATCGAAAACTCTTACAAATTAAGTGAGAGATTGACCGGGAGTAAGTGGCATATGTAAAGTTTTTATTGGACACTCAAGTTTATTTGGGGACCAAAGGCTCATCCAAAAGACCTAAAAATTAGATGGCGTTTGATTTAACGCGGGAATAAATGTAGTCCTCAGCTTCAAAAACCGGTTTAGAAGCTCCATGGTTACTTTGCCCATCAAAAATCTGTAGCCTGTTCCCCTCTTGTTTTTTTTATTTTTGAAGTGTCATATTTTTATGGATTTATTAAGAGATATTCTATATTAAAAAAAAAAGAACCCGGTATCTTAAGCCAAAGTAAATACTCTTGAAATATAGTAACGAACACTGTATGGCATCGAAACTGCGAGAAATGATTCTGCTGGTAGAAGTGGTTATGATATTTCTTCTTTCTCAACTTCTTGTGTAAGTTATGATGTTGTGGTGGACAATCTACAAATGATCACTTGCAGCTGCCCTGACTTCCGCCTTGACAATATCGCATGCAAACACATGTATTTGTTGAAGTGTGATATGTCTTGGTTGTCTGTATTTGAAGGTAAAGATAAATACTATTGAATTCTTTACGGCTTCATTTCTTTACCAACCTTAAATTGAATAGTTTCTTTCGATCTCACTTTCTCAACCATTCCCCAGAGCTCGCCTGATAGCTCAGCTCTTTCTTACTCCAACTGAACAAGCTCCTCTCACCGCTCCAAGCAATTCTTCAATAGATTTTGACACTCTACTTTCTAACATTCATAAACTTAAACGCCAGCAATATACTTTGACCGAAACTGAGCTCGAAGAATTAACGGCTTCAATCACTGGTTTCTCTCTCGTATAAATTCTACAAACATTCCTTCCAATTCTAATTTTACTATACAAAGATAACAAAAAAAAAGTTAATAATAAACGCTCTGTCTAAAAATCAAAAGCAAAGCAGCCCTCTACTTTTAAAAACCGCTCAGCCTTAAGAACCTACGTCATCAAACAGAACACGACGGATGCTCAATTGGACAAAAAGATATTTTTTTTCTCTGTCTCTCTCTCTCTTTTTCTTTGTGTAAAGGAATCACTCCAATTTTTTTTTTGTCCTGTGAACGAAAAAAAAAAAAAATTAAATTAAAAATAAAGAAGCGACTAGCAACTCCATTAGAGCTAAAGACTTTTTTTTTTTGATTCAGCACACACACAAAAAAAGACAACATTAAAAGAAGGGGTACATATATAAATTTTTAATTCGAGACCTTCAATCCGAAAATAAAAAGTAAATCAGTAAAGATGGAAGGCAGACCCAAACGATCGACAACGTTAGAAAAAGATTATAGAGAACGTAAAAGACAAGGAAGAAGAAGAAGTAGTGAAAAGGTAAAAAAAAAAAAAAAAAAATTAATTTGTGTGAAATTTTCCCTTTTTTGTTAATTTTGTGTGTTAGTCGCCAGTCATTGAACCGAGAGAAGAGACAGTATCATCTTTTGTCCTTCAAAAGCTATACCAAGATATACTGGACTTTACAGACCCTGAAGAGTAAATTAAGGGCGATTTTATATAACCCCCCATACATATATATAGACTCATTTTTTTTTTCTCTCCGAACATTAGTGACGAATACGAATTAAGCACACTCTTTCTCGAACTACCTTCCAAAAAGCTATATCCTGACTATTATCAAATCATCAAGCATCCTATCGCCTTGGAGAATATAAAGGTAAAATATCACAAACGCGCTTAAAAAAAGAATTTTTAATTCCGGTGAAAAATGTGTGTACAAAAACAAAAACAAAAACAAAAATTCATGCAAAAAACAAAAAAAAACATTATAGGCAAAGATCGATGCGAAAGAATATACAACTTTGTCCCAATGTAAAGCAGATATTGACTTGATGGTATCCAATGCCAAAAAATACAACATGAAGGATTCACAAGTATATGATGATGCAGTCAAAATACAAAAATTCGTTAAAGGGTGGACACCACCCAAGGAAAAAGCCATCGTAAAACTTCCTGCCCGTGCCTTCAATCATTCCCCAACACCTTCCTCCTCTACAAACAAAATTAAGGCGATAAAGCTTCGCGCAGTAGACAAACCCAAAAGTAACTGCGTCAAAAAAAAACTTTTTTTTTTTTTTTTTTTTGTACGGATCTGTACTAAATAACTTTTTTTTAATTGATAGAGAGCAATATAAAGGAATTAATGGATGCCATTAGCAAAAAGGAAACAAAACGTGCTTTAGAGTTACTGGAAGAGGATCACCATTTAGACCCAAACGAGTTGGTCAAGGTAGAGATGTTTAGTGATACATTTACGTGGTCTCCGCTTCATGCTGCCTCGTATTATGGCGATGTTAAATTAGCTGAAGCCTTGATCGCGAAGGGTGCAAATATCGAATTAAACGATACATGGTATTCAGCAACTCCCTTAGGATGGGCAGCGTTTGGAGATAAGGAAAAGGTCGTACGATTACTTGTACAGAAATATCATGCCAATACCAAGGCCAAAAATATTCATGGACAAGTACCATTTGATGTCGTTTCTAATCAAGATGATCCCAGATGGATCGGTCTATTGAAACCAGTGACGCATACCAAATTACAATTGCAACAAAAGCCCCAACAACAACAACAGCAACACATACAGCAGCAGCAACAGCAGCAGCAGCAGCAATCACAGCATCAGTTGCAGCAACCGCAGCATCAGCATCAGCATCAGCATCAGCATCAACAGCAGCAACAGGTGCAGCAACAGCAGCAGCAGCAGCAACATGTGCAGGTGCAACAACCACAACAACCACAACATCAATTAAGTCAACAACAGGCATTGTTCCAACAACAATTACAGCAGCAACGTCAACCCAGTTCTAGTATGGCACCACCATCACTCCCTGTTCAACAAGCACAATTAAAAGCTCCAGCGCAACCACAATACACGGCGGATGGACAATCCATTCGAAAGAGAAGAGGTAGACCACCCAAGAGTGAAACGGATGCTGCTGCTGTTCGACCTACCAAAGAAATTGATATATCTACTTTTGACCCTGTTGCATTTGAAATTGAGCTTTTCAATGCGATCAGAACCCACACGGACAATTTGTAAGAAAGAGAGAGAGAGAGAGAGAGAGAGAAAGAGAAAATCATCATTAACAAAACATCTTTTAATATATATAAAAAAAAGGGGTCGACTTTATTCAGAGTTATTTGAAGATTTACCCGACCGATCAGAATATCCTGAATACTACAAGACCATCAAGAACCCAAGATCCTTATCTGAAATTGCAGAAAAGATGCAAACCAGAGCTTACCCAAACCTTCATAGTTGGATGAACGATATGAAACTGGTGTTTGAAAATGCCTTGAATTTCAATGAACCGGGATCACGTATCTTTCGTGACGCTAAATTGTTGATGCGCTTATTACATCGACTCAAGGAACGTATCTTGGCTAGATTGGGTGTACCCATCAGTCAAGAGGATGCTGTCTTTCGATTAAGTCTGTCAAATCGTCCCTTTGATGTGGATGCCCTGAGTGAGGATAAACGTAAAATCAAACGGTTCTTAAACACCAATAAATCAAGAACTCAAAGTATCGAACCTGAAAGTAATCAAATTCCAATGATCAATCCTTACCTGATCCAACAACAACAACAGCAACAACAGCAACAGCAACAGCAACAACAACAACAAATGATTTTGCAGCAGCAAATTCTTTTACAGCAACAACAACAACAACAACAACAATTACAACAACAACAACAACAGTCATCCATGAGTATGCCTCCACCTCAAATTATGATGCAACAACCCTTGTATGATGTGAATGCATTTGCAGGTCGACCCAACACACCCATGACAGAGACACCGAAATCACCCTTGGGTAAAGCCTCAGACGAGTTTTACGCCTTATTTCGAAACGGGGGTTCATTTCTAAACGCGATGCGATTAACGTCCGGGGAGGAGGAGGAAGAAGGGTTTAACATGATGATTACAGGGGAATATTTAGGACATAGTATTGTGATTCCCTCTCGAGTACAAACGTTGGTGATTCGACCTGAATTCCCATCTGCATTCAAAGAAGAGGAAGGACGTGTGAGTATCACTATTTTGCAAAACAATCTTCGTTTAAACAATGCTGCGACGAAGAAGGATGTCTGGACCACGGTACCTTTTACAAGAGGAACTAATGCTTTAAAAATTAATATCACTGCCAATATTACTCAACCTGATTCAAACATTCCAGAATATAAATCTCAAATTTATCATTTGTTTATTACACAAACTTGGTAAATATATATAAATATATATATATATATATATAGGGGGAAGAAAAGAAAAAAAAGCCTTTTTTTTTTTTTTGTCATTATTTTACCATTTAACTTAATTAAATAAACACACACCCACACACACACCCACACACACCCACACACATATATACACGGTAACTGAATAATAATAATAATAATAATAATAAACAGTTTATGACTTATATATATACACAAAAAAAGGGGGGGGGGGGAAAGTTAACCCAAAATCGGTTTAATGATGCGTTCCAACACTTGCAAGATCAACACTCTATTTAATTGAGGATCTTGACATCGAGCCCATATTCTATCCATGGCTGTATTACAATTTTGATCACCAATGAGTTGCCTGACCGCGTTGGGTATGACCTCTGTCATTAAAAGTTGTCTTGCACGTTGTTTACTCTCCTCTTTATCCTGTTCGGTACGTTTGGTTTGTTCTTCTTTCCCGTCCAACATCCATTTCCCTTCTGGCCAAAACTGTTCACCCAATGTATTCAGCATACCCACCATGGCATCCGGTGACATGTATTCATGAACGAAATCACTGTACTGTTCCGAGATAAATTCAGTGTAAGTCCTTCGCACGATCTCACGAAGGAGGTTTAACATGGATCGTCTCATCCAAGCCTTATTATTACTCGAAGTTAAATTAAATATCTCGACAATTAATGCATAGGTAGTTTCGATCAAGAGTTCAACGTCCATAGGTGATAAAGCCTTATTTTCCTTTTTTGTTGTTGTTGTCGTTGTCAACTCGACTAGGTCGTGTTCTCCTTCTTCTTCTTCTGTGGGTGAGTCATTTTTCGAGAGGTTACTATGAAGACTGGAGACAGAACCAGCACGCGTCTTACCAAACCAACGAAGATCATCCAAACTATTACGTTCATCCGAAAAAGAATCTTGTCTTGTGTTATGACGTGAAAACATAGATCTGGAGCGACTCACATCATGCAAGGAAGCTAAAGCGGCATCTGCCTCTTCTTTAAACTCTTGCGTGAAGGAAACGACCGAACCCATGTCAGATCTACGTTCCTTTCGAAGAAAGGACAAGAGGATGGGGTCTGTACCCAATTCGATGTCTTGCACAACCGTATCCATATATCTTTCCAAGGCCTGACCTACGGCTTCTGCAGAAGAGGGTGGGAGTCTTTTATTATTGACTGGTTGGATGACCGATGCTGATTTATTAAGCCAGGATTTGTTGTTGTTGTTGTTGGTTTGATGAGTCTGGAGGGGGAGTCTTAATTGAAGTTTGTTGGCTCTTTTAGGATGTCTCGCATGAAGTAAGGTATGAAAAGTTTCGAAATCAGTGTAGGATCGTGTGATGACATAACCACCGCCTTCTGAACCTGCATGATCTTCCATGGCGGGTCGTTCAATTTGAATGATGTAAACGAGTTCATGTTTATTCAATGGACTATCTGGGACCTGAGGTGCAGAAATATCCATGATGGTGAAATGAACAGAATTCTTTGAGAAGATCATGGTAGGTTTCTGTATCATGGTGGTGGATCGTTGAGGTTCTGGTGTACTCGGTGGTGTGACTTGACCCAAAGTATCTTCTTCTCCCTTCTCGAGAAGGGTATCTGCCAAGACGGCAGCGGAAATCGTGGATGTGATGGCTTCCGAAGTTTTCTTGTTTTGATCGGATAACAAATCAATGATCCATCGATTCAAGAAATCGGGATCGCTCAAGTTTTCAAGGACACTACCAAAGACGAAATTAGCGAGTAATTCTTTCAATAGACTCATTAATAATAAAGAATCTCTGTCTTGAGCGGGTAAAGTTCTTTTGAGAAATGTTTGACTGAGTGCTCGTAATTGACGGTGTTGTTCGTGTCTTGAGAGTAATTGAGAAAAGGGAGATTGAGGGTTTTCCTTGACGTAGTGGTCGATGGTCAAGTGGGAGTCTTCCAGGGCTCTACATTCTCTCTTTTTTTTTTTTTATGAATAAAAAGTGAGTCAAGGGGAAGGGGTTTTTTTTGTGTGGCCTTTTTTTTTTTTTTTTTTTTAGGGTGTTACCATGTGAATGATGAGGGTATTAGCTACACCGTAAACGGTAGACATGACAATATCATTTCTATCTTGGTTTAATAGAATCTTTTGGATATTTAAAAATACAACATTCAGTCGTTCCCGAGCTAATTTTTCAAAAGTAGGGTCCTTGTGCTCATTTAAAGGAGTCCACCAACTTGTGACAAAGTCTCTCATGACATAGTCCAGCAACTGATTCACAACAGTGGTTAATGGTGGATAAAACAATTGCACATTCTTTTCTGGTGTTTCACTATTACTAAACTTTTTTTTTTTTTTTAGGGTAGAATTAATATATGCATAATTTTTTTTTTTGGCTTTTAAAAAAAGTTTAAGTTTTTTTTTTTTACTTGTTCCAGTGTAGTTTCAGAGAGAACGAGATGTCGTTCATACTTTTCAAATGGTAATGGACCATCCTGGGTAGCAGCAGAAAAGTAAATTCCTCCTAGACCAAACCCCACCACGAGAAAGACTAAAAAATAATAACCGTCTGTGAAAAGTAGTACAGAGTAGATTGCTAGAAATGAACCCACGAGGGTTGGCACCACTCGTTTTATATCGCTGTCTGTTGGTGTTGGGACACACTGATTAAATAGTTGTTTATATTCATGAAGGATGCCTGGCATTTTGATCTTTTAAAAAAGAAAAGAAATTATGTGTGTGTATATATATTTAAGAGAGAGAAAAAAAAAAAGCACTTGGGCTTGATGCGTACAAAGTATACCCTTATTTTTATTTATTGGAACCCCGTCAAACCCTCTCTTTCTTTTTTGGTCCACAAAAGACGATCATTTAAAATGATTTTTGCCGCTCAGACATTATGAAATCTGATGATGAACAGACTAAGGGCTCATGTTTATTTTTTTTTATAAAAAAAAAAATGTGCACAAACCATTATTAGGTAACAATAGTTAAACCGAGATACTATAATAAAGTAATGAACAGGTGTAGATTTTAAGGGAAAGGGAGACCTATTGTTTTAATGAGTTGTTTTTATAATTCTATCATATCAGCCACAATACCCTTTTTTTTTTTTAAGAAAAAAGTGACCCATCTATACTTTACTGCATTCATATATGAATGGATGTTTGTTCGTTGCTACTACTGCTTAGTTATTTCTTAATGACTGAAATTGTCAAGCTGGTGGGGATCATAAGGAGTATATATGACTAATAAAAAAAAAAAAAAGGACCTGCTTGCGTCTATTTCTCCTGATATTTGAAATAAAATGTAAGTTTCTCCTTTTTTTTATTCTGGGAGCTCTCCTCCACATGAACGGGTAGTTACTTTTTTTTAAAAAAAAACAGCTGGTCATCATGGAGACTGTGTCAATTTAATTTCAAAAGGCCATTGTTTGTACTACCTTGTCTTTTTTTTTTTTCACGTGAAGCTCTTTTACAATCCCCACGCTTTAATTCAATTTTTTTTTTTCACTAGTTTTTTTTTTTTTACTTTTTTACTCCATTTCTTTCACTAAAAAAAAAATGAGACGTGTGGTTTATGGGGTTCTTCCCCACCTAAAACAAACAAGTCGAACACTTCGTACACGACCAGGTAAAAAAAAAAGGGGGAAAGGGAAGGGGAGGAATGAATTCAGTGTCCTATTCACCAAAAAAAAAAAAAAAAAAAAAAAAAACGATATAGAGTTTATGCAAGAACTAGTGGAGAAAGTGACCGAGAATAATAATAATCTACCTCCACCTGCCTTTACAGCCAAATGCTGTGATTATTTTAAACAATTGGATAAAGTAAACGTGTAAACTAGTGTGTTTTATCTTTTTTTTTTTTTTATGTGTATATTTGCCCCATATGACTAAACATGGTTTTATCCTTTCTTAATGTAGCATGGAAAACGAGACTTTTTCAAGATATTAGCAACCGAATTCGGTAAAAAAAAAAAAAAAAATAGGTTATATTCGTCATTTTCCTCCCTTTTAACACTTTAAGCAACACCAATAGATGTTGACCGGGAAAACGCGGTGAAAGAGGCAAAGTCATACGTGCACGAGCAAAACAAGGTACCCCATCATTCCTCTCCTTAGTAATTTTACCTCTTATATCAAATACATGTTTTTAGTCAGTCGAACAAAATTTATTACATTATCTTGAGCCAAAATATGCCCTGTTTTTCGATCGAATTCATCAATTACCCAATGGTTTAAAACTTTTAGCAGATATGCGATCTGATCTCCTCGTAAGTTTACCCTTTGAAACAATTAAAAAAAAAAAAGTCTCACGCATCACTTGACTCCATCAAACAAAAAAAAAATAAGGATATTATGGGTCAAAGAGAATCCGAGTCCTACCTAGAATTTACCAGTTTGGAACAGGATATTCGTCTAAAGTTAAAGAAATATGTCATTGGGTTTTTAAAATTAGAGCAACTTACTTGGCAGACGAGTTCAGCGGAATTACTTGAAAAGGTAAAATATATTTTTTTATGTGTCGTTGTTAGAACACAAGCTGACCTTTATACAAAAAAGATTTGCAGTTATGAAGCAGTGCATGCTGTGAAAGATTGGAAAGACATCAAACGAAGATTAGCTTCGGATAGACGAGTATTTGCATTTGTAGAGAACACGACACCCAATGAACCCCTTGTGTTTGTTCATGTGGCTCTTGTCCCTTCCATCTCAACTTCAGTGCAAGCCATTTTAAACGAACCATTACCCTTAGAGGAAGAGACGAAGCATTTCAAATGTGCTATTTGTTATTCCATCACAACACAACCGGGACTAGGAGGAATTAATTTAGGAAATTATCTGATCAAGCAGGTCGTCGATCGATTGAAAACGCAGTATCCTCAACTCGAGACATTTGCCACCCTCAGTCCTTTACCGGGCTTTAGAAAATGGTTAATGCATCATGACGAGAGCGATCCATCGATTGTAGCGGAGCTGGGTCTTGGCTGGAAAACAGTAAATTTTGCATTTAGATAGAGATGATTTTTTAAGCGCACTTAAAAAAAAAAAAACTGATTTCTTTTATTTAGGAACTGGCTACGTTTGAGGGTCAGGAACAATGGAAGAGTCCATTGATGAGATTGTGTGCAAGATATATTCTTGATGAAAAGCGTATTGAGACAAATGCTTTGGATCCAGTTGGTACAGTTGGGAGGGGAGGGAAAAGGGGGAATCATTCATCTAAAAACAACTCTTATATTTTCCCAGCGAATTTTCACTTACGAAATGGAGCGTGTGCGCATCAAATTCATTGGAAAGGGGATACATCTGACAAGGGAATGCATGAATCCTTTGGCATTATGATTAATTATAACTATATTCAAGATCGATTAGAGGCCAATCACCGATCGTACCTTTCCCAAGGCACGATTGCCGTAAGCGATGAAGACAGTCAAGGCTGGTTATCGCAACATAAAAATTTTATTATTATTTAGAACCAATAATAGCGTACAAGCATCACAAATAAAATGACAGAAGCAACAATAGCAGGAGGACCATATTTACGATAGAGGGCCTGTAAATTTAAATGACGTGCTTTATCCTTAAACATTTTAGCGCTATCCTTTAATTCACCGGAAATGGTGCTCATACGATCCAAACTATCTCCACGCCATAATAAATCCTCCATGTTCTTGGTCATGATACGTGTCACATCTTGTAAATCTTCATTGAGTTTAGAAAGATTACTTTGCGTACGTGTGTCTTGATAAATTCGCTTTGTCTTTTGCATAAATGTATCTAATAATTGTAACCTGTCAGTTTCCCTTTTTCCCTCCCCAATCACAACTCATGAATTTATATATATATGTATATATGTTATTTACCAAACTTGACAAAGGCATAAGGTCTCAATCCAGGCTTATCCACCTCGTTACCATAACTCATGTTGAATTCCTTGACCAATTCTTCTAAATAACTGAATGCAAGCTTACGAGGGTAAGATTGATCGCAGATACAGAGATAACAGACACTTCCTTCAATGATATAACTGTCGTATTTATAGAAGGGTGTTATCACATGTCTTCTCCGCAGATAAAAAAAGTAACTTACTGGAACACGTATTTTCCTGACTCGATGGAACATCTCGGTTCTGAATTTGTGTTGAGTCGCTTAAAGATGGTCTTTGCTTGTCCTTTATATTCAGACAATTCTGTTTCGACCTGTTTTACAAATAAGAGAAAAGGTAAGTTTTTTTTTGAGTGTGTGTGTGTGTGTGCATGGTCAATTGAAAAAAAAAAAAAGGTTACTTGTTCGTCATCCATGCTGGCGGCTAAAGGAAGTCCATCTGATATTCTTGCGATAATGGTAGTTTTGACCATGGTTGTGTAATAATAATAATAATGAAAAGAGAGAGAGAGAAAGAGAGAGAAAAATATACACACACACAAACATTACTTTATTATAAAAAAGGGGGAAAAACACGAAAATTGGTATTGTGACGTGGCAAAAAAAAAAAAAAAAATCACGTTTTTTTTTTTTTTTTTTATTGCTTGACTAAACAAGTCAAAGTTGCAATGATATCACACTTATTGGCTCTGAGAGCGGATTCTGCTTCTGCCTTTGTTAATCCCATTTCCTTTATCTATGAAAAAAAAAATAGACGTTAGAAAACCCCTCCTTTCAATTAATCACATTTAGAGTGGGAACTTACCAAAAGATCCACGTCGGCTTTATTGACAGGTTCGTTTGAACTTTTACTTCTAAAGATATAGGGTCAGAAACAGGGCAGATAATCAAACAAAGAAAAGAACTTACCCAACTAGCTTTTTGTGCTCATTAGCGATTTCTTGTAACTGAATTAAGGACTGCCTATCTTCTTCAGTTAATCATGTCAATGATAATATCTTTTTTTCTTTTTTACCTTGGCAAGTTTATCTGCAGCTTGTTTACGAAGTGCCATTTCATCAGAGGCAACGTTTTTCTTGGGTTCACCATGGTCATGGCTGCAGTTGGAATGGTCGTGATGGTCGTGAGCTGCCATGATGGTTTAATAATAAAAAAAAAGTGCGAGACACCAAGAAAAAAAAAAAAAGGGAAGAGGAAGGATGACGGGCTTTCCCAAAGTCACATACTGAGTTTTATTTGTGTGTGAGTAGGGGGAAATCCATTTTCTTTTTTTATCCGGGGGACAAATTCGCATGAATCTCTCTGGATCTCACTCATGCGTGTTATTTTTAAACCTGGGAAATAGCTTACCTTAAAAAAAAGTAGTAGAAGGATGTATGAAATAGGACAAAAAGACGGCCAAGGGATTAAATGGAAAGTAGTCAATCCACTTTACCCCAGACATCATTTAGCTACATCGTGCCATCAGAAAACAAGGTGATCATACGTCTTTTTTTTTTAAATGCATGCTTGCACGTCTCTAGCAGTCATAACATTTGGCTTTGGAGGAGGGGGCAGTGGATCCATCTACTCAGTGCGGTTATTACTGACTTTGAAAAAGCAAGTAGTAGTTTCTTGTTGAGATCCAAAACGCACTTTAAGACCTTATTTCATTGATGCACAAACACTCTGACAGCAGAAAGGTTTTTTTTTTTTTTATCTCAAATTTACTGAATTGCTTGCAGGAGTTCATTTTAATTTATCCTCGAGAACAGCGGTAAGGATGTGTTTTTATGAAGCTTATAAGGTGATTCTTGTTGTTTCTTCTTTGCCTGGTCTGCAACTAATTTATGTTGGTCAGCTCACTACAGTTATGACACTCAGGCCAAAGTAAAAAAAAAAACTTGGTTGGGGTCACCCATTCTGAAAGAAAGTGGGTTTTGTATGATCAGTGAGTGGATTTTAAGCGTTTCTCAAACGTGTCGTGTTGCATGAGTCCCTGCTTTTGGGCTTTGAAAATGAAAAGTGATCAACATTCATCTTTGTTTTGGATGTGTCACTTCCACGACCATTTATGAAAAAAAGCGTATGAAATTGGGAATGGAGAAATACACCTGACAATACTGAGACTAAACACCCCCCCCCCCCTTTTAAGTTGGAACTTTTTACTATTGCTAGAAAGTAAACTTATAACAGACTAAGCTCAATTTCTGATTTGATAAAGAGTTGCATCGCCGATAGTTAAACAAGAAACGACTTGCCTTTTCTCTTTTCCACTTCCCCTCAACAATAGTGAAAAGTCTGTTTTTTTTTTTTTTTTTGGTGGTATTGGTTGATTTTATGGGATAATTTCTACCCATCTGACTATAGAACAATTTTAGTCTTATATTAGAACTTTAAAAGAAGCTACGAATGATTGAATTAACCCGTGGAATTCAGGTACCATTTATAATATTAATGGGATCATTAAATAGTGCATATATGGAAACCTTAAATCTAAGCATTACTAGCTTAATTTTATACCTTTTTGCCAAAATGATGTCGCATAAAACCCAGAATTTAATAGTATGATATAGGTACGGCTTGTTTTTTGCTTTTGCAGTCACGGGTACGGGGTACGGGTACGGGTACGGGTACGGGTACGGGTACGCTTATCTTTAATTTTGCAGTCACGAGTACGGGGTACGGGTACGGGTACGGGGTACGGGTACGGGTACGGGTACGGGTACGGGTACGGGTACGCTTATCTTTAATTTTGCAGTCACGAGTACGGGGTACGGGTACGGGTACGGGTACGGGTACGGGTACGGGTACGGGTACGGGTACGGGTACGGGTACGGGTACGGGTACAGCTTATTCAGTTGTTGAATTTTTATGAGTTTACCTACGAAATTAAAGCCTGGAAAAGATCTAATGGCCAAAGAAGTCTTAAGAGATCCTAAAGTCATAAATCTCGTCACTGAATCTTTGGTAAAAACAACAGACGACTATTTTATTGGAAACTGCGAATGGAAAGACGGTACATGCTCCGACATGGTTCTTGAGCCGAAGAACGCTCTCTCAGATCTTCCTCCTCTAATCGTGGAGATTCAGCATACAGTTAGCAGAGCATTCATGAAAAGAGCTGTTGGCTATTGCTTACAAGCGTTTGCAAGATACCGTAAAGATCCTATAATGTTGATAATTTGCGTAGAGAAGCTTAATCAAGATAATGTACATGTGGAACTAAGCAAGCTCCCAGGTGTCTTCTCATACTTTTCAGAACCATGGACCGAACACTGCTATATTATTTCTAAAGAAAGTATCAAAGATAATCTGTCGATTCCCCTGCACCCATTAGTTGCACTTGGTTCTTTTTTTACAAACCGTAGTCTCTCATTAGCAGATCATCCATTCAAAAATGATCCAACGGTTCAATATTTATACACCTCAGCAATATTGCAGCATCAAATTAGCGTCATTAACAAAGATATTCCGCTTTCATTTATGGATTTTCAACTTATGGAATATAATAAATTATTGACACTCGCACATTCACTTAATCAACCACAGTTGGGAGAAGCCGTTAATGATGCAAAGACAAGAACTCTGACGATGAAAAGGGGATATGAAGAACTATTTGCTACAGAATCTTCATTAAATAAAAAAATAAAAACGAGTGTCCCACCACCACCAACAACATCCACACCCACCACCGCAGCTGACAGGAACGATAGCAAGTATGAAAATGCCATGAAATTTGTCACTGAATTTAAACAAAAGAAAGAGGAGAAAGAGCTAACAATGGATTGGGTCGCTTGTTGGAAAGAAGGAAAGGACTTGGATATATTCAATTATAAAAATTCTGAATCATTACGTCAACAATTCATCAAGTATACCAAAAGGAAGTCAAAGCAAACGAATTCTGATAATTCAAATTGAAAAAAAAAAAACAACTTTAATATTGGAAAACCTATTTTTTATCAAATTATCTTTCTTTTCATTTCCGTATTTTTTAAAACCCTGTTGAATACAGAACTTAGGGCCAATGTGTTAGTAATTAATAAAGGAATCATGGATCAGATATTTGACATTTAAATGTTACTGTTGAATTAGTAATTATGATTTATGAGTCATTATGTGCTTGTTAGAAGGTGATGTGTATTTTTATGAATTATATTTTATATGTGTAGATTGTTATATTATGTTGAGTAGAAGTAAAATGTCTATTAAGTAACGTCAGATCGCGGCAAGTCTATAACTGATGAGCGGCACTCAAGAAGGACCAATTTGGATAAAGAAAGTAAAATACCCATGAAATAATAAAAGGCTCAGAAACTAATAAGCTTGCATTCATATTTAAACGCAAAACCGTTTAAAGGATAGGCAGGTTTAATCTAATTGTGGGTGAACTTTAGCTATTATTTACTAATCTTTGATTATATCCCTTATAATGGGATTGCCAATATCTCGCAGCTTTTGTTTCTGCATTTCATCATCAGAAAAATAGATCGCAAATACTACCAACGGGTCAAGTTTGTTTGGTTCGTCTTCACTAAAGTTAATTGCATTTTTGAGGATAATTAGGCAACTTTCCGCCCACACAGTACTCTTGAACGTCTGTCTATGAGAATTTTCCAAAGTGGGTGATAGTAGTGATCTTACTGACGAGGAGATCTTATCAGTACAAAGAATAACAAGCGAAGGCTCAATGTCAAAGCGGTAGGATATTTCCAAGCATTTTTCAACTGATTTTTTCATCGAAATTTTTGTAATGTCTGACTGAATCTCCAAAAGGATTGAACGTGATTGAGCCATATAAAGAACAAAATAAGAACCACTACCCAAAATTTCTAATTGAACAAAACTGAAATTAGGACAATCCTTTTTTATAATGGATTCAGCAAGCAATTTAATAAATGCAGGGCTTTGTAAAATTTTTATAACTAAAAGAGTTATCAGCAAAAAGTATTCAAATTGGCTTTACAGGTTTTACCTACTTTCACTCATTGTAATCAAAACTGAAGAGTAAAATAAACTGTTGTCGAACTGTTGGTCGAACTGCAACCGTACCCGTTACCCGTACCCGTGACTGCAAAATTAAAAATAAGCCGTACCTATATCAACTAAGTAATTCTGTAGAGTTGAATTTCAGAAGACCTATTTTTTTTTTTTTTTTTTTACATGGTCTGCCATTGGGTAATTACCCAAACTTTATTTTTGATGCGTTAAACCTCCTATGGGGTGGGTGTGAAAATGAAAAAACGTGGTAGGCTGGCTTTCAACCTAGAACGAGGGGGATGTTGTGTGTGCGGGGGAAACCCAAAAGATTAGATAAATAAAACAACGAATATGTGTCCAATCTACAGAATATGACACCCGCTTTACAAACAAAAATTGTGTGGTATACAGAGGAAAAAAAAGAAAAAGACGACACACAACGCGGTGATAATTTTAAAAGAAAAATCCCAAATTTTAATGGTAATTAGTTTAATATTAAAGAGCTTTTTTTTTTTTTTTGTTGCTGTTGGTAGGGTTTTCATGCGGAGGAGAAGAAAAAAAAATGTACAAAGAGAGAAAAAATGAGCCCGCTCAAATATGACGGAAGAAAGAAAGAAGAAAGGATAATTGGCCTATTCAAGGATGGGATGGGGGTATGAGGTTTTATGAAAGCATGCATCCATAAGACTCACGTTGACTATAAAAATGGAAAGAACCAATATAGGTAAACTAATTTAAAAAAAAAAAAAAAAATTAGGGGAAATTAGATTCTATATATACTAAATATAAATTAGCCTTTTAAAAAAGAAAAACTTACAAAGATACCCAAACAAACAAAAACGTGCCAGATGGCATGACTTGTCATACCAGCCGCATCCAATTTTCCAGGAAAGAATTTTTCTGGAAACCTTTTCGCGTAAACCGTGACACCACAGATGTACATGGCAGCGCCAATCAAGGCGGGTTTCAAAAAGAGTAGAGTCTGATGAGATCCCTTCATACTGGCCATGTGAACTAAAGGTACGATACTCGAGAAGGCCATAGCCACAAAGAGACCAATACGTAAAGGTCGGTAACGCTTCGTATCAAAGAACCGAAAGAACGGCAAAATCACACCAATACTTCCAATCAAGCAACTAAACACAATGTAACGTATGCGAGGGACAGGATCACAGTAAAAACCAAAGTGATTAATGAGCGAGATGGAGGCTGTGATGAGAAAAGTAATTCCAATGTAATCCAAAGTGGCTGTGAAGCTCTTGACATGATGTGCTGAGTGACAAATAAATGTATGGTAAATCGATGAACATAATAAACATGTCAACGAGGCCAAACAAAATGCTGTAAACACGAGTAGATCCCGACTAGAAGCTTCAGGGAACTTGCGCTACAAAAAAAAAAAAAAATTATTATTATTCGTATTCCCCCCCTCTTTTTTTAACATTATATACATATAAATAGAAATTTACCTGGAATATGCTGACGGACAGATAGGAAAAGAAAAAGAAACCAAGTAAATGGCTCCAGATATTCATGGTTTCGTTATGTAATTTAAACAAGGAACGTAAACAATCCCTTGTGTTACGATAGAAACGGTAACCAGACAACACATATTCGTTTTCTTGTCGATCCTTGGGTAATTCTTCAATCAATAAGAGACGTTTGGCACCAAGGGATAAAGCTTTTGCTGTATCCCATGTCTCATCCATGTATTCGATAAAGGCAGCATCTTCATAATAGCTTGTTTCTTGCTTGATTTTTTCATTGACAGAGGCAATTAATTGAGCTGCTAATGAACCATGAGCTGCTGAGGCAGAATAAGATCTTCCTCGGCTGTAAGGTACCGTTAATGAATCCTTGGCCGAAGAAAACGAAACGACATGGGATTGTGAGTATCGACGTAAATGAAGGTTGCTTTCTTCACCCAAACACAATAACGGTTCTTCAGCCATTTGAGGAGGTGCCATCTTTTTAGGGTTGTTTTGTTTGTGTTTTAATAGTTGTAAAAAAAGAAAAAAGAAAAAGAGAAACAACAAAAAAGGGTTTAGGGTGTGGTGCGCCCATATATTTTTTTTATTTTATCCCCAAATAGTGGTTATGATCTGACCAATCGGATAAAGACACAGAACCAATAAGGTACTCGCTCCATATTTTTTTTTTTTTTTGGCCCCCCTTCTCTATATTCATTGTTTAGTGAAAAAGAGAGAGAGAGCGGTAAGGAAGAAGAAAAAAAAATGAGGGATGGATCCTTTTTCTCTCTTTCTTTCTCTCTCTCTCTCTCTCTCTTTTAAACATCTTTATTTTCTTTCAAAGAATGACTTTACCTGAATCTACAGCAACTACACCTGCCATTCTATCTTCCTCTTCCACTAACCAAGGTGCACCATTGGATTCATCTCCGACTAGCAGGTAAAAAAAAAAAAAAATTGTTGCCAATTGGGGTGAATCTTAACTTTTTGTTTAAAAGCGTTGTATTAAAAATGGGAATTATTGGTGATGCGCAAATTGGGAAAACGAGTTTAATGATAAAATATGCAGAAGGAGCGTATGATACGGAGTATATCCAGACACTAGGTAAAGAAAAATAAAGGGAAAAATAGAATGGATTGTGGGGTGGGAACTGACAGTTATAAAAAAAAAAAGGTGTTAACTTTATGGAAAAGACGATTGTGATTCGTCAAACCGAGATTACATTTAGTATATGGGATTTGGGAGGTAAAAAAAAATAAATAAATAAATAATAAATGATAATATAAACAATAAACAAATAACAAGAGAGTATTACTATTTAAAAGGACAAAAGGAATTTGCGAGTATGTTACCTCTGGTGTGTAATGATGCAGTAGCGATTTTATTTACGTTTGATTTATCACGAAAAGCGACATTGAATAACCTAAAGGAATGGTATCGACAAGCCAGAGGGCTCAACATGGTAAATTAAAAGAACCCGTCTGGTACTGAAAAAAAAAAAGAGCTAATAATAATAATAACAATATGAAATAGAGCGCTATTCCATTGCTGGTTGGTACGAAATATGATGAGTTTGTTCATCTAGACTATCAAGATCAAGAGGAGATTACGGTCCAAGCAAGGAAATATTCGCGTGCTATGAAGGCTCCACTTGTCTTTTGTTCCACAGCAGAATCAATTAACGTACAGAAGATTTATAAATTGGTTCTAGCCAAAGTGTTTGATTTAAATTGCACTTTGCCTGAAATTACTGAAATTGGAGGCCCCATTCTTGAATATCATCACTGCTAGTTAATAAATTATAACTTTATTTTTTTTAAAGAGACCATGTAATGGGAACTCGACCATCGCTTAAGCTAGCAATTTTCTTAAAGGCAGCTGCACTCATATCAACATCCCCTTTTTTACATCCAGGACATGTATCTACTACTTTGAGAGAGACCGAACCATTGGGACCTTTGACGGTGATAGATTTACCGCAATAGCTAGATTTCATGATGGAACCAGAGAGTGCAGCCACCATTTGACTGTTGGTGTTTGTTTTACCGCAAGAACCTAACCCTACTTCATAATAAGTGCCTTGGCCAGACTCAGAGCCACGCGCAACGAGAGGGGCACTTTGGACACGAAACAACAAGGCTAAAAGAGTGAAAATAATGATACAAGCTTGCATTGAGACTAGTTAAAAAAAAAGGGAAAGGGATAAAACGGCCAGCGTTTAAAAAAGAAGGAAAGAAGGTAATGAAATGTCAATTTAGTCTCGGGACAGTATTTATAGCTTTTTCGGCTCGGTTCCCTTGAAAATAAGGAGGGGAAGTCCAATTCACGCATAAATTAGGCGGAGTTTTCTTGGGCTCTTGGATGGAATTTTCCCTTTTGGCTGTTGTGATATATTATATGTCAAGGTTGGGGGATCTGCAGTGAAAGAGGGACGGTTAAAAAAAAAAGTGGGATGGAACACATGTTGAAAGTTTGTCATTCAATTAAGTGAGTGAATATAGTCAGCATATTTTGACACATGAATATTCAAACTGGTCAAAAGTAGCACTAACAAAACGAGTACTTTCACGTGTCAAAAAGATATATAAACACACGAGAAAAAAAAAAAAAGAAAGAGAAAAAAAAAAAGTCTTTTTTTTTAATTGAATGTATTTCAATGTTATATAACAACAATGGTAGACAAAAAAGATTCTTCTACTCGATCAAACGACCGACCTTGTTCCTATGATTCCAACACGACCGATGAAGGTTACCACACTGACGACAAAGATGCCTTTGATGCTGAGATTCCCATTTTAAAAAGCCATCGCACCATGTATGTTTAAACGCTATTATTATTAAAAAAAAAATGCTAACCTTGTGTCGTACTATTATAGTCAGATCTCTTATTCCCCGTTAACTTATACCCTTACCATATCCATCATCATGTTATCGATTCATACCCTATTACGTCAGCCGTTTCCATGGGCTCATACATTTCCACCCATCTTCATCCTCTTTCATCTATTATTTCACGTGGCACATTTATCAGCGCATATTTTCAACTTGTTAAGGTTAGAACGCCATTGTATTGTCTATGGTACATGGTTGTACTGGACAGGTTGGCTCTTGGGCACATTTTTATTCTCGGAAAGACTGGTTTCCAACAGCACTGAATCAACCGTTCTCTTATTCTGGTTATTGATGCTCGAAAGAAGAAATGCTTGGGGTATTATTGTCTGGGAATTCGTCAGTCGATTAACTGCTACCACCACCACTGACACCACCACCACAGGCCAAAAAAAGCGTCTGTGGGAATCAGGCAGTATCAAATTACTAGTCTTTCGTATCTGGTGCCTGCTGGGTACAGGTAGCTTTTGGGGCCTCTTATATACGCTCTTGGCTAAACTGGATGGATTTGCATTTAAATACCTGTTACAAGTGCATCATATCATGAAACTGTTGCTGGTCAGCACTGTGGGAGGTCTCACCATGATTATCTTTTGGTCCTTTTGGACTTTTCAATACAAGGGCGTCTTGTGGCAAAAGGAGCTTCGACAAGGTGTCATTGTTTGGTACAGTGAAGGTATAGCTCACGCTGCTCAGGTCTTGTAATAATTATAATAATAATAAAATAATCCCCCTCTCTCTCTTTCTCTCTTTCTCTCTTTCTTTCTTTTTTTTTTTTTTATTCTCCATCTTTTTTTTTTTTTTTGTCTTTGCTTGCCTGATGAGCTTTCTTAATTTCAGGTAAACAACCTACGGACAGTATTTCATGCATGTACTCACACTGTTGTTATTTGTATTAGTCTGGGTGGGAAAAAGAACAAGCTTTCGAAAAAGACATTGAATGGAACAGATGATTACAAACCTTTATTCCTTTCTCACGTCACGCATATGCTTGTGAAGGGTAACTTTAGCACAATCACCGAATTACCAAAGTACATTGACCTGGATGAATGGCTTGCTTTCAACAGTAAGAGAGAGCGTCTGTAGTATCTTGTGCTTCTCGGAAATACTAATGTTAGCTATTTGTAATGTAGCGTTTGAATTCTTTAACCACATCAACATGTTTTATGGGTCTATTACGGACTTTTGCACACCACAGACGTGTCCTTGCATGTGTGCAGGCCCAGGGTAAGACGATAAAAATAAAGAAGAGAGGGAGAGAGAGAGAGATAATAACATAAGCAAATAGAGTGGAGTATGCGTGGGTGGATGCATCATCGAAAAAAGTCAAGTTGTCTGCACCACAATACATTGATTATATGGCATCGAGTATAGAAAATATGATGGGGGATGAAAGCCTGTTTCCAACCAAAGCAGGACGAGAGTTTCCTCGCGAATTTCTACAGTTAACGAGTCGAATATTTGGACAACTGTTTCGATTGTTTGCACATATATACCATCACCATTATGATAAAATCATTTCTCTGCATGAAGAACCTCATTTGAATTCATTGTTTGCGCACTTTATTTCTTTCTCTAAAGAGTTTGATTTGTTGGAAAAGAAAGAGGTAGCCCCTTTACAAGATTTAGTGGATGCCATGATAGATCATGGCCTTATTTCCTAAAATATTAATAATAATAATAATAATAATTATAAAAATGCCCCTTTCCACCACCCCCCTTCTCTCTCTCTCTCTTTCTCTCTCTTTCTTCATAAAAAACTCCCTTTTTTTTTTTTTTTTTTTTTTTTTTGCCCATCTTTTCAATGGTCAAACATTCAAGTCCACCTACAGAAGGAGAAATTAAAAGTCAACTTGGCAATGAAGTTTTAAACTCATGGACACAAGACAAAGTCTCTGCTTGGTTAGAAGAAAGAGGTTGGGGACAGTTCGTGTCTACGTTTGAAAGTAAATAAAAAAGATTTATGCCGTCATGTATTTTTTTTTTTCTTTTTCTTTTCTTTTCTTTTTCTTTTTTTTTTTGGTGTAACTTATCTATTCTATAAAAGAGCACAGGATATGTGGTGTACGTTTCTTTCAAATCACTTTGGCAGAATTAGTGGAATATTTACCAAGAAGCATAACAACTTATTGCGAAAGACGGAGACTTTTAAATGAAATTCGAGCTCTTGTTCCCTTGGGAAAACCCAAACTCAACACACCCACCAACGTAACTAATAAAAAATAAAATAAAAAAAACGGTACATTTCGATAGACGAATACTAATTCTCTCTCTCTCTCCTTCCCACTGTGACAGATCTCCATTAATACCAATCTTCAAGATTACAATAAGGGACAAGGAGTCACGACTCCCTTAGAAACAAGAGATAGTGGCATTGGTTATCTTTCGTCACCTTCTTCCCCAACCACTTCCATCAAGTCCTCCTCCTATTCTCCCAAAGCAGCATTTCACAAGATCAAGAACTCGTTTCGTGCTTCCTCTCCACCCATGATTAGTCCACCCGCTATCCCTGCCCGTATCTCTTCCACACCCGACAAAATATCCAAGTTTTGGGCCGCTTATCATCACTGGTCTCCTAACAACAACAACAACGCCAATAAAGAAAAGAAGCCCGCTCGTATCCAGATTACCGCAGATAAAGAAGTTTGGTACAGTTTAAATGTCTCGGATGTAAGAGACCCCTTGACCATCAAGCAACATATCCTTAGACGCATGAACTTGGAAGGAGACTGTGACGGGTATTACTACTTTCATGAAAATGGACCTGACCCAGGTTTGTAATTTCATAAAGCATTGTCATCACAACCATTTTTTTTATTAAAAAGCAACCACCCTCATCCTCCCCCCCCCTTTTTTTTTATTAGAAACCCCCATGGATCCGCAAGATATCATGTGTTTATGTGCCATGGCAGATCATTCTGCCTCTCAACGTATTTTAGTGCGTCCCGTTTATACTCACCTTACACCTGAACTAGGTAAATCCCCTACAGGTAGTCCTATTCGATCACCCAATTTTAGACCTTTATGTCGTAAAGCTGCACGAAGGCCTTATAAACAGAAAGGTATCCAACTCTCGGACCCACCTCGTCCTTGTCCTTCACCCCCATCACCACCACTACAACAACAACAGGAAGATGTGGCGTTGTGGGCAGTAGCGCCACAGAAACTATCACCTGTCCATCGAGAATACTGGGGTGAAAGACCACCTCCAGAAATTGTATTTAAACACATGGAAGATTATTTTGATAGTCAAGATTTAGACAAGGAAGTTGTGGTGGTAGATGAACCCGATTCACGTAAACGATTAACACATACGAAATCCATCCGACTGGTAGCGCGTGAAGCGAGTCGAAAATACAATTCACAGCAGCAGCAGCAACAACAACAACAACAACAACAACAACAACAACAACAACAGGAGCGAAACAAAGTGGTGGTTCGACGCAAGAGTACCAAATTATGGGGACAGAAAGTGATTGAGGTGAAATCATTACAGCGATTACCCTCTGTAAGTGAACATATTCAATTATCGCATACAGCGACCCATGATGAGAATACGATGATGAATCCAGTTCAGTGGATTCGAGGCAAGTTGATCGGGAAAGGATCGTTTGGTCGTGTGTATCTTGCTTTTAATGTGGCAACGGGTGAAGTGATTGCTGTGAAACAGGTGGAGATACCCAAGACGGCTTCGGATCTACTGGATCAAGATCAACATGATTGTGTTACCTCCTTGTATGCGGAAATCATGATGTTGCGTGATTTAGACCATGAAAATATCGTACAGTATCTAGGGTATGGTCAAGATGATGGTGAAGGTGTGGTGAATATTTTCTTGGAATACGTGTCCGGTGGTAGTATTGCATCTCGGTTAGCCTTGCATGGTGCATTTGATGAGCTTTTAACGGGTTATTTTACACGACAGATTGTGGCTGGATTAGAGTATTTGCATTCAAAGGGTATACTTCATCGAGATATTAAGGCAGCTAATATCCTCGTAGAAGCAGACGGTATTTGTAAAATCTCCGATTTTGGCTTATCCAAGAAGAACGATTATGATGAAGCGTATGATCAAAACTCGCGCATGTCGTTACGAGGGTCTATTTATTGGATGGCACCTGAGGTAGTGAAGAATGAAGCGTATAGTGCTAAAGTGGATATCTGGAGTTTAGGTTGTACCGTCATTGAAATGTTGACGGGTCAAAGACCTTGGATCTCTCTGAATCAAATTGCTGCCCTGTATAATGTAAAGTAGTAGTCGTAGCAGAGTGAAAAAAGGGGAAAGGCTCGATCTAATTTTTTTTTTTTTTGTTATGATTAGTTGGGAAGATTGAATACACCTACACTACCAGAGGATATTTCTGATTGTACGAAAGATTTTCTTACACAGTGCTTCATCATGTACAAGATAGTAGTTAAACAAACAAAGTTTGGGAGATTTATTCATTCTTTTTTTTATTATTTATTTTTTTTAGTGATCCTACTAAACGACCTACCGCCGCGGATTTATTACAACATCCATTCTTGACGAATCTAGACAAATCCTTTCAATTTAAGGATTACATGGATAGGGGCAAAATCTAAAAAAGAAAAAAACTCGAATAAAATTTGAACTTGATTTGAACTTGATTTGAACCACTTCTCAAACTTGAAATGAGTATAGAAATATTTTTATTTAGATAGCCGAGGGGACTTTGTTTAAGCAGTTTTCGAAATGATTTTTTAGAGTGTTAAGTAATGTTGATAAGTTGAGATAAAGGGGGCTTGATTACATTGCTTTCAGTTATTCTTTGCGAATTGGTTCTATGTGCAGAGACTTTTTTTTTTTTTTCATTCCAGCTACAAACTTTTTGGAACTTGCTGTGGAAAGTGTAGTTAAACCGTATACTGACTACACAGTCCAAAACACTAAGATTAACACTTTCGGTGTCTACATTCACTTGTATTTATATTACGTGTAAACATACTGTGAGCTTCGATCCATGATGTGCCAAAGCTATCAACAGCAATGAGTTAGAATACATTAATGAAACAATTTCTTGATCAAAATAAATATTTACCAACTATTTTACTGCTTTAATGGCTTCACTTGACTGCATAGTACATGAATTAGATAAAAGAGACGATCATTCATCTTGGAGCTGCGGCCAATAGTTTGGTTGTATAAAGAAGAAACTAAAGGGAAGGCTAGTTGTCGACGGCATAGGAAACCGCCCCAAGCTTCACAAGACCAAGCTCTGACTTGCTTGGGGGGGTTTGCAAGTGTTTCTATTTTAAGTAAAGGCTCAAACATTATGGATGATAAAATAGACAAATGAAATCATCCTGACATAAGCTTGTTTATCTATAAATAAAGCTGGTTCACACACTTTATTCTTCTCCTTTTCTTTTCCCTTAACATACTTATTTTATCGTATAAAAGTAACCGATCACATAGAAAGGTTAGTTAGTAATGACTCTTGTATTTCTTTGAAAAGAAGCTAAATTGAAAAAAGATATATATTGTGATATTGCGGGCTGCGGCTAGTCTTTGCTATAGGAGGGCGACCTCATAGGCAGAGTTCTTGAGTTTCTGAAACTCGCGAACCGTGAATAGCTGGGACTGCACTGTATATAGGTGCGATTATACTGGTCTGCTGGTCTTCTGGCCAGAATTCCTGTAAGTGGTATATAAAAAAAAAAACGCTTGAAAAGAAGAAGCTAGTAATCATGAAGAAATTGCTAAAGAAGATGAAAGGGTTGTTGGTGACTTGTGCGTCTCAGAAAAATGCAGGTTGCTGAAAGACAACACCCTGACATTGAAGAAAGACCCAGGTAGTCTTTCGGACATTCGGTTGCTGTAAGTAAAAGGCAAAGCTCAAAATCGGTTTCAAACCTTATTCATTTTTTTTTTTTAACCATTAGGGCAATCAACGATAAATTCATATTCGACAAAGACATTAATATGTCTGCCTCTAAATATTTTGGGTTAGAAGGCCACAAGGCCATCATATCAAGTCTAGACACCAAGAAACACCGTCCAAAAATCGGTACCAGAGCACATCAATGGTGCCAAGAAATTCTTGATGTAAGATGACATATATTAAAAGAAAATTTGATAGATGTAACGATTAATGTATTAAGTTTTTTTTTTTTCAAGGACCCACCGCGCGACTGGATAGCTTCGTTAGGTTTTGGTGGGAAGGTATTGTGTCAAGCGGCGAAAGAGAAAAATGATGTAGATATACATACCGCACATGTATTAAGCCAAGTGTAAAAATATTAACAAACAGTTTTCATGGGTTTTTTAATATCTTATTGACATTATCGTTGTATTTAGATTGCCATTATTTGTTCGCTTTTCTTAGGGACAGCCAAAGTGCACGTGGTCGCAACGTAAGATCTGTGATTTTGTTGTTTCAATAATCAAACCCAAGGTGGAGCTACCTTAATTATTGATAATATACGACCATTTTTAAAACACTGTATCATTTCCGAGCTTGAGGGAGTCAAATACGAATGGTAAGTTCAAACATATGATCCAAGTCAACAGGAATAAAACTTGTCATATTTTTAAGGTTGACATACCGGGTAGCTCTGCCTTCGGACGGGCAAATCATGATTCCAGATCTGGCTCTTTTTGTTGAGTTAAACTCAAGCACCAATTATGAGTTATTTTTTGTTGAAGTCAAAAGAAGAGGCAAATATCAAAACAGCAATCTGGAGAACGACTTGGTAAAGTTAGGAAAGGAAATGCCTACAGCATTGAATAAATTGGTGAAGAAAAGAGTAAGAAATCCTGAAGTTGCTGGATTATTAATTGAAGGTAATGTATATTGTCAAGTTACTTTTGATATATGATTATTAAAGACTCTAAATAGATACAAAGGTGATAGCCTATCAAATGACATTGAAATACGAGGGGCTATATCAAATGATTGAAATCAGTCGGTTCAATTTCACCAGAGACAATACTGACGATGTTTTACTGATACCTGCCATTATTGAAAAACTCAGTCAGATAAAAGAAATAGTGTATGAATTAATGGATACCTAGCTTCTACAACCAAATATACAAATATCGATAAGACATTTTATATTTGGGATCTTAATTTATTTATTACAAAGATAATGAATAAATAATCAACTATTATCTTATATTGCCAATTACACTTGACAAACAAGTATGCATCTTTTACAGTAACCGTTGGATGATCTGATAAATAAGTGTCTCGTAATACTAAAGATTTATTAGAATACTCATGCTCCCGATCTACTGATATGGGACAACGTTATCTGGAAACAATTCTAACGAGTAGTATCCATTTGACCAAGGCGGGAAACAAAGTATAGATCTATTCCAAAACCAGAAAGGTTGACTCATCATTAAAACTCAGGAGAGTTGTGCAATATAAAAAGGATCAATTATTTCATAGCAGCAGAGTTCTTTTAGTCTATTTTGACCCCTAATAAAAATATACTTTTATCTCATTACTTTTCTATGTAATATTTTGTCAAATACCACAACAGGGTCTCACGTCTTTATGAATTTAAAAATAATAACGGACATTAATTTTTAAAACTGTTTTCCAAAACCCCTTGTAAAAAATAAAAAAAAAAATTCGCAATTTTTTAATACGTTGGAGGTTTTCAACGATCTAATCATCAACATTGGAAATGGTCTGCCCTCGTCCCGCACTCCAATGGGGTCCTCACATTGTATGGTCTGCCCTCGTCCCGCATCTTTGTTGAGCTTAGTGGTAAAGTACTTGTATGGTCTGCTCTCGTCCCGCATCTTGTACTTTATTTTCTAGACCTGATGACAAACAAATGTCTGCCCTCGTCCCAGATTTGTTTGAGAAAGTTGTAGCCTCTCCTTTTTTTAAGATAAGTATTCAAAAAAGAACTAGAAGCATTTGTTTTGTCACTAACTTTTTTATATAGTAGAAAGACATTATTGATTTCCCTTTAAAACATACGAATACTCAAATGTACTTATGAAGTTAGATTATGCCCATATTTTGTTCTGCTGTTAGCTTAAGCCCCACAAATAATTTAGCTGGTTATTTCCCAAGTCCTATTGTTACTGATTCTCTAACGATGCCTTTATCTGGTGTTGTGCAAAATAAATAATATCACGATCCTGTTTAGATTGTGAGCATTTTACATCTGATTACAAGCAACATTTAGTGAAATCAGAAAATACACATCATTTTTAGATCAATTTTATTTAACTCATTATGACATTTATTTTATTTCAAAAAGACAAAGTTTTTAGACATAAAGAGACAATCATTTTCGGCTTGGTGCCGTTAATTTCTTGGAAAGTGACATTTATATTTTTGTTAGGGGCATTGAGTTTTTTCAAAGTGACAAAATTTACCGTTCTCACTGTGCCCTAATCTTCCAATGTAATTCCAATGGAGAAAACATTCTTGTCAATAAAAATAAATAGTCTCTTACCAGGTGATACCAAGACTTGCCTGGTCTATACTGAAACGACTTTAATTTGTCTTTTTTGAGCAAGTGTGCAGTACTCCCATCAACAAAGTCACCGTAAACCTTAATTTTTTCTCTAGTCCGCATAAGAATACAAATGGAAGGTACAACACTCATAGAACAAACCTTAACAGCTAAATTTGATGCACATCTTAACCCAGACAACCAACCTCGGCAATTCACTCTTCCGAACCACAAGAAACAGTACTAGTTTACTTCTGTCAGTCATGTACTGTTTTGCAGTAGTATCTCAATTAAGAGCTGAATTAGATTTGACTGGAGAACTGTCTAAAGTAAATGTATGACATAAACTCCAATACAGTGGCGAATAATCACGTAAAATGACTGCTGTCCCGGATCTATAAATACAAATGTACCATTATACACATTTTGATAAAACGATGTTACAAAAAAAAAAGGTTTGAAAAAACAGAGTTTCGTATGTTTTTAGAAAGGAGTGTCGCACTTTTTTAAAAAAAAAAACCGTGTCGCACAGTTTAAAAAAAGTGTAGTTTTATATATATGCAAAAAAAAAAACATCGCATACAGTAGTCGCCAATGGGCGATTTTTTTTTAAAAAAAAAAGTTAGACATGAATATCCATACACACGGTATGTCACAAAACTGTTTATTAGTCATGATAGAACATGACGTTTTGTAAAGAGTGAAATGCTATCCTCTCGATATGAAGGAAAAGAGAAACTCCGCCTTGTGATTTACAAATGACATATGTTGTATTATAGACACACTAAAGAAAAGAAATATTTTATTGTAAAATAGACTTTTAATGTAAATGAGAGTTATGTTTGCTATCTTGATAGCCAGTGCAAGCATCCCAATTTCCCAAAGAAAAATTCTCGACGGAACCCTTTTGAGGTCGAGTTAAAGTGAAATCTTGATCCTCTTGCGGTGTCGCACTTTCTTTAATTTTTTCTGCACGGTCCTTTCGGTTCTTTGCCAGTAGTTTGGAAAATTCATTCCATGGTAGGTCTACAAAGGATGTATTGGACGGTGTAGTTGTGCTAGGTTCTTCACTGACCAAGTTGGGAACCGTCTTGATATGTTGCATTAATTTATGTCCAGGATCCATTTTTTGTTGTAGTTTGTAGTATAAAAAGTGTAGAAGACGAAAAGTTATAAAAAGTGTCGGCACTTATATATCTTTTTTTTTTTTTTTGCAGGATTTTCTCTTTAGAATTTGTTTAGCTGCTTTTTTTGTTTCTGTTTCAGTTTACCCCACAATAGTGTTTTACCCTTTCTTTTATTTGCTTAGTAGTTGCGGAGGAAACATGGGGGATTACACAATAAATAAAAATACCGATAATGGCTAACGTTAGACCCTTTTCTAATACGTCAGAGTGATGCTTTTTAACTCTAAATGTATGAATTTCTAATTTTTTTTTTATTTCTCTATACACAATTTTAAATAATAAACAAGATTTTTTTTTTTTTACTCCCATTCGATGGTAGCAGGAGGCTTGGAACTAATATCGTACACAACACGGTTCACACCCTTCACTTCGTTAATAATTCTAGAAGAAATACGCTTCAAGGTCAAGAACCATTCAGCGCCAATCATGACATCAGCAGTCATGAAATCCGTGGTCTCGACGGCTCTCAAGGCAATGACTTGTTCGTAGGTACGCTTATCACCCATGACACCTACAGCCTTAATAGGCAATAAAGCAGCATAAGCTTGAGAGATTTGACGATAGTAACCACCCTTCTTGATTTCCTCAATATAAATGTTATCAGCCAAACGAGCGATCTGAACTTGTTCACGTGTGACTTCACCGAGGACACGAATAGCGATACCTGGTCCAGGGAAAGGATGACGCCAGACTAATTCATCATCGAGACCCAAGAGAGATCCCAATTTACGGACCTCATCCTTGAAGAGTTCACGCAAGGGTTCGATCAATTTGAGCTTCATATCGGCCAAGAGACCACCGACGTTATGATGGGTCTTGATGGTAGCAGAGGGACCCTTGAATGAGATAGATTCAATGACATCAGGGTATAAAGTACCTTGCAACAAGTATTCAATTTCTCCACCACATTCCTTATCAATGATAGCAGCCTCAGCTTCAAAGACCTCAATAAAGGTGTTACCAATAATCTTTCTCTTCTTCTCAGGGTCAGTGACACCAGCAAGACGATCCAAGAACAAGTCAGAGGCATCAGCAATCTTGAGGTTAATACCCATCTTATCCACCAACATTTTCTTGACGTTAGCACATTCGTTCAAACGCATGACACCGTTGTCAACGAGAATACCATGGAAACGATCTCCGATGGCTTCGTGCATTAATTTAGCAGCAACAGTGGAATCAACACCACCAGAGACAGCACCGATGACACGACCGGTAGGACCGACAAGAGCACGAATACGAGCAATTTCCTTATCGATGAAGGACTCCATGGTCCAAGAGGCATCACATTTACAGATATCAATCACAAAGTTCTTCAAGACGGTCTTACCGATGGAGGTGTGAGTGACTTCAGGATGGAATTGGATACCGTAGAAGGGCTTCTCGGTGTGAGCGACAGCGGCAAAGGGAGCGGTCTTGGTATGACCAATGACTTCAAAGCCAGGAGCGGCAGCGGTGACTTGATCACCATGAGACATCCAAACTTCGGCCTCACCGTCCAAGGAGTTGAAAAGAGCGTCCATCATGGGGTTTTGAGGATGCTTGTTCAAATTGAGCATGGCATAACCGTACTCACGGTGAGTACAACCTTCTACTTTACCACCCATCAAGTTGGTCATCTCTTGGAGACCATAACAGATACCCAAGATGGGAACACCGTAGTCAAAGACAGCAGGGTCAACACGAGGTGCATCGGTATCGTATACAGAGTAAGGAGAACCAGATAAAATGATACCGGTGGGCTTGAAATGAAGATCGGCCATCTTTTGTGTACAAGGTAAAAGTTCACAATAGACACCAAACTCACGTACACGACGAGTAATCAAGTGAGAGTATTGAGATCCAAAGTCCAAAATGAGGACAGTGTCAAACATTTGACTCACTTCTTTTAAATTGGTAGTAGCCATGGCTGAAAATAAAAAAAATTAAAGGTGGAAAACAACCAACAACAATTAAAAAAAATATTTTTTGACAGACAAGTTTCCAAAGAGAAAAAAAAAAAAAAAAAAAGGGTCACGAGAAACAAGTCACTGTATTCGAGCTCCGCTATATTTGCCTTTTTATACCTCTTCCCCACCCTCCCCTCACAAACACTCATTTCACGTAACCTTTTTTTGGTTGTTTGTGCATGCAATTTATAAATAACAAAAAGCAGTAGCTTTTTTTTTTTTTTAATTTTTTTTAATTTTTTTCTGTAAGGGGTAGCTCAAACTTGTTAATACATATAAATTTTAATACCGACTACTATACAAGACAATGACACTTGGTAAAAGAATATGTCAAAAAACGAGAAAAAAAAAACCAACCCAACCTAATTTATTGTAGATGAACATTACATTTGTCAACGAGCAGCGAATGCCATCATCTCGGAGATTGGTCCTTTCCGAGTTTCAACTGATGCTTTACAAGCCATCAATCAGTTCCTGGACGAATTTATTGTACTCTTATTGACGTGTTCTTTATCCCTTGACCTATCCAATATCAAGTCAGTGGTCTTTGGTCTCTTACCTTCAACACTTGGTAAAAATGCCATTGTGGAAGCCGAGTTAGAAGTCAAGACTTTTACCGAGACCGAATCCATTGATTATGAACTGTATGAACGTATGCGTAATCTAGGCACCGAGGGTCCTTTCCCTTTAGCAGAAGCCGTGGCCCTGTTACGAGAGAAATGTTTCGAGTATTGTACATTGGCAGATAAAGATGATCAATTGTATCTACAGAAATCCATTCGCAATAAACGTGTAGACGAGACGGGAGTGGCGATCAGTCCTCTTGTCGCCATCTATGTCACCACAGTAATGGAACATATTGCCGAATATCTTTTAACGGCGGTGGCTATGACGGCAGAGCATGAGGATACGGATTATGTGCGTGTCAAAGAAGTCTTTTTAGCATTGATTGATGATGTACAATTAGGCAATGTCTTTCAACGTATGGATTTACGGGATAAAATGGAGGTAAAAAAAAAATTATGAACAGTTGTTTTTTTTTAGAAAAAAAAATGAGAGCTAAAACTTTGTTCCCTTTTTTTTCCAACCAATTCTAGAAACGAGCTGGGTTATTCAATTTAAATACAAACAAGGCAAGAAACTCATATTTGCCACCTCCTAGTCCTACACCTAACCGAAAGAGTTATATCAACCATGAGCAACGTAAGTGATATATTTAGTAAGCAATCTATGATTTTGAGTGTAAAAAGAGAGAAAGAAAGAGAGAGAGAAATAACAGTGATCATTTTTGGTAGAAGAAACAGGTTCATTCCTTGATATTTCATTTGACGACATGGATTTTGACTTTGAAGAAGACAATCGAAAGAGTACAGCTTCTAGAATTCCCGATATGGGTAGACCTCAATCTGCCATGTCACACAGTAGCAATTACACCTTCAATAACAGCAACAACACGAATCGTAAATCAACGTACCATTTATTTAAAAATAATCGAAATTCATTCAGTAGTGCCAATGAAACCGCACCCCGTGCCTCTTCTCCTTCTTCTACACCTGCAGCAGTGTATGACCCGGATGCACCTAGTATGGATTTTGACGATCTCATCAAGTCAGGTGGGACTGTCAAAGTGTCCTTGACACCCAATCGATTGAGATCCATCGAGATTAAGGATCAAACAAAGGATGAATTGGCTCCTCCACCCTTGACGTGGGAACGAAGATCCACCTCTTCTCCTAGATTATCCGCTATGCCTTCCAGACCTTCTTCACCGCTTGTCCGACAAAACACAGCTAATAGTGTGCGAACCACCACGAGTGTTCGAAGCGCATCGAGTGGGAAGACAACAGGTAGCGCCAAGACCACGCACAGTGTCAAAAAAGGTCATTCTGGACCACCACCACCACAACAACAACAACAGCAAGGATTGGACCCTATTGAAGTGCCTAAACTTCATGCACGTTCGGCCTCTCCCTCTTCACCACTATCTAAAAGTTTTTCTGTACATGAAAAGGCACGTTTTGAAAACCCACGTGAAGCACCTCCCACACCACTCTCAGCGCTCAACAAATCCAGTCCTTTACCCAGTACGACAGCGAGTGCGGTGACGATGATCAGCACCACATCGTCTGTGATGAGTAGAAGTAGTGAATCGATTTCATCGGATATTTCATCTGTACTCAGTATACCTTCTCCTCTTCTTCCCATGACAACGCCTGTTGCAGTAGCGGTAGATACCTTGGCTATCGTCGAACCTCCTTTACCCAAACCCACCAAATCGATTCCGCTCAACGGCATGGTGTTGCGTCGAAGCAGTGTCAGTAGTAGAAAGAGTCGTGAAAATCTCAGACGTGCTGCTCGTGAAGATACGGTGGAAGCACCTATGCCTGCCCCTACTCCTAATAATGCGACTACAACCGTTGATGCAATTACGGTGAATGCGACTGTCACTCCTAATACTACCTCTACCGCTCATCCTAATACTACTACTACTATCAATAATACTAATACTAATACTACTACCACTTTTACTACCACTACTACGAATACCATTAATAATAATAATAATACAACAAACGCTGCTGATACTCCAGAAGCGACTCCGAGTCAAGAAGAAGAAGATCCTACACCTACGATGATATTGGTATCAGGGGGTGAAGAAGAGCCAATGACAGCGGAACCTATGACTTTAGACCGTCAAGTTCATTTTGACCAACCCCCCGTGGCCGCTGCGACGGAAGTAGGAGCTGTGATCCCCCGCAAGAAGGCAAGTACGTTGTCTCCCGAAAGACCTTCCAGTATGGTAGCTAAGCGAGCCTCGATGGTGGGTAACCGACGACGCTCATTGCATGAAAGTTATGCGACGGAGAAATATCATCAAGATATTTTGTTACGTCAACGTGTATCGAATGTGGGCTCAGTGAGTGTATCTATTAAACAATGGGATGATATTGCCAAGCCTGAAGAACAGGTGAATGTGATTCCACCGGCGGCACATCGACGCTCTGTGTTGAGACAGTTACGACAACAACAACTCAAGGAACAGTTACAGATTCAACAAGATTTATTGCAGCAAGTGCAGCAAGAGAAGGATAGTTCTTCGTCCTCTAGGTCTATTACGCCGCCACTACCAGCAGCAGCAGCAGCAACACAGCAGCAGCTGAAGGGACTAAGTGCAAGCCATAGTACGAGTAGTAATAATAATAGCAGTAGTAGCAATGCTGTATTGGATAAAGTACTCAAGTTTGAACGTGCATCTTCGCTGGACGATGATGTATCTCATCAACGCGTATCGCATATGCCTCGTCGTGAACGGTTCTTGTATTTACAACAAGATCCTTCTGCTATTGAACGAAAATCCACCATGGCTTCGTCAACGAAAAAGATGCCTTCGGTGGTGATACGTCGTATTGGTATTGACCAAGGTGTACAGACCGATCTGCCACCTGTGACGACAACAACAACAACACGGGAACAAGTAGGGGAAGAAGAGCATGGTACGGTGGATGGAGATGAAGAATGGTTCTTGCAAGACGATGAATGGGATGAACAAGAAGAAACTGCCATGGTTGAATGGTTACTTGGAGAATAATAATGATAATAAAATAAGAGAGTCACTTTTTTTATATATATATATATAAGCCAATCAAAGATAAATACATCATTTCCCCCCCCCCTTCCTCCTTTATTTTTCTTTCTTTTGGACACGTAACTAAAAAAAGAGATGAGTTCATTATTGTTACCTACCGTGTATCTCGGTGGCTGTATTGCTGCCATGAGTGCCTTTTCGTATGTTTACCGTCGAGCCACAAGTAATTATTAAAAAAAAAAAAAAAAAAAAAAAAAAAAAGGAAAGGGAAAAATAGAACTAACGGGGAGTGTCCTGTGTTTACGTTAGACATGACTTCCTTTGAAGCTTGGTTTCCCATCAATGTAGAGAAAGAACAATACATTGCTTTATTGAATAGCGAACCTGCTGTTCCTGAATATCATTTACGAGCAGCGCTTTTACGTCGCGCGATGGAAGCCGTGCGTCGTTTAGTGCAAGTGCAACAAGAGAAACCTGCTTTGCAGCAGTTGATGAAGACGGGTAGCATAGGGGATGATCTTTGGCGTGAATTTAGTGCGGCTGAACAAGAAATTACGGCTGAACTTCAAGAGATTGCGATGGAGGCTAATACGTTCAAGGAAGGATGGGGACAGACAATTTTTAGTACGGCTGCACAAATGTTGGAGCATGAAAAGCAAAAGCAGATGCAAACGGATATGAAGGCTATGTTGGAGATGGAGTCCACACGCAAGAAGAATGAAGAGGAAAGAGAAGCTAGGGAAAAAAAGGAAAATGAAATCAAGGATGGAGAGAAACGCTTAAAGGAAGCCAAGAAAGCTGAGGAGGAGTTATTAAGAATGGAAGAACAGGAAAAGAAGGCCTCCAAGAAAAAGTAGACACACACACACAAATATACAATAAAATGCCCCCCTTCTTTTCTTTAACCTTTTAGGAGTGTGCGTAACAAGTGTTTATAGAAATAGGGAGCCTTTTTTATTTTGTACCAACTTTAAAAATTTACGTATAAATTCTGTAAATATTTTTTTTTTCTTTTTCTTTTCTTTTTATCTCATCATGGAAGTTCAATATTCGAAACCAGTGTTTGTGGGTCTTGGTATTGTGGGACCTGACTCCCTTGAGATTATATCTGAATTTATATCCTTGATCTGTATCACCGTACTCGCTGCGGCCTTAGGTTCAAAGACATTTGGAGAAAAGCTGAAAACGATTAATTATGGTCGCGTTATGGTTATCTTGCTTTATTTCCTTTCATGGTCATTTGCAACTACATCCGCCGTCATTGTATCTACCAATAACAGTAAGTGTGCTCATACTCCCGTAACATTTAACTCTACTTAATTTGACATCTCATATTTTAAGATAATATGACATCTTGTACATTGGGCATGTTATCCTGTGATATATTTTACGCTGGCAGTAAGATTGTCGTTTATGCATGGCTGATTGAACGTATTCATCTCGTTACTGCTGTAAAAACCTCTCGTCTCAAGACACGCATTTACAGATTTCATCTTGTATTATTATGTCCTTATGTTATTATCTTTGCACTCATGGTAAAGGCCCTTATAAAAAAGAAAGAGAAACCCTTTTTTTTTTTTTCACTAATATTTTATGGTAGTTGGCTTTTAGAAATATCTACTTGGAGCCTGATGGTAAATGTACCATTGGTTTGCAATTAATTGCTAGTGTTCCTTTACTTGTAGGTCCATGGTCACTAACTACTGCACCTAAATCATGTATTCACTTTTTATCTTTTTTTTTTTTCGTTTTAGTGCTATGATTTTGTAAGAATTGAAAAAAAAAAGAGGGCGATGATTTGGGGAGGAAGCCACACTAACCTAGCTTAAAATAATTTAGATTTTGAATCTTTATTTAACTTGGCTGTTTATGGCGCCGTTGATGAACGTAGGACTTACTTCAAGAGCAAATTGGAAACGAAGTAGACTTTATAAACTTGCTCGTCGTACGCTTGTATCTTCCATTGTGTCGTTATTAATTTCATTTGCCAATGTGTTGGTTGTGGTGATTACACAAGGACACGAAAGAGGTTTGGTTTGTTTAACCATGTGTACCGTGGATGTCACCGTAAAGTAGCTTTTTTTTTTTGTGTTGTTGTTTGTTTTGGTAACTAATAACAACTTTTGTAGATTAACGCCGTTGTTGTGCACTGGGTAAAAGAGAGAGAGAGAGAGAAACTCTATAAAGAAGCTAATACTCTCCCCTTTGTTAAAATAGGTTACAACGAACCGTGGAGGCAATTCCAAAGATACACGAAATAAAACCTTTCATAACACAGACCATCTCTCTGCAGAATTAACGTTTGATGCACCTGCTGAAACGGGAGATAAACAACCCAAGTTTGAATTTGCCTCGATTCATGATAGTAAATCCAATGAGGACGATGAGGATGATAGTGAAAGTATACGGTCTACTCAAATTTCTCAGTTGAGCGCAAAACCCTTGCACAACTACTAAATAAATAAACAACTCCTTATTTAATGAACACTATACATATAAAAAACCGGTTTTTCTTCAAAGCATTTTTTTTTTTTTTTTTTTTTTTTACAGAATTTGTTTAAGGAGCCTCCCACTCAGTCGTCTCCTAGATACTACGCACTACAAAAAAAAAAATCTGTCTATATGCTAAAATACCATACTGTTGGGGGAGAGACAAGTGTCGATCATAAAACCCTTTTTGATCTAGTTATTGTTTTTTCTTGGGTTGTGTGTGTGAACAAACCCAAACATAGGTTAAGATTAAGGGGGGAGGTAAAGAAACAGATTATGCGGATAATCTATTAATTCTCTCTTTTTTTGTATTTACCGTGTTTCTATAAAGCTAAATCTTTAGAAATGTGTGATACCAATGTGTACCACTCACAATGATCCCCCGTAATTTGTATTCATTGTTCTTCCGGGTACTATCAGTATATAGAACAGGTTATATTGGACATTACGGATCAATGGTCAAGAAGGAGTAAGTAAATACAAGTCCTGGTTTTTATTTTACCTCTTTGATAATATCTCTAGTAATTGGAAAAGTGTTACTGACAAGTGAATTCAATAAAGTGAGTTTAGATTGAAACAGTTACAAAGTAAATGCTATTATAGAAAGACTCGTAAATAAAGTGAGAATTAGAATATTTATACGTTAATTAAGCATAAAAAATTACAGAAATCATCAAGGCTTGACTCGTTAAATAAAATGATTTTATTTTTTCATCATTAGAAGGATCACGAACAGATATGATTTTGTTTGTTGATAGCTAAACTCTGAGTCGTAAAATGACGCCATATGTTACAGTGGAGTACCATATAGCGTCAAATTTAAATGCACGTGATGAAACATAGATAAACAAGAAGAACATAGTACTCAATTGACAACGTGTCCAATGACACCTATTTTTTGTAGACATTTTGTTACATTACACAAAACAAATAGATGAAGCTTGCCATTACATCATTCGGTAGAGTTCAATATACTCCGGCTGGCATTAAATTTAACTAGGGCAGCTACAGAAGACTAATCCTTACAATGTAGAACGATAAGAAGGTTAAAGCCGACCAACTCATCTTATTGTTCCTTGTTAAATTGAAAAGCTTTTATAAGAATTAAAAAAAAAAAAGTCGTCCGCATAGACCGGAATTTGAAAAAAGTCCGGTCAAAAAATTTCGGCCTGGGGCTGGGCAGCAAAAAAAAAAAAAAATATGAGAAAGCAAAAGCAAGTGGCAAACGGCAAAAGCTAGATTTCCCTCCTTTTTTAATCGATATACAATATGGCCGCTGTTGCAGCTCAGATCTCCAAGAAGAGAAAGGTAAAGGAGTGATTTTAAAATGGATAAAGAGGATGGATGGATGTACAAAGAGAAAAAAGAAGACTAACATTTTTTTTTATAATTTCTAGTTTGTAAGTTTTTTTTTAAACATGATAGATCAGCATGGACGATTAAGAGAATATGTGGAAGAAATTAACATGATTTGTTAGGTCGCCGATGGTGTCTTCTACGCCGAATTGAACGAGTTTTTCACTCGTGAACTCGCTGAAGATGGTTATGCTGGTGTTGAGGTCCGTGTCACTCCTGCCCGTACCGAGTAAATATATATACCTTAAAAAATAGAAGAAAAGAGAAATGCGATCGACAGATATTAATACTATTGAATTAGAATCATCATTCGTGCCACACACACCCAAAACGTTTTAGGTGAGAAGGGTCGTCGTATTCGTGAATTGACCACTCTTGTCCAAAAGCGTTTCAAGTTCCCCGAGAACGCTGTTGAGCTTTATGCTGAACGTGTCCAAAACCGTGGTCTCTGTGCCATTGCTCAATGTGAGTCTGTCAAGTTCAAGCTCCTCAACGGTTTGGCTGTTCGTCGTGCCTGTTATGGTGTTGTCCGTTTCGTTATGGAATCCGGTGCCAAGGGTTGTGAAGTTGTTGTCTCTGGTAAGGTTCGTGCTGCCCGTGCCAAGGCCATGAAGTTCGCCGATGGTTTCATGATCCACTCCGGTAACCCTGCTCGTGAGTACATCACCACTGCCGTTCGTCACGTTGACTTGCGTCAAGGTGTTTTGGGTATTAAGGTTAAGATCATGTTGGATAACGACCCTACCGGTCGCAACGGTCCCAAGCTCTCTCTTCCCGATATCGTCACCATCCTTGAACCCAAGGAAGATGCCAGAATTGAAGAGCCCTCTGCTCAAGATTTCAGACCTGCTGCTGTTGCTCCCGCTCCCGTTGCTGCTGAAGCCACTGCCTAAATTTTTTAATTTTTTTTTTATATCATCTAAAATAAAAAAAAAAAAAAAAATCTCGATTTTGAAATTTTTAAAAAAAACACGAACACAATTTTTTGCAACTGTCTTCCTTTAATGAGTGTAAATATCTTTTCTATTGTTCTTCAGGTAGGGAGAGGACATCTTCTTGATCGACGCAATTGGTCATTTTACTCAGCCAACGATAAATGCCTCTGGTAGCAAAATCGCCCACGGCCACGCCCAAGGTAACCCATCGCAACGTCCATAATGGTAACTCAGCAACGAATTGTTTGGATGTGTATTCGTATTGGGCATCGACATGGAAAGCAAAGATATTAAAATGAATCCAGAACAAGATGACGAGAGAACAACAATAGACGAGCAAGAAGCCTTTCACTACTTTGGATAATCGACGGGTGATTGTATCCAAACTCTGCTCTTCGACCTCGATGTCCTCGTCGTCTTGACCATCGCCCAATAGGACGATGTTAAACATTTCATTGAGTATCTTGTAGGTGAAATAAATATTATTGATACTTCCCAGCAAAAAGAAACCCAGATGAAAATGTTCCAGGCGACACAAGATCAATTGCCAGAGTCTATCGTCCGAAAAAGGAAACAAGAAATAATACAGTAGACCACTTGAGAATAATGCATGCGATTCATTACTTGTATCAGGTAAGAAGCACACGGGAAATGGGGAATAAAGAACACGAAAAGTGGTGGCGGCGGCTGCATTGGAAGGAGGGGTTTCAGACAGGAATAAAGGTGAAACCGTACTAGAGGCGTTACTTGTGATGGATTGTAAAAGACTGGAAGAGGATGAGAAGGATGCAATGATGGATGATTTGCTACTCTTGTAAAGTAGCTTTGTTAATGAATTGGATGCCCATGCCTGTGATAGCCCACCAGGATAGTTTGTCAGTAAGACGGAAAAATGAATAAATGTCTTCATGATGATGCCTTTAATGATATCACTTGTCAATTACTTTTTTTTTTAAAAAAAGTGCATGTTCTTTCTTTCTAATTGTATTACCTGCTGGGATTAAGATGATTCCCAAAAGAGACACTGTAACAATCACTTTGGCAACTAAATTAAGGAGATACTTTTTTTTTAAGCCAAATTAAGGAAAAGTGTGTTTGTTTTGCCCTAAACACAAAAAAAAAAAAAAAAAAAAAAACTTACTTTTATATCGTAATAATGCAGCCCAGAGTCGCTTTTGTTTTATCCAAAGTCTATGCTTACACAGTTGACAATGATACAAGTCGCTCTCTCGTCCTGTCTGTAGTAGTGCCTTTCTCCATCCTGCCATGCAATGAGGATGAACGTACTTTCTGCATTGACAATGGTTAGAAAGTGGAGAATAAATAATAGACTTTTTATTTTATGCATTACATTGAACCTTTACAGTGGCATGGTGAAATAAGTAGATCCACAGGATCCTTTTCAAGGCAAATTTTACACTTGTATAATTTATCTGTTTTTATTATACTTGTCATGTTTAAAATAAGAGCTGGTGTGGGTAAAAAGAAATAATAATTAAAAAAGAAGAAAAAAAAAAAAAAAAAAAAAAAAAAAAAAAAAAAGAAAGAGCCAAAATATATGTGCGTTAGAAAAAAAAAAAAAAAGTCGTGTTCCATAATAATAATAATAAAAAAAAAAAAAATTAAAATAAACATTTATAAGGTAAGGGTCACATGATATTATCGTTTGAAGATGGTAGAAACAGAAGACCACCACGATCTTCTTTGATTCTGTTTGGATCTATAAAAGTCTTCTTCATCTATGCTATTGGAAGTATTTTGAGGGTTCATCCTTTGTGCTTGTTCCCCCGTACCAGGAAAGCCACCACCGGATATATTGAATTCGCCATTGCTCCATTCATTTTGTCGATACGGATCTGCATAAAATTCATCGTCGTACATTTGACTTTGTTGTTGTTCTCTTGCAATCGTTTGCTTTCGTCCACGTCGTTTGAATAATACAATACCAGCCACAATAAGCGCTAATCCAGCTGCTCCTCCAACAACACCTCCCACAATACTGCCTGTCGCTGACCCACTATTATGTTCTTGACCCGTGCTTCCATCTTGATCCAAAGCAAGCGTTGGTATCACCGTACTACAAACCACAATAAATCAGATTAAATTTTCATTGTCTTTTTTTTTTTTTTGTAAAAAATAAATAATTAATTTCTCTTACGTAGTGGGGATCACTGTGGTAATCGTGATGGTTACACCATTCGACACTGTAATGCTGGTAGTAGTAATATCTGTAGTCACAGTGATACTCGTCGTACGATATTTGGCAGAAGATGATAATGTTGGTGTCGTAGGTAGTGGGTCAGGTTTATTCACTGTGCTTGATGGTTGCTCTGGTATTGTTCTAGAAGGCGCTTCGGTTGTTGTAGGAGCAGCATCAATAGTAGAAGTAGTGGTGGGGGTGGGTGCAACCGTAGGTTCAGGTGTTGTTGCAGGTACAGGCGTAGTAGATACAGGCGTGGTTTGTTCAGGTGTGGTAGTTTGTACAGGTGTGGTAGTCTGTTCAGGTGTGGTAGTTTGTTCAGGTGTAGTAGCCACAGATGTTTGTTCGGCTGTGGTAGATACAGGCGTAGTCGTTACAATAGGGTCGGAAGAGGCTGGTATGGTTGTTGTTACAGATGGTTCGTTTGTTGTGGTAATTGGTAGTGGGGTTTCAGATGATGTGATTGAATTTACTGTTGTAACTGGCTCAGAAGAAGTCTGTTGTAAAGTAGTGGATGAGATGATAGGGTCACTTGTGGTATCTGCTGCTGTAGTAGTAGTAGCAGCAGCAGCTGTAGTAGAAGATAAAGCCTCTGTTGTTGTGGCCTCAACAGAACTGCTATCCTGTGTTGTTGTAGCCGCAACAACAGAGTTTGTTGTTGTAACAGCGATAGAAGAATCTGCGGTTGTTACAGCAACAGAAGAAGAGGTAGGGGGCTCAGTAGTGGAAGGGGCTGTTGTGGTATCAACAGTAGTAGGGGCATCCGAACTTGTACTTACTGGTGCTGATGTGGTATCGGCAATAGGAGTGGTTGTTACTGGTTGTGCAGTTGACATTGTTTCAGAAGAAGAAAGTGAAGAAGAGGCAACTAAAGTGGTAGATGGGTTTTGGATCCTGTAATACCCCGCGCCCCAGTATATGAAAAAATAAGGAAAAAAGTATAAAAATAGATGTTAATAGTAAAGATAGAAACGGAGATCGTATAAGGGAGGATTAAATATAGTTAGAATGGGGCTAATTATCAAAAACTTTTTTTTTTAAAAAAACACACACACCCCACCGCACTTACGTTGTCTGTTCTGCCGTTGTTGTAATTGTTGTCTCTGGGTTAGTAATTGTAGGTGATGCTGAATTTGATGTGGTTATTCCTTCAACCGTGGTTGTCGCGTCGGACATGGTGGAAGTAACGTCGGGTGTCGGAATTACTGAAGTCGTGTCGCTGATTGTTGTACTCCCTATCTCGGGTGTTGTTCTTGTTGGCTCTGCCGTCGTAGTCACGATAGTACTCGAATAGTTCTCTTCACTTGACGTGTTGGTAGCTTCAGCTGTGCTGCTTTCGGCCATTGTCGTCGTAGGCTCTGCTGTCGTGGTTGCTTCTGCGGTAGTCGACATTTCTGCTGTGGTCGTAGTTGCTTCGGCTGTAGTAGTTAGGCCTTCTAATGTAGTAGCTGCTGCTGTAGTGGATGCCTCTGCTGATGTTGTAGCTTCTGCTGATGTTGTAGCTTCTGCTGACGTTGTAGCTTCTGCTGTAGTAGATGCTTCTGCTGTAGTAGATGCTTCTGCTGTAGTAGTGGCTTCTGCTGTAGTAGTGGCTTCTGCTGTAGTGGATGCCTCTGCTGTTGTTGTAGCTTCTGCTGTAGTGGATGCTTCTGCTGTAGTAGATGCTTCTGCTGTAGTGGATGCTTCTGCTGTAGTAGATGCTTCTGCTGTAGTGGATGCCTCTGCTGTTGTTGTGGCTTCTTCTGTGGTAGTAGCCCTTCCTGTAGTGGTAGCTTCTGCTGTTGTTGAGGCTTCTTCTGTGGTAGTAGCCCTTTCTGTAGTGGTAGCCTCTGCTGTTGTTGAGGCTTCTTCTGTGGTAGTAGCCCTTTCTGTAGTGGTAGCCTCTGCGGTTGTACTTGCCTCTCGAGTGGTCGTAGCTGCCTCTATAGTGGTTCTAGAGTTTTCTTCTGTTGTAGTAACTTCCCTGGTGGTGGTTGCTTCCTCGGTAGTGGTTGCTTCCCTAGTAGTGGTTGCTTCTGCTGTTGTAGTGGGAGTATCTTCTGTGGTAGATCTCTCAGCTGCTGAGGTGGTACTGGCAGTTTCTGCTTCTTTTGATGTGGTAGTACTACGTGTTTCCTCAGTAGTTTCAGGATCAGTAGTTACTGCTCTTGTGGTTGTTACTTCTCTTACTGTTGTGGTTGGTTCTGCTAATTCAGTAGTTTTATCAACAGATGACATTTTTTTTTTCCCCAAGAAAAAAAAAAAAGGACAAAGAGAAGAAAGAGTGAAAAGGACCCAGTGGAGGGGTTCCGTAAAGCTTTATCATCATCCAAAAGAACGGAGTGTAAATCCTATAAAAGGCTATAGCTATTTAAAGTAAATTAATACACAACACAAAAAAAAACATGATGCCGTTACTGAAGATCATTGTTGTAATGCCTGATAAACAAATCCCGGGCTAAAATTTTGCGACATGACAATGCTTTATACATTGATTGTAAGGGCCATTTTTTTTTAAAGTGCAATTGACAGATCTCCTCAAGGGAACACAAAGAGGCTAAAACTGAAATCCTATCGATCTCTTTTTTGACACACTTGTATGCTTATAGTCATAAAGGTGTAATTAAGCCACTTGATTTTTATGCAAATGGATACATTAAGTATCCCGTTGCCGTTCTATAAATAAATTAGCCTTCTGCTTATATAGGGAGATTTTTTTTTCTTTTTTTGTTTCCGCGATTTCTTTGTGGGTTTTAACTCGTTACAGTTGCATTATGTGTATAAGGTGACCTGAGCGTTCATGGTTCCAAGTCTGGGATAGTTGTAGTACAACACGTGTATCACGGATCCACGCTACTGTTTAAAACTAAGCCCAAAACATCCACAGAAAATGTAACAAATTGTGTTAGGTTTGCGGATGTATATTTTTATATTATTTTTTGTTTATTCTGTATGAAAAATCTACGTATTTTTAGACACGGTAAATCTTGATCCTTTTTCTTCTTCTTTTTTTTTCCCCAATCCGACAGCGAAAAAAAAAAAAAATAATCTATTTACGATACCACAATTGTGTGATCTTGGTCTAATAAAAGAAAAAAAAAATAGTTTAGCAATTAACACAAATAATAATTAAAAAAAAAACTCCAAACGCTTACTCTTCTCATCTTCTTTTGCAATTGGAAAATACCGTAAAGCAAAGCTTCAGAAGTAGGAGGACAGCCGGGAACGTAAATATCAACAGGAACAATACGATCACAACCACGAACTACGGAATAAGAGTAATGATAGTATCCACCACCGTTAGCACAACTACCCATAGAGATAACCCAACGAGGTTCGGGCATCTAAAATACATATATTAAAAAAAAAAGGACCCCCACATACACATTTGTAAATTTCTTTACCTGATCGTAAACCTTTCTCAAAGCAGGTGCCATTTTGTTGGTTAAAGTACCGGCAACAATCATGACATCAGATTGACGAGGAGAGGCACGGAAAACAATACCAATACGATCTTGATCATAACGAGGAGCAGAACAATGCATCATTTCCTACATGACACGTTAATTTTTAAAAGATATCCCAGAAATTAAAAAAAACTTAAAACTTACAACAGCGCAACATGCTAAACCGAAAGTCATGGGCCAAATAGAACCTTCACGAGCCCAATTGACGACACGATCAACAGTAGACAAAACGTATTCTACAAACGAAAATACACATTAAAAAAAATTCTCCTCGTCAAAACTTGTCATTAATCTAACCTGCGCTGTTGTTAGGCTTCACTGTAATATCTTTGATCTGATCAATGTTTCTGACTGCTTGGGTTGACATTGCGCGGTATGATGCTGCTACCATTGGTTTAGGAGCTGTCACTAATGAACGAAAATAAACAATAAAAAACATTAAAACTCTTGATTCTTCCATGTTTCCTATCAAAATTCCTTCTTACACATTGCTGTCTTAGCGAATCGTAATCCAAGTGCGGTTGAAGCCATTATATAATTTAAATAGAGTAGGGAGATGGGTTTTTTGTGTTTACTGAAATTGAGGGGGGTGTTTAATACAAAAGGCCTAAGAGTCTATCAGGGCAAATTATTCGGACTGAATATAAATATCGCAAATTTGGGAGGAAAAAATAAAAAAGAGTCAGGGTTGGGGCATCAACCTTCAAGGGTGACGTAGACATCTTTTTTTTTTTTAGTGAGACAATGCCTCCCTTTTTGGTGTGACCCGATTGGTTGCATTAAAAATCAATTGACACTTTTAAAACTACAGCCTGATCTTCAATGTCAATATAAAAAAGTTGGGTCCAGAGCCATTCATGTATAGAAAATATTGTTTACAACTAGACGCTCCCTTGACATATGCGACATGCACATTTTTTTTAGAACAATATCAACTAGCTTTTTAGTTTATATAGTGCAATCGTTTGAGATATATCTTTATTATTAAGAATGAATTATGAGAATTTTGTTATTAAAAGTTAGATCAAGCCTCCAGCAAGGCCACCAGCGCCGCCGCCTGAAACACCTCCAAGAAGACCAGTAACAGTATCGAGACCAACGGGAGAGCCCTGAGATCCAGCTGGTTCAGCATAGTAATCATTGCTAGAAGTTGTCTTTCTCTTATTCAACTTTCTCTTGCTGACATATACAGCTCCGCTGCCTTGAGGAATACCATTGACATGAACATCGTTTCCTCTAGAGGTTCCCTTTGCAGAAGTGAAGCTGACCATTAAGCTAGCAATAGCTACCAATAAGAGAGTGGATGAATGCATTATATTTGTTATTTGTTAATGAGAATAATAATAAAAGAAAAAAAAAGCAAATACTTTGTTGATAGAGGTCCTTTTTATATTCTCAAGATCTCTAAAATAAAATGGGAGTATTTGGTTTGTAAAATAAACTAGTATAAAGAACCATACAAAGCAGGAGAGTTAAAGCATAAACTACTCCTACATTGGTATCTGTGGGAATAGAACTATGCAAATTGTTTTTGTTTCTTTCTTTATTGGTTTTGAGTGTTTTTAAAGCAATTTCGAAAAGGTTTTTTTTTATTTTGTATATGTGTATGTGTGTGTAAGAGAGAAAATACTCAAAAATAGGTCACCATAAATCAATTAGGAGTCTTCTTGATGAGACGTACCTTGTTTTTAGTTCTGACGACATCCTTTCCGTCATTCTCTGTTGGTTGCGTAATAAGATTTATCTCCTCTTCATCTGTAATGTAGTGAGTTTATAAGTTTGCGTTCTATTGTCACCATTGTACTCGCCTACCTGTTGAGTTGGGTGAAGAAGGGGGTGTTTCATCGTAAGATTTGTACAAAAAAGGATTTAGTTGTTTTAATCGTTTGCTTGTGATTGCTGGCTCGAATGGATCGCCAGTTCTTTTGTGTGTAACTTCGCAAATCATTGTGTTTTCGATCATTTCTTTTGCTTTGACTCTATTTTTCTTGTTTGGAACTAAACCCAACACCAAGCAACTTGCCTGCCCTAGGGTCAGTGATTCTTTACTTTTTTTGTCTTCTTTTAACATATTTTAAGTACTTTAGAAAAAAGTTGTGAAAAAAAAGCAGTAAGAAATAGAGGTTGTTGTTAAAAAATCGGTTGATATAAGGGTTATCATAATGATATATCAGTAAAAGATTGATCGATCGGGACAAGAGCGAAGTAGCAAGGCGAGTAAAAATGGCAACAAACAATATATTATGCTACAATCATACCGAAAAAAAGAAAGCCATTAGTGCTTCATTTACTCGCTTCCAGACTCCAATAAATATTGTTTTCAACTATGCGTGTCCCAGGTTATTATGATGTGTGTGCATTATAAATTTAAAGTTTTGTACAATCGGCTTTCCCAGCTTCGATTTTTTTTTATGCACTATAAGAACATCAGTTGTTAATTGGCACAGGGTTTTAATGATTTCCGATATACTTTATTTTTTTAATAAACAGCAAACCTATTATTAGACGATCTGCGTCAGAAAATTTAACCGTTATCATGGATACTTCAATGTACTTGATATTGGGAGATATTCAACATGAATAAGGGGTGAGAAAAAAAGAATGTCATGCAAAAGTGTGCATCGAGATAAACGCATTCATTCTTTTTTTAGATTGCTCATCATATGAATATGTGTATGTAATCCTTACACGTAGACACCTAAAAATCAGCAGCTTATTTTGTATTAACATTGGTACCACAAATATATTTTTTTATTAGTCATGCAAGAAATCAGAAAACCGGCTACGCATGTTTGGTTTTGCGATGATAATCTTACATCATTTCACTGGTATTAGCCACTTATAGTTATTACATGAGCCCCACCCCTTGAAAAAAATCTTATCTATTTTGATTTATTTGCCAATGAATTTTTGAAGACAGTCTGCCTGTAAATGTAGCGAACGGACTGAAAGCATATGTAATATTAATACATGTGCATATATAATTAGGAACACTATAAATAAATTGTAATATTCATTTGCATGTATTAATGATTTTTTTAAAAAACTCTTTTTATTTATTCAATTTCTTGCTTAACTAGAGAAATTACTATTGTTAAGTGACTAACATGTCAGTTATTTAAGCTTTACCGCCACAGTCCTTAATGGCAATGATATCTTTTCCGTAGGTTTCGGGAGTATCGGGATATTGGCCAGATGGCGTGCAGTCGGTCGGAGCATTTCTTTTTGACTTTCTTGGATCTCCTGTGGGGTTATAAGGACCACTGAAAGGAGTGATATATTGGGCATGGTCGTTACGAGTATTGGCAACAGCTGGTACAACAACAGTATTCACATTAAGAATAGGAGAATTGGAAACCAGATCGCGTTTTTTCATGGTCAATCGTGAAGGATGAACTTTTACACCGGCTCTCTTGACACGAATACCTTTGGGAGCGTCTTTTTTGGGAGCAACATTATTAAGAAGAGGACTAACAATAGGCAAATCTCTCTTTCCATGAGAACCATTATCCTTACAAGGTTTGGCTCCATCAGCTTTTTTGGGTTCAGGATGGGCTTTGGCACCGGATCTTCTGACATGAGAGTTCTTGTTGGAAGCAACCTTGGGTTGAATACCACGAAGAAGGTTATCAACAATGGGTACGGTTCTTTTTCCATGCTTGTCATTACAAGGCTTGGCAGCGACTACAACTTTCTTGGGTTCGGGTTTAGCTTTGTCGCATCCTCTCTTAGCGATAGTTGCTGATTGATCCATCCGCATGGTGCCAAAACCACCGCTAGTGACAGATCCAGATGCATCTACAAGGGATACGGCTCTCTTTCTTTTGGGATAAACTTTAACTCCTGCTCTCTTGTTGTAAAATCCCCCGGAGCTACCACTGGTAACCATCTTTCCAGCAGATGTACCTGAACCGGGAAGACCAATTACTGTAACATCACGTTTGTTGCGAGGGTAAAAACTATTGGGGTTATTGACATGATTTTGGAAAGCACTGTTGGATACAACTGGGTCACCAAAACTGTTAGCGCGTTCTTCAAACTCACTTGCTTGAGTTGCACTGACCATCAAGGCAGCAATAGCAATCGTGATAAAGGTGGTAGTAGAGAGCATTTTAGGTGTAAATAAGTTAAATGTATAAATAAAAATAAAAAAGAGGGAAAGGGACGAAAATGGAGTTTCTTTTATAGTTTTATTCAAATTCACAGCTTTTAGTTACCATCGAGTGCTTGCATGATCTTATAGGAGAATGCGTATATTGATGGGTAAAAAGAAATGAACCCCTATAATTTTCTACTTTCTTTCTTTGGTTTTTACTTGTCTCATAATTTATGAAGTATAACATAAAGACAAACAATTTCTTTGTAAATATATCGGCTCATGCTCACAATCAAATATAGATCTTTTAAACCATTATTTTGTTTTTGTCTCAAAGATATCTTGACATAACAACCGATATCTAATTATTCATCTAATAGACTGTAATACCAGCTTATCCTTTTTGGTTCGATACCCCCCTGATATAAACACTCATAACGTGTTAAAGTAGCATCACTTTAAATCAAAAGGGGACTTGTAATAATGAAAGGGAGTTTTTGTGCTGTTTTTATTTTGAAAGAAGGGGAACCAAAACACGCAAATCACTCACACTTCAAAAAAAAAAGGCACGAATATGTGAATATTAATTTACATGATATTTTTTTTTTTAATAAAATATTATCCATATGACCTATCTGATGTATATAAAAAGCGAAAGCTTTAAATAGATAATGAAATATTACTTTTAGGCTGCATAGTTGATCACACCCTATTTATAAATCGAAACTAGATTCTTTTTTATTATTATTATTATTATTGTGCTATGAATATGCAGAAGTTACATAAAACGCAAAAACAATAATCAATGTTAGGGATTATTTTACTGAAGTAATTAGTACACTCAATATCAAATATCATGCATGTGTACTTTTTGATGATGAACAAATATAGCGATATGTGTATCAGCTTAGATTCGGTGGCTTAATTAAGCATGGATCATTAGACAAAACAATACGTATTCCACGCTATCCGTCAGTATGTGCCACATGAAACAAACAATTCCAAACTCTCGGGCGCCATTTAATATAACCAAGCGGGGGGAAACAGAAGAAGAAAACAGCTGTACATGTATTAAAAATACCTCCTCTTCAGGATTTTCGTGGATTACCGTGGATGATCCACACAAAACGTTAATCCCTGTCGGGCCGGACCAGAATTCAGAAAAATATAAACATATTGCTGATCAATATTTTAAATAAAAAACATAGGTCCTATTTGTTTAAGCCTACAGTGCTTGATTGTTATGTTACGAATATTTGCAATAATTGCTGCTCGACCAAAAACCGAAATAAGAAATCATTATCTGAGTCGAAATGCGATTGGGGATAAATCAGATAAGCGTTACACAGAGAGCATAAACAGTTTATTTTCGAAGATTGGAAACAAAAACAGAATATTTATAATTCACTACGGATTTCGCTAGTGGAGGGGGTTTCTATATGTACAGGTATATAAGATAATCACATTTAAGAGCTTTGTATAACTTCTAATCCAGTATCTTCCTTTTCCAATACTTCCAATACCGCTTCTTCCTGTTTCGAGGCATTGTTCAGCCAACTTAAGTATGCATTCCATACGATGCCTAAGCTACTGACAAACGGCAATCTATACTGAAGGGGCATAAACTTAAAGTTCACAAACTGCACAAGTGGCCAAACTTTATAATTTGCGATGAGAGCAGGCATATAGGCATCTCTAAACTTTTCTTTCACGTTCTCCCATTTTCCACCTTCAGCTAAACCCATCACAGTAAAAAATAATACCAAACCTGCAGGAGCAAACAACGCTTGATCGGTCACCATACGTTTAATAGCCATACCGTTGGCTTGTTTGGTGATTTGACTTTGAACGGCCTTGGTGACGGCACCTGTAACAACAGGCATAGGGAAGTATTTATCCAAAAATATGTACCATTTTCCACCCAAAGGTGCAACACAGAAATTGTAGGCTGCAAATCGAAGTGTTCTTTTAAAATCCCAGGTGTTTGAGATTGTCCACATACTTTCATGCTTTTTTATGCTATCGGGGACAATGGCACTATTGATTTTTTTAGATTTGTCGTATAAAGCAATGCCTTGAGCCATACTATCACTGATTGCACCGAGAAATCCATTTGCAACACAGAGAGTTAAAATCGGTCTTTTATTGTACGATTTGTTATAAAATGCTTTAAAAGATCTTAATCCATTCATATTTGAGGTTAAAAATGCAGAAGAAAAAGAGAAAGAGTGAGCGAAAAAAAATAAAATTGGATGGCCTTTTCCCTTTTAAAACCCCTCCTTTAATCCATGACAAACCCAAAAAAAGACTGGGGGTTTTATTGTTTTTTGTTTCGGATGGTTAATATTTCTTTGACTGATAGCCTCGTTTATTACACAATATCAAATTTGTAATGGACTAAAAATTTAATAGTTGACGTCAGTTTTATGCATTTGGTTAAAGCTCCCCCAGCATTTTATAATTCTTACGTCAATAGACTTGTAAATAATCAAGGAACCAGCCAGATATTTTATCGCAAGCATGACGTTAGGTCCAATATCAACTGTCAGTGCAATTTGGTGCGAAAGTTTGTTGAAATGCTGAAGTGCTTTATAGCCGAGATCTACCGTAAGTTTGACATTAGTGTCGTCCATTTTGCTTTATTTCAAAAAAAAAAGAGTCTTCTCCCAGGAGAAAAAAAAAAATCCGGACTAAAATGTGTGGTGGTAGTCACAGGCCAGAATGAAATAACGCCTTCTTGGCTTGGATTAGCATTGACATGCATGAACATGGTTAGAAATTGTTACAAAAATGTTGTGCTAAAGCGCTATATTATTTGATTTAATTTTTTTATGACTCTATTAAATATCAAAAGCAGATCTTGAGAGGCACTGAGGTAAGGATTTATGAGTGGGCTTGAATGGTCGAAACACAATCTGATGCGTAACTCCAATCATGCATGAGAAGAGAACATCCCTTTGGATAAACGATTATAAGATTTACATATTTAATGGTCACGATTTACATATTTTATAATAGATGTGTACAATTAACGTCTTAAAAAAGACTCGTTGGTCATTCCACGTTGTCGCATGGCACAGACTTGGGCAGCGATGGTAGGACTTGTGTTTCGTGATATAGGGGAAGGGGTTTCTTCTATATCATTTATTAGACATAATGCGTAATTAATATACTATACTACTTTAAATACCTGTAATAGGGGATGGTGTTTCTTTGGTAATGGTAGGATTGGAGCGGAATTTACTAAAGCCTTCTAGTGCCTCATACTCGGCACAGCTAATATCAACAGTATTACTATCGTTATTACTGTAGCCATTCTTCTCATCTAATTGAATATTTTTTAAGTGCTCTATCGGTAGCCGAAGATCATCAACCGATATTCTTCTTCTTGCGATATTTGGATCTCGCGGATATTGATATGGTGCAGGTGATATAAGTGTAGATTCAGATGAGTGTGTAGATGTGGATGATCTACGACGCAAGTCACCATGATAGCCTTCAAAGTCTTCTTGTTGAACTGGTAATGGTGCATAGTAGCTGCTTTGATATGATTCTCGTCTGACCGGCCATGATGAACGGTTACGAGGTACATTGTATGATTTTGTTAATACATCATGACTGTAAAATTGTGACGGGACGTCCTGAGGGTGTGATAAACGATAATTGCTTGATGGATACGGTGCGCTGCTATGAGTCGAGAAAGAAGCTCTTCGTGTGGGTAATGGTAATATCCTACTATTCATCATGGATGTTTGTCCGGGTGGAGGTACAAATGATGTTGCCATAATCAAGTCGGATATATTTCCTTGTCGACCACTCCAACAGTTAAATTCGGTCTTGATTGGACTCATGGGCTCAGTTTTAATTTGAGTTGCGTTTGGTCTGGGTGCCAGATATCCTTGTGCGGAAAAGTTTGTGTCCATTTTGTTAGTTGATCTCGGTGACACTTTTTTGTTCTTCTCATGAGTTTGAGTATGTTGCATCATATTATCAAATCTACTAAACATTCTGCCGCAGTCAGGCACAATGCATTTATACGGTTTCTAGAATGAATGCGTAAGTCAATTGATAAATTTAAATGTTATTAAGTAACTAACTTCTCCTGTATGTTTCCGTTCATGTCTTGCTAAATGCTCACTTCTGGTGAATACCATGTCACAATTTCCATATCCGGAGCATCGAAATAGTTTAGGTGGAGCTCTTTGTCCGCTCGACTTTCTTCTGTTTGGCATTTTTGATAATAATTTAAAAATAAAATAAGAGAGAAAGATGGGAAAATATGTGTGGATTTATTCTGATCGGTCTATTTTAGCCATTTTTTTTTCATGAGTGAAACACCAAAATCTTAATGTGAAAATAAAGCGTTACTCCAGGGCGACTTGAGACACAGATAGAATCTAATTCGCGTTATTCCAGTTGCATTGTCTTATCCGTCACAATCTGTATCACACCCACCTGATCCCTTTTTTTTCATTGACAGTAACCAACTCCCCTGTATGCTGTCACAAATTGCTTTAAAACCACATTTTTGTATCACTGATGTATAGTCTCCTGACATTTTATCTGGTTAATTTTCCTCTGTTTTCAAATTAAACTTATGACCTTCCAGGCACTTGTACCGATACAGATATTTTGCCGTCCAATCAGAATCTATTCACGCATGTGTCTATCTATTAAAATTGATAACAGGCCGACTGAAAAAGGATCTTAATTGGTGCCATGCTTGAAATATAAAAATATTATTGTAATCAATCAGACTTTTGAGTACTGATGAATTAAAGGACATGATAGCTCCTGGGTTCCTTTTTAAAAAGGAGATCTAAATAGTGATTTAAAGATATCAACAGAAATCTCGACCATTTATGCATTGTAACCTAAAATGAGGTTACCTTATAACCAATTACAATTATTTAGTAAATCTCAAAACTAATTTTGCATAAAGAAACTAAAGGAAACAGTAACGAGTGGGTAAGTCTAGAACAAGAGAATGACAAAAAATAATCTTCAAAGTTGTCATTAGTATGATGATACATTATTGCATCATATATATAGAGCTTTAATAAAACGCATTGACATCAATATAGTGTAACATTTTATTCCTCACAAGGTAGGTTAGCAAACACTTCCGTAAGTCCGTGCAGTCGATATCGTCTACTTAGAGCGCTGTTGTAACTGGCGAAAAAGATCTCCTGGAATCTTGTCTCATCACGTCAATATAAATCAGGTGTATAAAATTCAAAACCCGGATAAAAAAGTTTTTTTTTTTAAGACGGACGCCAAAAGAAAAAAGTTATTTCTTTTTTTGTGTCAAGCACCGGGACAATTGAGCATCGGTTCTGGTAAGCCCTCCTTGGTTTTACGGTAAATAAGAAATATAATCACCAACATATGATCATATTCGCTAACCACATGGTATTTAATGTCTACTCACTGGTTCCACTAACGCTAGCAAGCTAACCCCAGGAACAAGGATGGATATGTAACTGTCAGTCGTGTGTATCTTGTTCCTTATGAGTAACGCCGACTGGAGAAACCCCACCCAAACTGCTTTGGGAAGGCCCTCGCTGCATTGTCTTAATGCAGACGTAAATTCCCGATGTCTGAAACATAACGCCCAAGACTCAAGCATCTATTTATACTAAGCAGGAGATTAGTGGTAATATGAACAATCGATCGACTCTAGCTCCCAACAACTGTTATACTCTTTTCGTGAAAGGAAGGGGTTGTATTATGATAACAGAATTCTAGAGTAAGAGAAAGAAAAAAATGGAGGCATTCAATCCGTTGCTATATTTAATTTCTAATGTATGTAAAAGTTTATTTATTATATTATGTTACAAAAAGTGGATGTGAAGAGGGGATTCTATAATTAAAAATAATTTGTGGTTATATTTTCTTGATAAAAAGAGTAAGATTTAATGCTTGGCACCACTTCTCTTCAATAAGGTGACTTCGGCCTTCAATTCAGGTAAAGGACGATGACCAGCAGCGGGAGTAGGCATATAGCCGACCTTAATTAAGTAAGCGTAATAGAGACCCAAGAGATCATCACCCATCAAAGGCTGCTTGATATTATCCAAGGCCAAGACGGCTTGGGTGTTTGAGTCATTCAATTGAGCACTCTTGGTAGATGTTGGTAAATCGTCAAGGACAAAATGAAGAAGAGGGAAGAGAGAATGGTCTTGAGACTTGAGAGTATATTCCATTAACTTGTTTCTCCAATCAATATATTCGGTTTGTTGAACTTGGTAACCATAAGTAAGCAAAGTACCAAACATTTCATTGTAAGTAAAACCAGAAGGATGAGTCACTTGAAGGACACCGAGCTTTGTAGACTCAGCATCATGATAGGCAGCACCAGCGACTACAGAAGCAACATAATCCACAGCACAACAATTGACAGAGTTGGAAATGGCAGGAATATAACCAAGCTCAACACAGCCCTTTAACAAACGCCAAATGAAATCATCGGTATTTGTAACACCGGAGCGAGAATCACCCAAAATATAACCAGGACGAACGATAGTAGCAGGCATGCCTCTGTTTCTTGCCTCCAAAATAAGCTTCTCAGCAACCCACTTACTTTGTCCATAACCATTTTCGAGTCCTGTGCGACCACCCTCAAGATCGTTGTCCTCGGATACAGGAGCACCAGTTTCAATAAATTCAGGGGTATCAAGAACAGAGGTAGAAGAGACGAAATGGAATGATTTTTGTTGTTGTTCAGAAGCTAAACGCATGGCCCAAAGAGTACCAATAACATTAGGAGCACGTAATTGATGGTAAGGATAAATCCAGTGAACAAGGGCACCATTGTGTACAACAGCGTCAGCAGTAGAAGCACAGCGAGTCCAATCGGCCTCAGATAAACCAAGACGATCGCTAGCCAAGTCACCACATATAGCCTCAATACGAGATTCCCAAGCTTCGTTCCAGACCAAATGATCGATAGCAGCTTGCTTGACACGTTGGAAAGCACCGGCAGCATCCTTGGCACGGACAATACATATAACCTTCTTGGTGTTTTCATAGCTCAAGAGCTTATCGAGAATAAAGGCACCCAAGAAACCAGTTCCACCAGTTAAAATAAAAGTACGACCTTCAGCAGAGGGAGTAACCAAAGGACCATAAGTGCTTTGAAGAAATTCGTTGCCCAAAAGCCCAATATCAGCAGCATAATCAACTTCTTCCTTCTTTTCCTCCTTGACAGTATCGAGGCTGCTCTCAAGTAAAAGATCACTGCTTTGCAATTTGGCGACTTCACGAGCAAGACCAGCAATAGTGGGTTCAGCAAAGACAAGACCAAGAGGAGCTTCGACCTGGAATTTTTGTCTGATTTCAAAAATGAGACGAGTGGCAATTAAAGAATGACCACCAATGTCGAAGAAATTGTCATTTAATCCAATAACAGGGTCAGAAGAAGGAAGGAGACTTTTCCAGATGTCATGAATGATTGCTTCATTTTGAGTCATTTTAGGAAGATTGGAATTATCAGAAGTAGCAGCGGTGCTTGCATTCTTGTTAAATTGAGCAGTATCAGGGAAAGGCAAAGCATTCTTGTCAACCTTACCATTAGGAGTAAGAGGCATACGAACCAAGGGAACAAAGATGGCAGGAATAGCATAGGATGGAAGCTTTTGCTTCAAGTAATCACGGATATTCTTGATCAATCTACGGAAGTGGTAGCTGGAACGCAATTCATTCTCATCGTGGCTATCACCATTCTCTTCTGTGGCACTGGCAAAATCACCTTCAGCGGCAGCTTGGTTAGGGACAAAATAGGCAACAAGAGTCTGTTCTTCGTTCTTATCACGACGCACCAGAGTAACGTTTTCACGAATGTAAGGATGTTGAGATAAATGTGTATCGATTTCACCTAATTCAATACGGAAACCACGGATCTTGACTTGATCATCAGCTCTGCCAGTACATTCAACGTTACCATCAGGACGATAACGACCCAAATCACCAGAACGATACATACGATCACGCTTGCCCAAGTAATATTGCTTCCAGGCATCACCTTCAACACAGGATTCATCCTTACCGTCATCAACACAAGGTGCGGGGACAAACCAGTTAGGAATAAATTTTTCAGCAGTAGCCTCAGGTAATTGCAAGTAACCTTCAGCAAGACCAGGCGCACGAACATAAATCTCACCAATCTCACCAACACCACACATCTTTGTACGATCATGGCGGTTGACAACTAAAAGTTGAACATTGACCATACCCTTACCGGCAGCAATCACTTCCTTTTGAGATGACAAGAAAGCAGGATGTGAAGAACGAGCAGGAACAATGAAATGTGAGACTGAACGCTGAGTTTCAGTGGTACCATACATATTGATGACAGCAACATTTGGAGCAAATTTCTGAATACGAGCAGCATCACGCTTGGTCAAGATGTCACCGACAAAGAAGGCATTGATAAGAGAAGGGATTTCAACTTGAGCATGAGAGGATAAAAGTTGACCCATAGCAGGAGTTAAATGAGTCACTGTCACCTTGGACTTACTCATCCATTCAGCTAACTTTCCAGGAATACCAATATCTTCAGCAGTAGGAATATGCAATTCAGAACCCAAAAAGAGAGGTGTAAAAATATCACGTTGGATAGGATCATGAGCAATACCAGAAAGCATAGTGAATTTATCGGACTCGGAAATACCAAAAGTCTCGGCCATCCAAGGATAGAAATGGGTTAAAGAGAAATGTCTACCACGAACACCCTTAGGAATACCAGTACTACCACTAGTGAAACTCAATGTACCAATACTATCAGGACCAATAACAATACCAGTATCTTGAGAAGCCTTTGCACGAACACTATCAAGTACATCCACACCATCCAAAGCTCCACCGGATAAAACACCATCCTTACCAATCTTGAGATTGGGAATCTCGCACACGATATTTTGTTCCTTCTTAATATAATCTCTTACAGAGTCAGCAATCTTACCGGCTTCCTTTAGGACAATCAAACCACGAGGCTTGGCAACAGAAAGATAGATTTCTTGACGAGCAGGAGGATAAGCAGGATCAATTACACTAAAAGTAGCACCTGACTTGAGGACACCCATAATTGCAATAACAAGATCCACACCTCTATAAGCATAAATCATGACAACATCCTCTCTTTGAATACCTCCAGCGACCAAATGATGAGCGACGGTATTGGATGCATGATGGATAGTTTCATAATTATAAGTGATAGTGTCTGTCGAGTTTTCCAGTGATTCTACAATGCAAGTACGACTGGGATGCTTCTTAGCGTTAGCGGAAAAAATATCAGTAATAGCACCTCTCCATTGCGACCAATGCAAATCGGCAGTAGGATCAGGGAGCGGAGATCCAGCTAATCCAGAGTCAGACAAAGGGATCTGTCCAACAGCTTGCGACTTGGCTCCAGTTTCAATGATGGTGGCTAATTGAGAAAACAAATATTCAATACGTCTTGGGGAAAATAAGATTTGGTTATAAACAACACGGATATTGACGGGACGGAAGAAAGATGTTCTTAAAGATGAAGTTGATTCGGGTGATGAAATATATACAGTTAAATCAGAACTAGCAGAGTTGCTAGCTAAATGTTGTTGAGAGGGTGTATCAATTTCGTTATAAAAACGAACGCGACATAAAGGACGTCTACTATCGGGATCTGTTCCTTCATAAATAGCATCTGATAATTGTTCAAAGGGGACCTCTTGGCTCAATGCCTCTTTTTCAACCTAATCCAAAAAAGCTCGTTAGATACCAAAATACAGCACCTTTCTATGTAAAAATAAATAAATCTAAATTTACCTTTGCCACCATCTCAATGACGTTTTCAAATGTAGTAGAAGGATCCACGTTAAGTCTCAAGACGAGAGGGTTTCCGGATGGAGAAGAAGTACCGATAGCGAATTCTTCATCGCCAGTATATCTTTGAAGGAGCACAGAGAATGCAGCCAAAATAACAGAGAAGGGTGTAGGACGAACATCAGACATAGATACTTGAACGAGACTCATCAATGTCTTTTCGGAAAGATCAAATGTTTGAACTTCTTCGACTGTACGAGCAGGTGAAGGTCTTGGATAATCGGTGGGTACTTGCAAGTCTGTCAAGTTATGGAGACGATTCTTCCATGCTGCTATATTTTCATTAGCATTCACCATTTTTTATATGTGTGTATTTTTCAGAAGAAGAAAAAAAAAGGATAAAGGGATATTTATTCTAAAAAATGCAAATAAAATCAAATCGTTATAAATACCCTGTAACCTAATTACTTATTATGGGAATTCATATAGAGATGGAAAAGAGATCAACAGTCATGGAGCCTTAAAACTCGGGCTTTCAAAAAATATCTAGCTAGAAATCAATCAAAAAGATGAAACTTCCTTATTAGGCTTTTGCGAAAAGATTGAAATGATCAAATTGGCAACTTTTACCACATCATCATGATTTATCAAAACAGAATCTTTTATTTCGCTTTAAATTATAAGCTCAAACGGGGCTCTTCTCTCACTTACACTAACAATTAAGTTCTTGTTTTTTCCGATATCATTTGTGACTATATTGCACAAAGGAAGATTACCTTCATGCGTTATTCGCAATAAATTTTGGGAGAAATAACGCAGACATTTATGTCAATTTTAAGGTACCAACTAGTTAAATTCTTATGCTCTGCTATACCTATTATTTAACATCACTATCCATGAAAATGCAACCAAAGAGTGGTTTAAGCCAACAAACATTGCAGTTAGAAGTCAGCAAATGGGGGGGGGGGTTTTACCTTTTGCATAAAGCTATTAACCTAATTTGTTTATGGAATATACAAGTTGTAGGCATTTGGGCATTTCTCTTCATCCCATTACAAAATCATTTTTGTCACTGAATTATATTTTATTAAAGTATCTGATTGATGACAGCCCATCAAACAAAGCTAATATCCAACTCATCATAGAAAATCAGGATTATAGCAAGGAAAACTCAAAAAGTAAGTGTCGCCACACGATGTTGATTAAATCATTTTTAGAAAATAGTGCTATGAAAAAAATAAAGAAAGTATATTCATTGTTCCTCTGGAAGTTATAACGCCCGTATTTTATTGCGTGCAAAGAACCGTTTCAAAACTCCGCCTCAATGTATTGCACGGTACCTCCTCATGCATTGTGCTATGAGCATACCCAAATACCATTTCCTATCCAAACTGGTCCAAATGCCATTCTTTTTTTAATTAATATGTACGGTTAAATGCTTGTTTATATATTAAGTATATGAGCGTGAGGTCTTTTTTATGAGTTTACTAATCTTGAGCCGGTTTAGGACTTGCATCTCTACCATTAGTTGTTTCTTCCAAGTCAATATTGTCAGATGCAACTCTTGAGTAGCTGAGTTTGCTATTTACTGCCTTGTAATATCGAGTGACAATGATCGCAAAATAGAACTACGTGTAGAAAAAAAAACGAAGAAAGGTTAATAAAGCTGCCTATTATTTTTGTTTTGACTTTGTTCATATTACATGAATTAATCTTAATAAAACCAAAACGGCAATGCTGACTTGACTTTCCATTTTAAACAAACGTTCATGCTCAGCTAAGGCTTCCGGGTCTTTTGCCGATGAATCGGATAAACTATGATCTGTATAAACAAACCATGTCACTCCAAACCAAATTGTTGAGAACAAACTCACAACACAGTCCAGCCAAAACATCATTGTATACCAACGAAGAATTCGTACTTTGTCCTATTTTTATTTTTTTATTTTTATATGTGTTGGTAACTTGTTTCTAGCGTATTCATGCATTTTTTTTCTGGGGCGGAAAGACTTACCTGGTGCAAACCGTATAAGCCATACGAAAAGACTGCAATTGCAAATACGCAGTAAAAATACACCAGAGTTGCTATTTTGTCACTAAAATCAAATGATAGAATACCATAGAATCCAGATAGTTTGTTCAACTTTCGATGAGTTTAACACGATGTCTATGATGAAGGTTAAAAATTACTTACGATGCCAAATATTGTAATGAGAGTAACGCCTATAATCGTTTCAGAATTAAAATTTTAGAGTCCCATATATGACATCACAAACCTGTCTTTATTGGAACAATTCCACAACAATGCCTTCCTTTTGCAAATGGCATATTTTCTGATCAGCGAGTGTGCAAAAAGAAGCTTTTTTGGGTCGGAATTCAATCTTTGGCTTCTTATAAACTGATACTCCGGTGCCACCGGTGCCACCTGTGCCGATTGGTGGAAATGGAAAAATATGCCCGTGGGTCTTCATTGGTTACAGTATTAGCACTTTAAATTCATACCTTAAAATGTTTTCAGATGAACAAAAATATATTTCAGACAGCAGTAAAAAAAAAAAAAATCAGACAGACGTGAATATATATATATTCAGATAGAATAAGAGAAATACTCAATCGATCTAAATATCTACCTTCGCTATGACAAAATTGAATATGAGAAAATTACTTATAATTATACGTTAACGGGATTTTTTCTTCTGTTTATTTTATTTTACGATCATACACGAGTAAGAATCTCGAACCTGAGGGCTGAAAACAAAGATAGTCTGTTTTCTACAAGCTTTAAACATACTGTCACATTGTAAATCTTATAAGGCATCAATGTTAGATCATGTTTAAATGCCCAGTCTTTCCAAAAAACATGTTGCCTACCACCGCAAAATCCCAGAGACGGCCAATTTTTGGCAAATAGTTACCTGTCACGGATACGGTCAATTTTAGAGTCACCGTATCCGTGACGGATACGGCCAATTTTTCCAATTTTTCACCGTAACCGTGACGGACGCGGATTTTAAATTCACCATATCCGTGACGGATACGGCCAATTGTTCCCATTTTTCACCATATCCGTGACGGATACTGCCATTATTTTATTATTTTCACCATATCCGTGACGGATACTGCCATTATTTTATTATTTTCACCATATCCGTGACGGATACTGCCATTATTTTATTATTTTCACCGTATCCGTGACTGAAAGGGTCAATTTATTTCCGTTATTGACCGTGCATTTGACGGATTTTATGGAATTGTTCAGGGTTATATCCTATATTTTCCGGAATCTTTAAACACTCATTGCTATTGCAAAAATTAATACACCGTTGTACTGTTGGACAGTTATATTTAATAGTTATGTTTATAAAAAAAAATTATTTATTATGTGAAGACAATTTGTATTGATAATAAAAGATATTACGATGTATTTTATTAAAAGAATATATTATGAGAGCTATTAAAAAGAAATAAAGACCAAATTCTAATACGGTGTAGCCCATTGTTTGGTAGTGGAGTATCATAAATAGAACAGTGATAATCCTATAATCAAAATTATTAATAGGCGATTAACATATTTCATATGTATCATTTTATATACCTTATTCTATAGCCAACTTCATTGCCATTTTATCTATAACAATATTATCAGAATATATCAACACAAACAAAGAGATCAAGTTACTTAAGTTTCAATAAACACGAGCAGAAACTAAAAAAATAGCAATGACTCACCTTATCAGATGCCAAAATACCACACACAATAGTTTACATCGGGAAAGCTTTAGACAGTAACAGAGTATGCCACATTTTATTATTTACAGAATATTTATATAAAAAAGAATTGGGGAAAGAAGAGTAGTTTGTAAAAATAATCTTTTAAATAAGAGTGCGAAACTTATGTAACGTCAAACACACAGAATGGTCAAAAGATTGACCGTATCCGCTACGGTGACGGGATTATCAAAAGTTGACCGTATCCGTGACGGTGACGGTATGGTCAAAAATTGGCCGTGGCCGTGACGGAGACGGAATCATCAAAAATTGACCATATCCGTGACGGAGACGGTCAATTTATAATCTTGCCCCGTCCAGGATACAGAATGACAAAAAATTGACCAGATCCGTCACGGATACGGTCAATTTATAAACTTGCCCCGTCCAGGATACAGAATGAGCGAAAATTGACCAGATCCGTCACGGATACGGTCATTTTTCAAAAATTCCCGTCCAGGATACAGAATAGCCAAAAATTGACCAGATCCGTCACGGATACGGCCAAAATCGTTGTTAACCTTCACCGTAATTTTGCGGTGTACTATTTACAAACACTTTGACCCAATTTTTGGTCAAAACAATTATAACTCTCTTATACAAGTATCTAAGGAAGATATTTATGGAACACTATAAATGTTCAATAGGAACATCTCTACTCCTTTCATTACAGTCAACGAAATTAGATTGCGCCAATAAAAAAATTGCAGGACACAAACAAAGGTGATGTAGGTCAGCATCGCAATTTAAACATTTTATCAGGTTTAAGCTTTGAACTTAGTAAAATAAATTGAAAAACTGCATATGTATTGAGGCGTTTTTATATATATATATATATATATCTCGTACTTACCGCATATTTTGTCTTTAATGCATAGATAAAGTAGTTACATATAATATTTTCAAAGTTTTCAATATAATAATTATTGTACGTTGTTGCGACAGTCTCGCATGCAGTTGATAAAGATTGTCCATAATTTTTTAACCCATTTTCTGGAACAAACAAGTTACCATTCATAGTGGCGGATAGTCCAGCAAAAGAGCTTATAAGTTGAGGCAAATCTAAATTCTGACCTGCAGGTCGTTCCTTTTTCTTGTCTTTGTACGCCTGTAGAATTGACCTTACTTCATTTGAGCTACCCCTAATGACCCTTGAAATAGTATACCAAAAAATTGTTCAAAGAAGTCATTTGTTAACTTGGTTGGGTATTGCAGAATAAAAAAGTTAACAAATAGTTGGGCTTTGAATAAGACTTCACAGATAGAACTTGATATATCTTTGATCTTTTTAAAGAGCTGGTTTTGTTTTGAGTATTAATGCAGAAAGTATCAAATGGAACAGACAAAGTATATCTTTGATAGTTTAATCCAAGTTTGATTTTTAGAAGTTCTGATAGCTTTAGATTATAGTTTTTGTATTGACGACTTCTCGCAGAATTATGCCCCTTCTCTTGGCAGGAGCTACATTTACTGCTGGAGGATGATGCTGCTGAAGTGCTAGCTTAGCGACTTCTCTTTGTACTCTTTTTTGCTATTATTACATGAGGAGAGTCTTTTCTCTTAATAGCTTTATATACAAAAATTAGTTTGTGATACATAGGAAATGTATAAAGTGTTTCTTTTCTCTTACATGTCCTCTTAGGGGTTTGAGTGGTTGAGCTTTCCTTCGCACTATCAGATTTAACCTTTTCCAGCTTTGCACGTTTTTTGAGGATAATTAATTTCTCCACCTCGGGGTAAATAGGTGTACGTGGCATTAGTTAATTGAAATAGAAGTAAAAAGAGTTCAAGACAACTTTTTTTCAATCAAAATTAAATAAACAAGAATGCGAAAGTCGGCTGTATCAAGAAATTAGTGTATAATCATGTATATGATCAAGTATTTACACATCCCCAGCTATCTTCTATACCTGTTGATATTCTCGCCCTTTTTGATCCGCATGTGGGCAATAATATCACAGGTTTCTTAGATCCTTTAATTTTAGAGGTGAAGGATCGCATTTCTACGCTTCCGCTATATAAAGAAAGGTTGAACAATGAACCCTTCAGAATTTTACAGCGTTATGGTATATCCTTAAAAAATACGATGATATATACAACGCCCAAGCTACTCAAAATGACAAAATCGATTCGATGAAAGCTCCACTCCCAAGACGTTTTAGTTTATTCCAAATCCTTCATTACACTGGCGGTTCATGAAGATTGATTCCCAGAACCTAAGTGGAATTTTTCCAGATGCTAAGCAGAATAAACAACCTAATGAATCCTCTTTCGATCATCAACAAAAATGCTCTATCAAATATTTAACTTTAAGAGGCTGGGTATTCAGAAGTATGCCTTACTATTACATATATCTATGAATCGAACTAGCGACTAATATATAAATATAGTTATGAAAATCTTCAAGCATTGCCTGAGCAAAAAGAAAAATATTTCTCAACGGATTATATACTGATGGCTACACTTGCAGAGTTCTTTTTGCTAGAAAAGTTCTTCGATCCTCACCAGAAGAGAACATCCGTCTAGAGTTAGATGATTTTTCAAGCGAAGAGGTCAACAAGCACTTCCGTCCGTGTACTGTAAGATCCAGGAAGACGAGAACCGTTTTGTGCTAAAATCGCACTTAGAAATAATAAAATAAAATAAATAAATCGTCGATCCCACATGATCGACTCATATACCAAATACAATATCACAAAAGAAAAGAACATCAGGTATAAAAACTGAGTTACTACTTTAGAACTCAGTTTGACTTAAGATTTCTTAGAACCATCGTCCTCTCAATTCTGACAGAACAATAAGACTAGTTCATTGTTTACGAATCAATCCAATCATAAAGGCAATAACTGCTTAAATTTAAGGCACCATCGGACATGTATTATACCACCCAATGGTACCTTCATTAACTATTAGATAACCGTTTAAAATACAGATCCCAATAACTATAAATGCCCTGCCTTCTACTATAATGTACAAGGTAATTCAGTTTTAAAACTAATAATAAGAA